CCTCACAATTAGGAGCCTTTGTCCCAAGGTATTTCGTAGCAAAGCCATAAGGCAAATGTAGCATATTCTATATTAAAAGTGAAATGTGACCAAAAAATTAAAGCAATAGGAACTGAATAAGTATGGTTAGCCTTCAAGTAACCAGCATGCTGCTAACCCTCACTTTGAGGAACATTTGTAGCAGCCATCAGATTTTGTTAAACAATGATCTGGCACTCGCCGTGCCCTTCATAGCATCATAGTTGCATGCCAATGATTCCTTGTACGATAATAGGAATGGCAAAGTTGCAGATAAGGTCAAGTAACCCACTATCAATACTGGCGATACATTACTTGGTCTAACGTGGAATGAGCTCATTACTCAATTTCTGTCTAGCGATTAGTCGAATTTATATGAAGATTAACAAGTAGATTGTTTACCTGTTTATGCGTCTGTTTGTCCTTCTTAATGAACTGTTCCTCTTCTTAGTGACTCCTGGTCTAACGTGGTCTTTTATTTCTTACTAACTTTTTAGCTTTTTGGGTACACAAACGGATTGGCCCAACCTATATACTATCGGTGTATACGACATGAAAATACCTGACTTACATAATCTTCCATGACTACCACAGTCGTATAGAGCCACAATATGGACCAAATCGTAGGACAACACGTTAGAATCCGCAATCTCGACCCGAGATTGGCTAAACTAGGCAGTTGACAGGGCGAATCGCACCAAAAAAAGGAAGGAGAATTCTGGGGTGATCTATATACCTAAATAAGGCAACTTGAATCGAGATACTACTGAAAAAGCTTAAAAGTTAAGCACATTGATAACAATATAGCTACTTACTAAACGGAATGATTCAAAGGAATCAGGGATGAAGACAGCTCAAACAACGAGAAATGCTAATTGCACTCAAGTATTGTTGGCTATAGACGCACAAAAAACCTGACTTCGCTCAAATCATGCGTATGGAGATTTCCGGAATAAATCTTCGTATAGCCGCAATCACAGTGTTGCTAGGATAGAAACGATTTGGGACCATCGCGCCAGAGATTTCCCGATTTGAAACCGAGATGGTGGGGAGGTTACGGGCATATAGTTCCGGCCAAATTCTGTTGCACTTTCGTACAGCTCGGTGGGCGAAGGCTTCTGCTAAAGAACTGAGGCATCCAAACCGGAACTAAGACTGCTAAAATCAATTGTCACTTGGAGTATGTAACTAATTGAAGCGATGAAGCTATGTAATCAAGATCAAAGAGTTCTGATAAGAATGGTATTGATAAGACGTAGATCAAAAAATGTAACAATAATAGCACTGGTCATGATTTCATTCCATTTGGTTATAGACAATGCAACCATGAATATCTTATTGTATACAAGGTTGGAGAATGACCATGGATAAGAAATTATCAGTTGACAACGATTGAAAACGTTGGGCTAACAATATATAACGCTACCTTGGTACAATAAAGCTGCGACACATAAAAAGAATGACCAGTAGGATAATGATCTTCCTAAACTCAACACTTTGTAGAGTTCAGGGTGTAGTCTAGTTTGATGTTGGTCGACTCAAAAACCAATGTTGAAGGAAAACTGGGGCTATAGTATACACAGTCGAGTATCTAACCGTGAACCCAACCGTGATTTACCAAAGGCTCGAATTTAGATGATATTTGTGCGACAGATATTGACAAACCCCTGTGGATAATGAATTATCCTATTTTGGCTGACCGCTTATATGAGGTTCTGCATGCCAAAGTAATACTTCCAGGAACTGGAGCATCCAAACCGGCAATAGAATGACTTCTAAACTGATAACCGCCTCGATCATGTGGCTATATAATCAAGAATGGAGCTTGTATAAGGAAGACCTAAAAAGTAATATTATTACGGCTTGATCTTGCTCCATCTGTTTACAGAAAATGCAATTGAAAATAAGGCAATAATGTGAAATTCTATTTAAGCATATGAAGAGCTATTAGAATGATTATTAAATAATTATACCCATTTATTATCTGCCTCTCAGGCGATAGCATGCCTAGAAAGTTAAAGTTTTATGTTTAATTTTACAATAAACCCCGAATTTGCCAAAAAATACTAATAGTCATAATGTTTGATAATTGTATCTTTTACAAATAAAACGATAAAACATTTTTAAATCGTAGACTTCATTTTTCACGATATTCACTCGAAACTAACAAATCCATTCCTTACCTCAATATTGCAGCCTTTGTTTGATTACGTGTCTATTATGCAGTGCATACCCGATTTTAGATCATCATTCCTACTATATACTTGTCTGCAGGTATTGACAGGTAGATAAGGCTAGCACTACTGGCAAAGAAATTTACTTAGTTATCTCGACAAAGGATATAATGATACACCATTGTGTAGCTCTCTTTTTCTTTCGAAATTTGGGAGCATCATGAATTTTGAAAGGTTGTGTAATAGGGGCTTTCCGTTTGCTTGTAGAGTATTCCTCGAAAAAGCGAGAACAAACATTATGTAATTTTGAAGAGATAGAGGACTGGGACTAACGGTTATAGTCGCTAACCAGTTAATTTATCGCATTTATGAGCAAATTTAATTGAAAAGCGTGAACTTAGTATTATTAGAAAGCCTGGGTATTATTTACGGTTTCATTCGAAAAATTACGTAGGACATCTTATCCAGCTGCAAAATTTATATCAAAGAGGTCATTCAAAGACACTACAGCTTCCTGCTACTTAAAATCAACCATCAAATTACTTGAACCACAAGCTGTCATATTTATTTGAGAAAAAACTCATTTTCAAGCGTATTACAATGTGATCAGCTCAGAGAAAACCTTTTGATTTCTAGCTTCTAACATGAAAGAAGCATTTATGAGTTGTGCTTCCAAATGCAATTATTCTTCCTTAGATTTAAAAGAATATCAGTATTTAACTAGAGCTAATAAATAAACTATAGAATCACTGCGCGGCAAGCTTTGCGATTGAGATAGCTCAAGGAACAGAGCGTATGTTTACTAGAGATCAATTATATCTAATCGATTTTTATAGTCAAGACGCCAAGTTTTTCTGTGTGAGATGATGCTTCGACAGTTATAACATTATAAAGATCCATGAAGATGTAATCAAGAACCAAGATTGCTTATCTGGATAAAGTTTCGTGAGTTCAATGTTGCTGGACTTTGGCGTAACTCGGAGGACGAAGCTTCCTGCTAAGGAACTGAAGCATCCAAACAGGAACTAGACTGACTGCTAAACTGATAACCACCTGAAGTATGTAACTGACAGAAGCTATGTAATCAAGATCAAAATAATCCGACAAGAATGGAACTGATATGACGTATATCAAAAACGTGACTATTATAGTGCTAGCCATAATCTTGTTCCATCTGTTTATAGATAATGCAACCATGAAAAGTTCATTGTATATAAGGTTGGAGAAAGATAGGGATACCATTGGCAAGAAACTTTCAGTTGACAACGATTGAAATCGTTGAGCTAGTAATTGTATAACGCTGCCTTGATACAATGAAGCTGCAACCCATAAGAAGAAAGACCAGTAAGATAATGATCTTCCTAATGTCAACTCCCTATAAAGCTCAGGGTATAGTCTAGTTAGGTGTTCATCGACATCGCAATCCAAAGTCAAAGAGAACACAGGGGCCATAGTATAGACGGTTGAGTATCCAACCATGAGCCAGCCTTGGTATAATGCCAAAGGTTCGAACTTGGATGAAATCGAATACACAGCTTGCGCGACAGATATCAATAAGCCCCTGTGGATTATAAATTGTCCCAATTTAGCTGATCGTTTATAGGAGTTTCTACCATGCCAGAGCAATAATTTCAGGAGATAACAAAATTGGTCAATGCTGAAATCCGCTGCTAAAGATGCTTGCTTACCCTCTTTACCAACGATACCAACACCAACATCAGCGCACTGAATCATGCTAACGTCATTACCTCCATCACCAATACAGCAAACCCTTTTACCTGTAAAGTCCCTAATTATTAAAGCAACGTCAGCTTTTTGTTGAGGAGAACATCTACAAGCAATCACGGCGGGCAAGTTGATTGCAGTACTAAAAAATTCTCGACGAAAGTGCTTCATGTAGGTGCCTAGTGACTCCCCATCAATCAATAAACACGCATTGTGATTGTTCTTGAGGTAATCCAAATGACTCAAAGCTATTTCTGGATGTCCGACCTTTGTAATTTGATGAACATATTGTCCCCTAGAGATCAATCTAGCACTAATCGAGACACATTTAGCGGTCTCGACTTTATCACCCGTTAACATCCATATCTTGACTCCTGCATTCCTTAGCAATTCAATTGACGTCTTAACGTCTTTTTGTAGCTTATCCTCAACTCCCGTCAATCCTAAAAGCTCTAACTCTTGCTCCAAATAGTGACCTATTGCTCTCTGTGTTAGTTGGTCTCTATCGTGCATTGCTAATGAAGCTTCACCATAGCTTTTAACAAACTCTTCGTATAAGCTTTTGCTTAATTTTTTCCGTCCTATAACTAAGGTTCTTAATCCCTCACGAGCCATATTGCTTGTTTCTTCGTCTAGCCAATCATTTACGTTAACAATTTTAGCCATGACTGTGTCTGCGCCCTTCTCCAAGAACCATATTTCATCACGTTGCATATCTTTGACTATAATACCCATTCTTTTGGTATCTGAGTTAAAAGGAAAGTTATATAAAATTTCAAATTTCAACTCCTGGTTGTTTGAAATGTGAAGCAAAGTAATTGAATGCCTATCTCTTTTGAAAAGCTTAAGACCAACCAGCTCCGTAAATTTAACTATTGCGATTTCATCTGGCGAGGCTGCTTGGTAGGATACTGATGTAAGATCATCTTCGTTGTCATAAGTCGGAGTAACATTATGGCATAAAGCTAAGGTTAGCACTATATCGCACACCTTTGCTCCCAAATCCTTCTTCTTGAGGCCATCAATTAACGGAGAAAGGCTATTGACATATTCTGAAACTATGTCTAATGTGTCTCCAGCGTAACTTACAGTTCCCAAATGCAATTTTTTCATTTCCATATCATTCTGTGTTAATGTTCCTGTCTTATCTGTTAACAAGTATTCAATTCGACCTAAATCCTCGGGAATTGTCGAGGTTCTTACAACGGTATTTGGAATATCTTTGTCTTTTTGAATTTGAGATGCGTATACGGACTTCGCTAAATCCAAATTAACTCTCAACGAAACAGGTATTATTGTTGAAAACAAGATCAAAAAACGCATGATGTCAATATACCACGTTGACTTAAGAGGAAATCCGTGGGCTAGGACTAATGCAACAGAGAGTAAAAAGACAACAAGGCACAAAATCTTCGAAAGTCCGTTAATTTCTAGTTCCAATAGTCCGGTTTTAACTCTACTTGTTGTTGTATTCAACAGCTGCCTGGTTTCCACCCCCGTGTAAATGACAATGCCAATCACGGGCCCTGAAGCTAATACTGTGTTGGCCCACAAAGTTTGATCAACGGTCAAGGCAAATGTTTGATTACTAGGGGACGATGATGAAGAGCCCGTATGTCTATTAGGATGGTAGATGAGCCTACCATTGAATTGATGAATTGATTTTGTAGGATTTCCTACTATTAGGGAAATGTTGTTAACCAAGTCAGTTAAATTCAGAATTGATTGAGTCACATTACAAGCAACCCTCAACTTCCAATCAGTCTCACCATCCAACTGATCTGTCTTAATGAATGCTTCACCACTACCACCCTTTTCCGAAGATTGTAATAATATCATGTCTGCAGGCACCCTGCTATCTTTACTAATTTTTATGAGATCACCGACTCTTAAATCTTTCGACGATATAAGGGATGATTCTTGCCCAATTGAGGATGAGCGGTTGAGAACTTCATACTGTTCGCTATTTTGTTCCTTATCACGGCGCCGTCTTTGAAGATCATCGTTAGCTTCTTTTAACATAGTAACACTCAAGACAAAAGCAAGAGGTACAATATAAGATGACAAATACCCTATCCTCAACTGGGGAACTATCTGAGATAAAGCAACCAACAAAAAGTATAAATTAAAGAAAAACTTGAATTGTTCGTATAGCACCACAGGCACAAAAGTTATGGGATTATATTTTGCATTGGATATTGCGTTGTCAGGATAGATTTTAGATGAAATTGCTGCACCATTTTTTGGGGAAATATACCTTTCTGATGAAGTACTACCTCTTCTTCTGTGGGAAACACTATTTCTGTAATCAGTTGCACCTCCCTTCTTTAGCCTCTCTTTCCTTAATTCCAGTTCTGCGCTATGAAAGTTTCCTAAAAGCGTTTTGAAAAGTCTTTTGAAACGTTTCGCAAAAGTATTCTCTCCTAAATTCAATGAAATACTCGTGGAAGAGGTAGATCGGTTGTGATAACCGTATGTCGATCCAGCTATTAAAGGTGAACTGTCATTCTGTTCTAGTGACCGCGCTTGTTGTCTATCTTGGTCTAAAAGTTCATCACTATCAGGCATCATGTTCATCAAAGGAATAGCTCCCACTGACCCTTGGGAATTTTGTCGTGAATTCCCGCTGTTATTAGTATATTTAAACAAGTTATTGGATGCGCTGTTCAAGGCATTATCCAATGAATTATCAAGCTCCTCAAAAGAATCTCCAATTCCATCGAAGGATAAGTCCCTAGAAGATGAATTACCGTCCATTCAACTGTCTATATATATCTTCAGTCTTATAGCCTCTCTTAAAATTATAATTTTCTTGCCGTTGAAACCTTTAGTTTTTATTAAACGTTTTGATATGAGACACAAAAATTTATCTCGCTGTCTAATATAAAGTACGAAGAAAGATACGAGGGAGTGTTGATATTCACTTGCGAATAGTTTCAGGAAACCTTTACCGAATCGTGAATTCTTTAGATCATGAAAGAGATTGTGGAGGAGGAATCACAACTACAAGTATCGAAGACGAATACTTTTCTGAAGAAAGTCTATGAATTTTTAAAGATTGAAATTGCTAGACAACAGAATGGATTTGAAAAGCTAGTGGAAGAGACAGAGCCAAATGACAGCTCTTTGGTGGCTAAATATACTAAGGTAATGGACTTAGATTTGTCAAAAGAGAGTTCGCTCTCTGTGGACGGTGTTACATTAAGCACGATGCACATCCCTCACCCTTTACATAGCTTCATGAAGAAAGACTCAAAGAACATACCCGAACATATCAATATTGAGCGAGAATTACAAGAAGCGCCTGTATTGCTATTTATCCATGGTTTAGGTGGTCAGATGTCTCAATTTCATCCACTTATGGGTTTGCTTTCTCAATGTCTGGAGATTGTAGCGTTGGATTTACCAGGTTTCGGGAATTCCCGTTTAGAGTTCCATGAATCTGCAAGAATGGTTAGCTCATTTACAGAGGAAGAAAAGCATAGGATCTCTAGCAGTATTTCCAAGATGAACTGGGATGATTTCAGTACTGATAATATTGTTAAAATAGTTCGGCAGTTCACGAAGCAAGCTATTCCAGCTGATAAGAAGATTCTATTGATTGGCCATTCTATGGGTACTCATCTCGCTATTAAGCTTGCAAAATGTCTTCCACCACATACCGTTGAGGGATTAATCTTGCTTTCCCCTCCTGGACTTGGAAATGATATTGATGGTGGTACTCAACAAAGTAATCCTAGCACAATATCTATGTTAAAAATATTCACGTATGTGCCTTGGTTATTCAATTGCTTCAGAGTATGGGACAGATTGGAAGGGTTGGAAAGTAAAAGCGTATTGAGACAGCTATGCAAGGATGACCACACTATTAGCATGTATAGCAAGCTTCGCCAACTTAGATGGAATATGGATATAAATTCAAATATAATCTTAAAGTATATCAATGGCTTTAAAAAAGCCACCTTCTCGGACCTAGTGACTGCCATCCACCAGCTCAATGATGATCCGAAGGATCATAGAATTTATCAAAAGACTTTGATTATAGGCGGCACGAGTGATCAAGTAACATCAGTAAAGGTTGTTCGTGAAATAGATCGATTCTTGAGCGAAACATTTAATAGAAAGGTCTCTTGTGCTATTGAAATTAATAATGCGGGCCATTCTCTTTTACTAATGAAGCCGGAATTTGTTAGTGGAATGGTTTTACGTCATATTGAAACAAACTTCCCTGAACGCCTTCGCCTATCTCCAGCTTGGGTCCTAAAATTAAAAGCTGACATATCCGGTGACAAGTGGGGTTTAAAGAATGAATTGAAATGGCTGAAGCTCCAGCCAATTTCTGGAAATATAGCACGCAATAACGGAAAAGATGTCTCTCCTTTATTAGCGATGAAAACCTTGAGAGAAGATGATGAGTTTCATTCACCAGCTACGCTTGAGGACTTATTTTATGGCTCCCTTAACATAGAAGGGGCTCCGGAGGGTAAGCTCATCGCTATAGTAGACATTTCAGCAGACATTCCACCGTATAACCCAACGTCTCTTAAACATGTCAAATACTATAAATGCGCCACCGTTTCTAAAGTTGTGCCAGATCAAGTTTCTATTAGAAGATTCATACAATTGATAGACGACATCCTTAAAGACAACAAAGTGGAAGATCCACTTATAGCTGTTCACTGCCATTACGGTTTTAATAGAACAGGCTTCTTAATATGCTGCTATCTTGTTGAAAGATTAGGATGGTCTGTAGAAGAGTCACTTGCTGGTTTCAAAGCAGCCAGGGAACCAGGCATTAAACATCCTCATTTTATTGATGCTTTATATGTGAGATATCAGAGCTAAGAGAATAACGGTATTTTTTATCAAAATTCTACTTTCATACATTTAGAACTAATCAACTTAGCAATTACCTGGAAATATCATAGAATACAATATATTCTTCAGTTATAAATTATTCTTCTACCACAATTCTTGTACAGTCCTTCGTAGTTTTTAGCATCAATTCCCCTGTCTCGATATCATCAAATATAAAGGAACAAAAAAATTAGGTAATATAGATAAGTTCATCGATTTGAAATAAAATATAAACTAACAATATTTGTAAGAATTAGGAATCGGTGTAGAAGAAAAGATATAAGATCTTAATAGCCATCGCTTGTGTATGTGTTTCGAAAATGAAGTTTGGGGAATCTTTAAGCGAAGGCTTGGTTACTGAATGGAAAAATCAATACGTTAACTATAAGAATGGGAAAAAGTTTATCAAGAAAATCAAAGCTTTGAAGGCTAACGTACAACAACTGGAGAGAGAAACAACAGATAGGACTCCTTTATTAATCCCAAATGGTCCTGGTGGAAATAAATCTGTGGACACAGATAACAATATCTTTGTAGATAGCAACGTGGGCCAAAGTTCACCAGATGAAAGTCCAGAATATGAAAGTCTGAAGAAAACTTCTGCTTTTGGGTACTCTTTGAAATCATCAAGAGACAAGGAAGAGGACTATCAAGAAGCCAAGGATAATTTTTTTAAATGGTTGGATTCTGAGTACAACAAGGTTAATTTATTTTTTCAAGAGAGAGAACAACAAGCATATGAGAGATTTTTGATAATTCAGGACCAGCTAGAACAATTGAAGGATCACAGGAGACTCTATCTTCAGAGGAGAGCTTTGCATTCTAATACTTCGCATTCATCCAACGATCATGTAGCAGTGTATTACAGAATGAATGACATTGCATACCGTACGAAGAGCATATTTGGTTGGTTAGCAAGATTCGATTTGCCGACGTTACCATCCACAGCATTTATGAAAAAATGGAGGAAGAAAAGAAACAGAAGTATTCCAATTGACAATTATGATATGTATGACGCTAATTACTTTCAAAATCGTATAAGAAATGGTAGTTCTGGCGATAGTGATGACATATCATCAAACGCTAGTACATTAAATAATCGTGCGAATGAGGAGTCGGCTTATAGGGTTGAGCAAAATGCCTCTCAGTTGCATCAGAGGAGAAGAAGAGATTATACCAGTTCTGATTATAATGTGCCTTATTTATATGCTAGAAAGCAGCTCAAACAAGCGATGTTGGAATTTTATAGGGCATTATCTTTACTCAAATCATACAAGACTTTAAACAGAACTGCTTTCAGAAAGATAACAAAAAAGTTTGATAAGGCCCTCGGTACGTCGATATCGGCAGATTATATGAAGAAAGTAGACGATGAATCATATTTTCAGACCAGTGATTTACTTGATAAGATTGTGACTAATCTTGAGGAGTTATATATCGAGACGTTCGATCCTCAGAGTCAGGATAAAAAGGTGTCTTTGGAAAAATTGAAAAGTATTGCATATGCTTTAAGCAATAATACGATTAGGGCCCCAACACATTACATTCCATTTTTTTTCTCAGGTCTTTTCATTGGATTTGCGATACCACTCTTTTGTTTGGCCCTCTATGTGGCTCTTAATAAAATAATTAATGGCGTATATTCCGAGGGGTTATTCATGTTACAAATATATGGTGGATTCTTCTTAATGAATTTTATGGTATTACTCTTTGGAGTGAATTTGTTTGTCTTTGAGTATTTCAAGATAAACTACAAGTTTATCTTCGAATTTAACATGAGCACTGCTCTAGACACCCAGCAATTCTGGCTCTTGCCATCCTTCGGCTTTGCTTTATTAGCCTTAATAATGTGGTTCAGTTTTAATAATTTCTGGCCGATTGAATTTCCTGGAAGAGATTGGCCCTGGATCTACTTTGGTGTGATGCTCTCAATATTCTTTTGGCCTGGTCCCCAGTTATATGGACCTAGCAGAAAGTGGCTTCAGGTCGCTCTTTGGAGATTAATGCTTTCGGGACTTTATCCTGTTGAGTTTCGTGATTTCTTTTTGGGAGACATGTTGTGTTCGTTGACTTATACCATGGGTAATATATCATTCTTCTTTTGTCTATACTCCCACCATTGGTCGGGACTAATTGGGGATCACCCGCTGCCCAGTGGGATTAGGTGTGGTTCAGCAAAATCGAGATTAATGGGGTTCTTTGGAACCTTACCGAGTATTTTCAGGTTCTTGCAATGCGTCAGACGTTACGCGGATACTGGTGACTGGTTTCCCCATTTAGCTAACATGTTGAAGTATTCTATCACGACGTTGTATTATTGCTTGTTGAGCGTGTATCGTATTGAGCGATCTCAAAACAATAGAATCGCTTTTATCATTTTTGCAGCTATCAATTCTTTGTATAGTTCTATTTGGGACGTAACAATGGATTGGTCTCTCGGTCAGAGCGGTTCTAAGTACTTATTTCTAAGAGACAATTTGGTCTATAAGAACCCTACTTACTACTATATTGCGATTATATGCGATGTAACGTTGAGATTCCAATGGGTTTTTTATGCCTGCTTTAGCAATCAAGTCCAACAGCTGGCTGTTACGAGTTTTTGTATTGCCGTGGCTGAGCTTATTCGAAGGTTTATTTGGGTATTTTTTAGAATGGAGAACGAACATTGCACCAATGTCATATTGTTCCGAGCCTCGAGAGACTCGCCGCTTCCCTACAAAATAAGTAGTAAGGTGGAATATGCTATCAAAAAGCTTGTACAACTTCATTATGCTGCACATGGAGTAGATCTCGGCGATCAAACTTTTGCTGAAGACGTTTCTTATGTCAATGGTCCGGCGTCCTCTATGGGTGGTAAGACCCCTTTTACTGATGAAGAAGCAATGGGTGGTACACCGGATTCACACAATCTTAGAAATCGCCGTAAATTCACCTTTACTAATTTCACAAATATGCTTAATCTGGCGCATGTCAAAGATTTCCAGAGGAAGAAAGCCGTCATCGAGCATGATAGTGATGACGATGATGATGACGATGATGACGTAGCTTCTTCGCCTCAGTCCTGAGACCAAATCAAACAACAAGTTCAGTTTAAACGAGAGGACCCTAGAGCATCCAAGATATGGTGTAATAAACAATTAATACAAGAGAGCAAGTTGTAGACTGTGATTTATACTGCAATACAGCAATCCATCCAAATCAATTGTAGTGATTTAGCGAGCTGTATTACGTTAGAATATTTTAGTAGCGTACCTTTAAAGTCTAAGGTTCAACCCCAATGGGATTGTGATTGGCTATAGTATTCCATAAGCGCATGTAATAAGTAGAAAAGGATCAGAGAAACGTTGGGGCCAAAAAAAAAAAAAGAAAATAAGAGGCTTGATACTCTGAAGCATTGCCGTCGATCTCCTCCTCCTCTTCTCTTCAATCTTACAGTGGAAATCAATTACGTAGCTAGATAAGGCCAAAGAAGTTTCGAGACGCAACGTCTTTCTCCACGCTACCTAGTATGCCGTCTATCATTGGCTCCTTGTAAGTGGCATACGAAAGGAGCCAGCATGGCATTTTCACTACCTCTGTCGCATAACCTGTTCCTGTTACTACAAGCGGATCATGCTGACCCTATTTGTTTTTGGCCAATTGCATTCTTTGGTTGCAATTAATATTCTATTTCCGTAAGAAATGCCGTCTTTAAAGACATCCAGACCCCACAACATACGTGGCATTTTAAGGTATGCTACCACGGAATGGTCTATCTAATCAATAAGAAGTGACTCATATACGCCAGCCGTACCGCTACACTCAGCACATCCTGCAGAATGGCAAATATTACTAATCGCTTGAGAGTATGATAAGGTTTACGTTTCGCGACTCCTTCCCGTAGCGTAACTATCAGCATAATGCGCTTTCTAAGCGCTACAGCTTGAATCCTAATTGGGAAAGTGAAAAATTTTTCATTAGAACCGTAAACTATAAAACAAAGGAGGAATCCCGACTTAGATTTAGCAGCATTTTAAATTTTCTTTTTACTCAACAACAACTAAAGCAACGATAATAACAAATTAATCCAAAAAAAAAAGATTTACTGACAAAGATTCCAATATTAGTTTTATTGTAAAGAGAAGATATACATATTTTAAAGATGTGTGCTTAAATAAATTAGTTTATTATAGTGAAAATACTGTTTGATTATAAAAAGTTTGTATCCAAAACTATTTAATCACCCCCTAAAATAAAGTTGTTTTAGATTGATTCAATCAAAATGCTATCGTGATAAAAAGAAAAAGCGTACCCGTCCATCATGGCGTTGAGTTTATTAAGTTGTTATACTATCAAAATAGAAAATAATTACCGCAATGTTTACAAGTGTTAAAAGTCCAATGATATTATCAGGAGATTCATTTATTTTTGAATCTGCTGGTGATAAGTTTACAGATCCTCAAGAGCATGTTTCATATGTTGACGAAGTCGTCACGAAACATGCAGGTGTAGACGAATTATCGTCTCACCTTCCTTTGTTTGATGGGAGCTCTGGAGAAGTGGAAGACTCCAAGACTCCTTTTGCAATTCACTCGTCGGTGTTGGATTCGGTATTCTCCAACACTCTAGATGACAAGGGAGAGGATATCGATCAGACCCCTATGTTTGACGAGTTAGATTTCATAGTTGATGGTGCCAGGGCCAACCTGAAAGAGGACTGGGTTTCTCTCTTCGGGGATGAGTCTCAGATGATGTTTGGCGAGACCAGTGATCCTGTTGTCAAAGATGAAGATTTGAGACATCAGCCTGAAGCCTCTAAGAGACTGTTTGCTCAGTCAATGGCACCTTCAGTATTCATTCCTACAAAGAAGCAGAAGCGCAATACTGAATCTCAACAGAATCAACTTATTACTCCAGAAACTTCCTCTACTCTTGCAACTCCGCTCATTGACCTGTCAGATATACAGGAATTGGAAAAGTCTAGTTCTCCCTCGGTTGATCGTTTAGGTTGTGTGCCTTACTCGAAGAAGCAAAGATCTCGTCCATTGGCTCCAGTGCCAATTGATGAGAGCGATCCTGTTGCTTTGAAGCGTGCAAGGAATACTGTTGCAGCAAGAAGGTCCCGTGCCCGTAAGATGGAGAGAATGGGACAATTAGAGGAAAAGGTTAACAATTTGATGAAAGAAAAGTCAGAAATGGAGAGTGAAATGTCTAGGTTGAAAGACTTATTGACTCAAAATGGTATCCAATTTTAAAGTTATCTGGATTATCTATTTATTGTGTGTTCTTTCAGTTCATTGAAAAATAAAAAATAGAAAAATAGAAGCGTATAATTATTTAACAAATGTTCAAAAAATTTTCAAGCAGGCAATAATGTAGTAATGTAGTAAAGTAGTTAAGTGAATGGAGCCTACACAAGACACCACACTTGCGTGAAACAAACACATTCTTCGAAGTTAATTTAATCCCCTTTTAACTGACAGGAATATTTTCATAGTCGCTTGTGAACGTTTCTTCTAGGTCCATAATAAGATATCCGGCTCTATCTTTGTAATGTGCACGGCATTGAACCTTGTTTTCTCAACTTCTCTGGTACTAACTTGTTCGGAGTCCACGTCACTCAAACTGAAATGTTTTCTTTAGTAAACTATAGGCTGTCATGTAGAGCACGTAGTGCTTTATCTTTACTCTCTTTATGAGCTTTTGAACTCTCTTGTGAGCTTTTATACCGTTATCGTATAATTTATTCTATTTTCAGACAAGCGGCTCAAGAGCATCCGCTTCCTGATTTTTTGCATTCAGTAAAAAAAATATAACTTCGAAATCGTAATTGGCAAAATTTAGCAAATTTTGAACACCAGTTCGACTACGTTGATGGTAGTAGTGTTGATGTCGTACTTTGTCTAATCGGTCTATACTAATATCGGCATTCATATTCACACTATCCAAGTAATTCGTAAAATTATACTTTCGTGCTCTGATTTCAGCATGTACATTAGATAAGTCCCACTTGAGGTTGCCAATATACATTTCAGAAGCAAAATGCTGTCCGAATATATAATAGGGACTAATAGTTAATTGTCAAAATAAAGCCGTACATACGCAGAATTACGCTCTCTTCAATTTATTGTGAACAGAGGTCCACTTGAAAGGTTCACAAGTTCGGGTAAGTAAAGTTAAAGTCCGAGGACGCCGTGCAGTAAACAATATATGCCACCCTATAGTTCCGATACTTCAACATCGTCTGCGCAACTAACTATCATGCATTCTTACGGTCTTCAATTGGTCGATTATGCTGGTAATATGGTGGGATATGCAACCAGGTATCCAGCTTTGTATTCAAATTGAACTCAAGTGGATTGGTTATACGATAAGGGTGGCATGTATTGTTTACGTACAGGGTGAGAGACGCATTGACATCAAATCGACAATTTCGACGTATCTGAAGAAATTTTCTACAACAAGTAATGGAACCTTACTTGTGGCCTATAAAAAGGGATGCTGAATCTCAAGATGTAAAAAAAATATAGCTCATACAATAATAAGTTAAAGTCGTTAATTGAATATGGATCTGGTGAATACTGCAGCCCCTGATACAAGAGGATATCGGCAGGCATTATATGCATTGATACTTTCTTTGTCTATGTTTTTTATATTTGCCTTTTCCTGCTGGACAATAGTGTGCAATCATTACATGGCGGCCCATGCTGCTGCCAAATAACTGCAAACAGCAGCTCAGCGTTTCGATACAATATCTCAATTGGCAAAACGGAAGGAATGGTGGAAGAAGGCAGTAGATGAAGCGGTAACAGTGTTACACTCATCACGGGTGGTGCTAATGTCGTTTACGCAGGTGCCTGTTCTGGGACATGGGCTAAGTTTTTTTGGCTTATACCTCCCAGGGGGGCGCTCAATAAGTTGGTTACATGTTCTGTCATGGGAGCAGGATTAGCCGCTTTAAATTATTTGTCTGCGGAGCTAAATGTGTTCTCTAATGACGGCTGGGTTTGGGATAGTAGTCTGGGAAGCTCAAATAAACGACACTTTGACGGATTTCCCCGAGATTTTATTGGTCAAAGGCAGATATCGAAGAACGGGTATGCAATTAATGCAACTAGCCTTCATATGTTGCTACAATCTTTAATAGGCGAGCATGCTGGGAGAACCGTACATCACATATCGCAGCACTCAGCTTTGTATTCAAACTGGAATGGAACGTGGGAGCATAGTGGATATCAGATGATAATTAAACATCCTTCTGTCAAAATATCAGTAATTGCCGACACAACTGCGGTCGAACTGGCGTTGAGCCTATTAGGCAACTGTACTTTAGGCTCGTATTGCTCAACTGGTTTAGAAGTTAATAGCAACAACACTACTTTGCCACAAAGCGAGACAGCAGTGGTTCTTGGTTTAGCTATACGGATTGGGGTGAAAATGGTGGTTATGCCAGTGATTTATATAATTGGGATGAGCTTAAAAATTATGCAGTTGTCACCGAGGACGACGACGACGATGGACAGGTTGTTCAGATACAATCATGTACACCATCGACTGAATGTTACGGGTATTATAGCAAGAAATGTTTTCTGATGGGACTTTCTACGACCCGCAAAGTCAACTCAGCAATTGTTGGCGAATCATACTGTCAAGCATATGGAGAAGTTGACGACCAGTGCTGGTTTGGGTGATCCATGTAAATGACATAGTTGAGGATTTGAAGTGCACTTATGTTATTGAAAGAAGTTAAGAAGTAGATAAAATAGAAGTGTATAAATCCTGTAGAATCCAATTACTTTATCAAGTTTATATTGATTCATGGTTAATGAGAAAAAAATTGTTGGAATTTTCATGCAATAGGAATCATAAAAATATTGTCAATAACAATTCGAGTTTCAATATACGTCATACTTATTCCGACCAAACCATAGGTTATGTCGTTCTACATTCAACTCGTATTATTTGCGGTATTGTATGAGTTTGCCTTGAAGTTTAAAATTGCAATACCAACTGATCTATTTGTCTCATCATCCTCTCTCTATGCTACTAGCCCTAACACCCTAACGTGTGTATATGCAGTTTCATTTATTACATGCATACTACTTAAAGTACAGCTAACACGAGCGTTGATATCACGAAACCGAGTCAGCAGCGAGTGTCGGCCCGCGGGCTTGTCAAAATGATATACCTTCCCAATCACATAATTCTGTTGAAATCCAAAACGATCCGACCGTTCCATCAACCCTCCAAGGAAATCAGTAGGATATTTTCCTCTCCTATGTTGAACTAATTCAATATCAAGAGTAAACTTGTGTTATTTTATGCTGCAAAAGGTATGACATAAACTAACCTATGTGGCCATCTACAAAGGGCAGGATGTACCGATCACGTGAATATAGCGTGCATCTTAAGTTCATTCTTGGGATTCGGAGGCCTCATACACTCTCCATAGGACTGTATCCAATTGCTGAAAATACCCTTAAAGCTAGTATACAATGCTTACACTAGATGATCAATTGACACAGTAGACAAATCAATTATATTGCCACTAGACAAATGAGTTATAATGATATACAGCTTCAAATAATTTTCTCAATTCACAAGTGGATCTGATTGTACTTCCTTGTTTTGGCTCGTAAGACTCTTGTAGACCCCCCTCAAGGGCTCTGCGCGGCATACTCCATTCTCTTATCAACGATTTATTCTTCCGATACTGCACATTGATCTGTATAGACGCCTTTGTGGCCGGTTGATGACTGACGATGTAGGTTCCAACGGAGCATTTTTATCGCTCCATGGGACAGAAAGGGAAATAACGATAGTTAATGCCCTCGGTATAATCTCGGAATCTAAAATACATACAACTTTTAATTCGCTGCACACCCCTTGCTGTCTGTAGAAGTACAGTGAGATAAGGATGTACATACCGTAAATAAAACAGAAAGGGACCGGAATCTATGATCCGGGCTCTGTTGCCAATATTTCCCACGGCAGTTAGTCCGCGGCGCTGCAGAAAGGATACTGTAGAAAATTTTTCATTTCTTTTTCGCTATCTAAATCTCATCTATGGTGCCATTCACTATCTAAGGATTGAAATATAAATTCAGATTTCCCCAACGTCAATTAGACTTAATTTAATAGAAATCAGCTGAATCAAATAGAGGAACTTGCTGCTACTTGCATTTTGATTAAGAACTTGCCAAACTTGAATATTCCTATCGGTTGAAAGAGCTGAGGGTTGGAAAGCGATTACGTCTAAATCAGAATTTTTTAAATAATGTCCGTTGAAGAGGAAAAAGTTATTGATACTGCAAGTGTCAAGAAAACAGGATCAGTCGATTCCTTTGAAAAGTCTTTAGAAAACAACTCTGGAGATGGTGTGGTCGAAACGAAGGCACTCAATTTTGTTGATCGTTTGGCTTCCAAGTTGAATGCTGAGACTAAGGGTATTGAAATAGTTACTGATGAAGAAAAGACTGATGATTCCATTTTGAATGCAGCCAGTATGTGGTGGTCTGCTAACTTGGTGATTGCTACATTTTCGTTGGGTGCTCTTGGAGTAGGTATCTGGGGACTTTCGTTTGCTCAGTGTATTTTGACTATTGTCTTCTTCGCAATGATCGGTGTATTTCCAGTTGCATATTTCTCCATTTTTGGACCTAAATTGGGGTTGAGACAAATGATCTTGTCCAAATATTTGTGTGGTGACTACGGTATGAGAATTTTTGCTTTTATCAATGTTGTTGCTTGTGTCGGATGGGGAGCTGTCAATATTATGGCCTCCGCTCAGTTGTTAAATATTGTCAACAATGGTGCTTGTCCACCATGGGCTGGATGTTTGATTCTTGTTGTTTGCACTATTATAGTCACATTTTTTGGTTACCATATAATTCATATTTATGAAAAATGGTCATGGGTTCCAAATGCAGTATGTTTTATTGCAATAATCGCCAGAATGGCTATGTCTGGTAACTTCAGATGGGGTGAAACTGTTGGTGGTCAAACTACTGCCGGTGACGTTTTGTCTTTCGGTGGTGCCATTTATGGTTTTGCTACTGGTTGGACCACATATGCATCTGATTATACTGTATACCAACCAAGAAATGCTAATCCATACAAGATTTTCTTTAGTATTGCCATTGGTTTGTATGTTCCTGTTGTCTTCACATTAATATTAGGTGCTGCTTGTTGCACGGGTATAACTGCTGATAAAAAATGGGCTGATTTATATGAAACAAAATCTGTTGGTGGATTGGTCTACGCTATTTTGGTTCAAGATTCCTTACATGGATTTGGTCAGTTCTTATGTGTTCTTTTGTCTTTATCCACCGTTTCAAATAACATTCCAAATATGTACTCTATTGCTTTGAGTGCTCAAGCTTTCTGGTCAAAATTGAGTAAGGTCCCAAGAGTTTTTTGGACTATACTCGGTAACTTTGTTACTTTGGCAATTTGCATCCCTGCTTACTACCATTTCGATGATGTTATGTCAAACTTCATGAATATCGTTGGTTACTACTTGGCTATTTATCAAAGTATATCTCTTTCTGAGCACTTCATCTATAATAAGGGTCGCTTTTCAGCATACGATTACGAAAACTTCAATGATAAGACAACATATCCCGTTGGTATTGCCGGAGTTTTCGGATTTTGCTGTGGTGTTGCTGGTGTTGTTCTTGGCATGGACCAAGTTTGGTATGCTGGTGTTATTGGTAGAAAAATTGGAGAATTCGGAGGTGATATTGGATTTGAATTGGGAATTGCCTTCTCTTTTGTTGGTTTCAATGTCGTAAGACCATTTGAGAAAAAATACATCGGTCGTTAAGGTGTGCACCTCGACAGATATATTAGAGTCTAATAGTTTCAGAAGTTCAGTTCATCGTATTCAATTTCCATATAATCTTTTTTCGGTATGTAATGATAGAGCTTAATGTATCAACTAATACAATCAAGTAATTTAACTTTTTTCAGCCTTTTAAATGGCGACTTCGTGTAGGATTTGAATATTATTTTCTTCATATTTTTTTCTTTTTCTCTAATAGCTCTTACTCTTTTTGATAATCAGAGAATTTAAGATTCCTTTATGAATAATGAACAGGTAAAAGTATGAATGTCCCAATAGAATATGTAATTGCAGCACTGCTCCTGTTCTCAATCGTTGTACTACTATGCGTTAAGTGCATTAAAGTATTGAATAATATGCTTTTATACGGGAAGACATATTCGAATAAAAGAAAAGTCGATTTGAAATTATACAAGAGAATAGATGATACAATTGTATCGCTAACAGTGCCCAAAGCTTACTTCACACATTTTTACGTCATCTTCTTTTTGCTTTGCTGTTTGTCGCAATGGTTTTTAAGCCTGGTATATTTTGATTCGAAGAGATCCGTATACATGAATTTTTCAGTCCAAGAGATTCCAGGTGTAGAAGAATTCAAGAATTATCAAGTGATACTTTATTTGCTATCAGCACAAAGTATAAGAAGACTCCTTGAGTGCCTCTTTATTACTAACTTCTCTAAAACCTCAAGAATGAATATTCTTCATTATGTTATGGGTATGTTATTTTACTCTTTGGTTTCATTGAATTCATTCATGTCACTTTTGCCATATTATCTAAGTGATTCGGACAAAAAGATACCATTGAAATTAAATCTTGCAGATTACTTGCTTCTCTTGATGTTCTTAGTTGTTTCAATCAAACAGAACGAGCAGCATCGTTATCTAGCAGGTTTGAAAAAGTACTCATTACCTGATTTCGCATTACTTGCATCACCACATTATCTAAATGAGATTCTCATATACTTCATAGTCTTCTTATTCAGTGCTCGCCTGAAGAGGTTCACCATTATTGAGTTAAATTTTTTGCTAGCATGGGTTTTTGTACTTACAAACTTGTTGATCAGTTCGTTGGAAACCTTTAAATATTACAAGAAGACCTACGACAAAGAGTTTAAAGTCAAATGGGCTGTAATTCCGGGGCTTTTATGACCTACATATAATTTTTATAGACCCATGAGTTTGGGGACAGTATTTTATAACTAAAGCTAATTCTGGTTCTGGATATGTCGAGCGATAAGGGTTCAACGTTTTTGACTATGAGACCGTTGAGCTCCATCAAACTTCTATCCTGCATAAAACACGACCATGTTAATATTTACATCAGACCACAGTTTGTTCATTCAAGGAAGCAGCTTGAAGATAAAATGTCCCCACCAAAAATACAGGTACCCGTTGTGGCAAGTTTGAAGCTTTCTAGCTCTAACATTGTGCACGGCTGTCCTGGAGTTCCTCGAAGTATCGTAAGTATGGAATTCAAAATGATATGAAGATCGGCAATAGGATTTATTAGATAATACTAACACACTTTCAGCCACGTATCGAGACCACAATAGAGCTACGGCCAGCGCAATGCAAACCTTTTCGTGTTCGGTCAGTAGGAGTTGAACTAAGAACGATACAGAGAGTCATCGTTCCATCAACTATAGGGTCAAATGATACTATCCGAGATTACAAGATATACGAAGATCCTATGGTTTTCAGACCACCAATTGGTGAATTCAGTCAGGAAATAATAGGTATAGACATACCAGTATTAATTCCACTCCCACGAGATATAATATCCAGTGGTACTTTTCCTCGCTGGAATGCAACTACAAGACATATGTTGTACGTAAAAGTTATATGTGGGGATTCCTTTGATACTGAAGTTACCTATGTCGAAAGTTTTCCAGTTGTGATTAAACTCTATGACACTTTACCATTATACAGACAATTTAACGAGCCAATATTTGAAACACAAACATCAGGAGACCAGCAAGTCTTGGTAGACTTATCATTACCGGTGTCTTGTGTTGGACCCAAAGACGATATAATATTATTTACGAAAGTTATGACAAACTCCGCAATCAGGACAGTTAGTAGGAAATTACGACTAAACAAAGTTACAGTACAAATCAAAGAGATATTAGAATGCCATGAAGGTGGGTTACCAGCGAAAAAGGAGAACAAGATATTCACAAAATCTGAAGAATTTAATACTGAGAATAACAATCTAAATACCCAAGGCATATCGAGTCAATTTCAGTTTGGATTTCCTTCGGAAAATGACTTTTTACAAATGTTCACAAACAAGGAGTGGCAATATACCAATAGCGCTTCTGATAATGATGATCCCATGATATCCATTGCAAACTATTTAAAAAATAAGAATATTGATGTTGTTGATGAAGGTATACCTGTGACCCACATCCAAAGCTTTACTACTTTAGGGAAACTTTTTTCAATACGCTTCGAAGCTGTGCTAAAAATCAAATTGATTCATGGAAGAAACTTGGAGACCCGAATACCGATCACAGTATCTCCCTATGATCGCATAAGTAGCGAGTATTTGCTTCAATGGATTATGGATGAATGTGAGATCTCGCGTGCCAAGTTTAGTAGAAATTTAATTAACAAAATTGCGGAGACAAGTTCTTACGACGAAGTCCTTAAGTTAATGAAGAGTTTCATTTCGCCTCCAATAGTGTACAGCAATACTAAGAGATCATGGTTTAGACTTGGATACAACGGTGACCTCTATAGGTCAAAAAGTCAAGCCATGGGTTTGACTCAATATATTGACTGAATATTAATGAAAAAAATATGTACTATATATCTAGTTTTTGGATTTTCTGATAAATATATCTCCTTCCAACCCACACCCTAATTGACTTGAGGGCATCCCTTATTTCTCTTTAGCTTAAGCTTAATCTAATGTTAAAATTTTGTGTTTTGGCTAATACTCGTACGACTTCGCTAAAATACAGGCATCAACATTTATACTTAAAGACGATAAAGCAATACAAATTACTGGCCAAGACTCTATGGATACCAATTTAAAGATTTTATACCTCTCCTTAAGATAACAAACTTTAATATCTTAAAGCAATCATGTCTAGTCCAAATGCTCCTCCTTCTTATGCTCCGACTTCTACCACTTCATACGCACCATCAAATAACAACATTGATTATCATAAAGAGATATCTAGATCATCCTTGGCTAAATCACCATTACAAAAGAATGTTTATGACACATTGGCGGAAATGTTTTCAATAATAATGGCACTAGAGATGGTGGAAAATTCCTTTGTTAAAGACTATATTACAGATAGAGAGAAGTACAAATCGACTACGTCAAGGCTAATCAATCAATATAGAATGCTCTTAAAGGGATTTCAAGACGATGAAGCAAAGAAAAGGATCTTGAAGACAACTTTCAAAAAGGAGTTGAATGAAGAACTTTCCAACTTACCAGAACGCTTGTCAGAACAATTCAACTTGACTGCACCAACGGCAATTAAGAGACTTCAGGCGGGTCCTGATTCCAACGATTTGTTACGGTATGCCGTAGAAGGCTCTTATCACCCCTCAACATCATCTTTGGCTAGTCATGGAAAGACTTCTAAGTCTGCAAGATTGATTGCAGAAACAACCGGCAATTTTATAACATGTATGGATGCATTGAAGCTAAATTATAATACCAAAGAACAGTTACACCCCTTACTAAGTGAACTAGTATTGAGCTTAAACGAACTTGTCTCTTCTGAAGAAGAGCTGTCATTTGAAGAACCAAAGACTTTAGACTTTGAAGGAAAATCCAAATTAGTTAACTGGCTAATTAAGTTGAACAATTTGAAAGACGAAACGTTGTCAAGAGAAGAAACAGATACTTTTTTAAATGACTTGGATATTGCTTACAAAGGATTCTACAGTTCATTAGAGTGATCCATGATTTTCACTTAGTAAATTCTAATCAGAATTGATATATATTAATATTTACCTTAAATAATCGATTCAATCATCTCAGCATAATTCAATACATTAGCAATTACATTTGAATTATCAGAACTCAAATCAGATTCACCCTTGATGAATGTAATCCTTCCATTTTCGAATTTCCAGTTTTCCACCTGAAGTTCCTCTTTCAATATTCTTTCGAAAACAGCATCTGATTGCTCCTGAGGAAAGTAAAGAAGATTCTTGCAGTTATTTATGGGAATTGAATCATATGTCTTTTCTATCGATTTAGCGATTTCGTATCTCAATGCATTATTAAGCGTATCAATGAAATGGTTGTATTCCTTACAAGGCAAATTCTTCTCTTCCTTCAACAACTTCCATATTTTGTTATACGTGCCTTCCATCAAGCTCTTTCCCAAGTCGATTGGGAATTGTAAGTATTTATCCTTATCGATATTATATTTGTCAGAGTTGTAGATCAATTCTAATTCAACATAAAACTTGGAAATCAACCCTTGAGACAATAAATAGATCAAATATAATGAAATGATCTTGGTTGTGTCTGTATTAACCTCTAGTTTTGAATGTAAGCTTTCGTCAGCATAAAAAGGGCGCAATTGACCGAAGTAGTTCTCGAACCCCTGATAGTTATTAGCTAATAACGATGATAAGGTACCTATTTCTAATATACGTTGTGCAATCTTCAAGTCATTTAATTGATCTTTGGTCTTAGTGGTCTCTGGTGTTGGAACAAGTAAGTTGTGCTTGATCAACTCTACCTTGATTGGCGGCAAAATCTTTTGACACTGACTATACTTTTCCTGATCAAACAACTGATATAACTCAGACGTAAGCTTTGTTAATGACATAATGCTCCTATAACGTGAAATTTACTATTGAATCTATGGCTAGTCTCGTTGCCACTGTATGGACTTTAGTCTCGTTCTCATAGTCGTGCAAAGGAGAATTATACTGTCGATATCGGATCACCCCAGCGAAGAGCTAGCGACAAGATAGGCGTACGATATTAACACGACAGAAATACTAGAGATATACGATATAGTATGATAACTTAGCGTTATAGAATTAAGAGGGCAGATCCCTTAGCTAAAAATTTCCATTAAAATCTCTCTAACATTGCTCAAGTCAGAGTGCTTTAAAAAAATAAAAAAACCTTAATTGACACCAAGAAACGCCAGCTGATAGCAACAAACTGCTACACGCTCCTCAAAACAAATATATCTGTCAAAATATCAAATATAGCTCAGAAATTAAATCTCAGGCTCTTTGAGTAAGCAGCTATAAGGCGGACTACGGACTACCAGATTAGATTATTGCAAAATCAGTGACTCAGATGGAAAACGAATTCCGGCTACCGATACGATCTCCGAGGGTGAAATTTTATTAGTCACAAAATTGCCGAGATATAAAATACTTCTAGAAGTTTTCGACATCATCTCTTCTTCCAAGCAGATTAGGTATTGGATATTATAGAAGCCTAGGCGTATCTAGTGAAGGTATATTTAAACATAACAAGCACATTTGACTATTGGAGGTTAGACGAACAAAATGTGTGGAATTTTCGCTGCTTATAGGCAGCCAGATATGGAGCACTTTAAAGAAAAAGCTTTACAGTATTCTAAGAGAGTTAGACACAGAGGACCAGATTGGTCAGGAAACGTTGTTCAAAACTCAACTATCTTGTGTCATGAGAGGTTGGCAATCGTGGGATTAGACTCAGGTGCTCAACCTATCACATCCTCCGATGGTAACTACAGCTTAACCGTTAACGGAGAAATCTATAACCATATTCATCTCAGGGACAGCATGCCAAACTACAAGTATAAGTCCATGTCAGACTGTGAGCCTATTATTCCACTTTTTGAGAAATACGATGTTGATGCTCCTAAATATTTGGATGGTATGTTTGCTTGGGTTTTATATGACAAAAAGAGAGATCGTGTTGTTGCTGCAAGAGATCCAATTGGTATCACTACATTGTATATGGGTAAATGCAAATCGCATCCAGAAACGAGGTATTTTGCATCGGAGTTGAAGTGCTTGACTGATGAATGTGACGAGATCCAAGCTTTCCCTCCAGGACATGTATATGACTCTGATACTGATAAACTCACGAGATACTTCAACCCAAGCTGGTGGGATGGTTCCAAGGTTCCTCAGAAGCATGTTGATTATAAAGAAGTGAGAGAATCGTTAGAATTGGCCGTCAGAAAGAGATTGATGGCTGAAGTTCCATATGGTGTTTTATTGTCTGGTGGATTAGATTCTTCATTGATAGCTTCTATTGCAGCTAGGGAGACTCAAAAGGCAGCTCAACGTCTCTCAAACGAGGGTATTAATGCAAATGATGAGTTGACAGGGGTTGATGAAAAGGGTTCCTTGCACGCAGCAGGATGGTCAAGATTACATTCCTTTGCTATTGGATTACCAGGTGCTCCAGATTTACTCGCAGCTGAAAAGGTTGCACATTTCATCGGAACCATTCACCATTCTCATACTTTCACCTTAGAAGAAGGATTAGATGCTCTTAACGATGTCATTTACCATTTGGAGACTTATGATGTCACTACGATCAGAGCATCGACTCCAATGTATTTATTATCTAGAAAAATCAAAGCTCAGGGTGTCAAGATGGTTTTGTCTGGTGAAGGTTCTGATGAGATTTTTGGAGGATACTTATACTTCGCTAATGCTCCTTCAGCCAAGGAATTCCACGAAGAATGTGTGCAGAGAGTGAAAAACTTACACTTTGCCGATTGTTTAAGGGCTAACAAGTCAACTATGGCTTGGGGATTAGAAGCAAGAGTTCCATTCTTGGATAAGGAATTTTTGGAAGTGTGTATGAACATCAACCCTGAAGACAAACTTATCAAACCTAAAGAAGGCAGAATTGAGAAATACATATTGAGAAAAGCATTCGATACTTCTGATGATCCAAATGCAAAGCCTTATTTGCCAGAAGAGATTTTGTGGAGACAAAAGGAACAATTCTCTGATGGAGTTGGATACTCTTGGATCGACAGTTTGAAGGATGCTGCTGAAGCTGCTGTTTCTGATGAAGACTTTGCTAATCCAAAGGCTGAATGGGGTGACGATATTCCAACAACTAAGGAGGCGTACTGGTACAGATGTAAGTTTGATGAAATTTTCAAAGATTCTAAAGCTGCTGCTTCGACTGTTATGAGATGGATTCCAAAGGCAGAATGGGGTTGCCATGCAGATCCATCGGGAAGATACGCAACTACCCATGAGCATAAGGTTGATAACCAATAGATACAGACCTGCTACAAACAAATATGATAGACGCATCTTGAAATTTCATTTTGGAGTTTGTAAATAATAAGAAGAAAATAGTATGTTAGTTTATAATACGCTTAAACCAATCTTTTTTTGTAGTTCTTCAAACGATGGAAGCTCTTCAAGCTGTGGGAGTCGTATATTAAGTCAAGAGGGCATGGTTATACAAGACATACTTAAATTACATAGAATAATTAATTGTTATGGCTATTTGAAACCCATATATCGTTACTTTTTTTTTTGCTGCTATCGGGCTCTAGTATTTATGTTTACCATTGAACTTCTTACCGTAAGATTTGAATGGTCTTTTGAAATTCTTTTTGTAATTCTTGTTGCTACCGTAAGATTTAAGTCCTTTATTAAAGCTTTTATCAACTAAACCAATTTCTTTGGCCACTGCTGTACCTGGCTCAACTCCAAATTTCTCTATTCTGACCAAATCTTTCCTTGCAGCCTCAGCAGCTGCTTCATCGCCAAACTTCTGTGCCCGTTGGATTTTTTTAGTCAACAAGTCCACTGCCAATTGCTTTCTCTCTTCAGGGCCCAATACTTTAGGTTCAGGTTTTTCCTTCGGCTTCTCGTTTTCCTTTTCCTCAGGCTGCTTGACTGTCAAAGTAGCTTCCTCTTCAGCTTCTTTCTCGCCACTTGGCTCAGATTTCTTCTCTTCTTCGACAGGTTGTTCTTCCTTCTCGTTAGCTAAGTTATTGTCATTTTCAACTAATCTTTCAACGAGATCTGCTTTTTTCCCATCTGTTGATAAGCCCTTTGACTTCAATATATCCTTTAATTGGGCTACTGTATGAGAAGAATATTCTGACATGTTTTTAACTATGAGAATTATACAAATTGATGTTCTTGTTATAGAAGAATGATATTAAAGTCAATTTCTGTCAAATTCGTTACGCGTGCACTAAAATTTCACCCTCGTGAAGGTCGACAGTAATATCCAAGTTCAAAGGTATAAATAGCTTTGTAGGGCTTTGTGATGGAACCCACTAAGCAAACTAACCTACTCCATAAGAATTGAAGGAATTGAAGTTATAATGGGGAAGAAACAGTACATTTAACTGACTCCTATGAAGACTTAAATGCCAAAGAATACGGAAAGCTATACGTAGATAGCCTTCTTGAACAGCGTAAATAACACTCACTTGGTAGCTTAGAAGCTTGAGAAAGATCTATCGAGCTCACAGAGCTTTGTTTGTCTGATCAAGATAGCTTAATGTCAAGTACGAACATAAGCAAAACTACTGAAAAATTAATGACTATTAGCACAATCACCAGGATTCTTGGTGCAGGGTAATAACCACTGTAAAGTTTCTCTTGGACATGAAAGTATGTGAATGTGCCAATCAACAATGCCAATAAGGACATGCATATCATTATAGGACTAATGCATTTTCCAAATTGCTTGATAACTTCACTGTATTTCTTGTATTCATCGCTGTAGACGTCAGCTGAGTACGAAGCAGCTTTAGACTCTAATCTGTATATTTGCACCGCACCCAAGGCAGCTAGTGTAAAGTAGGAGGCTGTCCTTACCCATGCAAGTAATGTTCTTTCATTTGCTAACTGATAATTGTTAGTATGTGCACTGATGAACAGAGAGAAGTTTTCAAATTAACGTACCTGATCTCTAGCCATTGATCCCTCGTTCTTTACGACGATGGTCCATCTGAAGTATTCTCTTATCTTACGCTTAGACTGGTTGTTTTTGCTATTGCTCTGCGAATCATTTATTGAATCATCCAATTGAGCTTTTATCCGATGGTTGGAATCAGATTCTCTTTCATTTGCATTATAATTAGATAACTCAATAGGCTCCAGTTCATGAGGATGCTTATTTTCTTTCTCCAACTGCACATCCCCCAAGTCAAGCTCATCTTTATCCATTATGTGAATTGCTCCATAAGTGTTCGATCTCGTCTACAAATATTGAGTCTCACAGCTTATCTACAAAATCCATATAAGAATGAAAGTATCGATAATTTTAGACTAGAATACAGATTTAATTATTTGTGAGGTATATGAGACGCAATGTCTTACTCAGAAGAACTTCTGGTAGCAAGTTGGCGGAAAATGGATGCCTCTGTTACGTATTGAAGTAGCTTACCAAGATCCTTAAAGCAGTATTGTAGTGATCAATTGTATATATGAGTGTATTTTAAAATGATGTTCTTATAGTAGCTTACAATATTAATTAAGTGGCATCGATGATCACTCTTCCATATCATGATCATCGTCACCATCAATGAACATTAAGGTTTCTCCATTATCAATCTGCTGCCATACTCCAATATGGTCATATTCTAAGATACAGTCGGTGAATTGCTCGACCGTGTAACCTTTTGCGATGACCCTTTGTTTAAGTTCATTCATTGGAAGAGAAGAAGTGAATTTGGATCCATCACCCATTGCAATACCACGAATGATTTGGTATATCTTGGAAGTAGAAGACTCATCCTCTCTAATCTTTTCGTCATTGACATACAAAGACGACTTTGACACTTGAATCAACCTCAAAGCTTCGTCGACATCCTCTTCAGTAACAACGGTATCAAATCTGATTCTTGCAAGAGCTTGTGACATCCTTAAAATACCCAAAAGAGTTCTAGGAGTGACATGACTGAATTTTCTAACTGAACCTTCGTTCCTATGGGACTCCTTTCTCATATTAATGTAAGATTGAACAACGTAATCTCCGACTTCCTTTGGAACAACCGGTCTATAAGATCTTGCAATTGAAATATATTGTCTGATGGTGGTAGAATCTAGAGGCTCGAAATCCAGCTCTGGTTGTTTGTTATGCATATGCACATAAGCGACATGGTTTGCTAATCTTTCGTCCATCTCTTTGGAAGGATGGTCTAATATCAAATACATGATATCAAACCTTGATAATAATGCAGCAGGTAAATTAATATTCTCATGGGGAGATAATCTGGTATTATACCTTCCATACAATGGATTAGCAGCTGCTAATATAGATGTTCTAGCATTCAAGGTTGTGGTTATACCAGCTTTGGAAATCGAAATAGTCTGTTGTTCCATAACTTCATGAATTGCGGTTCTATCTGACTCATCCATCTTATCAAACTCATCGATACAACAGATACCATTATCAGCTAAAACTAAAGCACCTCCTTCCAATACCATTTCATCTGTAATTGGATCTCTCATCACAGCAGCAGTTAAACCAACACCAGAAGATCCTCTTCCTGTGGTGTAGACGGACCGAGGTGCAATTTTACCAATTGCCTTCAATAATTGGGACTTAGCTACACCAGGGTCACCCATAAGACAAACATTTATATCTCCTCTAATCCGCAAACCATCGCCTATCTCTTTCGTAACACCTCCACATAAAAGCAATAAAAGCACTTTTTTCACATCCAAATGCCCATATATTTCTGGGGCAATAGACTTGGCTAGCTTGTTGTAGATGTCACCAGATTTCACTAGGTTCTTGATTTTTAACTTCACCTCATTCGTTATTTCATTCGACTCATACTGCTTTTTCTGTTGTTTAACATATTGAGCCTCCAAATAAGTCTCTGTTAATAATCCAGCTTTCAAAGCTCTATATCCAGTATAGGGAGAAGGCATAAAAATACCAGAGACATCCACAACATCACCAGGGTTCATCAGTCTCACTAAGTCACCGTTAACATGGATTGTGAGGGATCTAGGAATGTGTCCGACGGGAACTTGGTTAGATAATTCTTGAATTTTAACTTCTTGGAAACTGGAGAACTTTGAAGCCCTAGTGGACATGAACAACTGACCCTTGTTATTATCAGCCTTGCAAACAGGTGATGTGCATTCAGATAAAGGAGTGAAGACTTTTGACGTCACCTCTTGAAAAATTTCGAAACCACACTTATCACATGTGTATGCGATAACCAAGACACTTGGTTTGACATCAGAAACCCTGGTGACGATTCCTCTAATTGTGATATATTTTCCAACGTATCCTCCCTTGACTTGTCTCACAGATAAACTTTTATGATCAGAGGACAAAGGCTTGAAATACAAATGATAACGGCGAGTTAATTTTGGAGGAAACATATTATCAGCTTGCTGATTGTCGTTTCTGTTTTCATCATTTTCATTGAATCCTTCACGCAAATTATTGTATTCATCATTGTTATCTTGCTGTAATCTTAAATTACGAAGTGTTCTTTGATGTAAAATTACATCGAGAACGTCATCCTTATACGATATATCCTTGGTCGGCTTCGGCATCAACTCATCAATAACATTGCAGAACATTTCCACGAAATGATAGGTATTTTTTAAGATGAATGAAACCAAGTTGACTGAACTCTGCGACTGCTCAAATTGATTAGTATGATATGACTTAACATCATCTAAGTCAATATACAAAGTACTGAGCTCTCTATTAGCGACACGTTGTAATAGATTCATATACTTTGACCCTTGAGGAATATCATCTATATCTATCGAGTCATCGTCAATTATACTAGATGCCTTAAACGTGGTCAAAAAGTCTTTAATCGAGTTCTTAATCTCACCATAATTAACATTCAATTGAATAGTCGGTAACACCGTAGATGTTGCTGACATCGTAAATTCTTTGATACGATGAAAATGAGATAAATGCTCTTAAGTTAAAAGGTAGATTGAACTTGCAAAATATAATGAAAGAAGATATTTTTCCTTAAAACAGACCTTTAGAGGAGGTTTCAAGAAAGTGAAAAATTCGAAACGCGTCAGATTTTATTATTCCCTAATTCGGAACCGTTCCATAATTCCTTTTAGATGCGAAATATTCAACTCTAAGTCAACAATGAAGTCGTTCAAGTAAAGAAAAGGGCATTGAAGATATAGTATTTGAGTCCTATAAAGTATAAAAAAAGTTTAGTGATATAACGAGAAAAAAAAATGGACTAGCGTGTAGCATTTCTCTCCAAGTGTGTGAACTGAAGTTATAACTATTGAGTAAACCAGATCGTAGAACTGAAACAGAAAGGATAATGAACCCAAGACTAAACCTTCCTATGCTATCTTTGAATCCTTAGCAATAAGAAAATGATGAACAGTAATGCAAAAAATCACACAGACATTAGATCTACTAATGCGTTTGCAGCTGTTGTTTCGTCATCGTTACTACCATTGTTTAACTTACCATTTCGTGCTTTCTGGCGCAAGGTTTCAGCTCCTATAGATGCCCAGTCCTCCTCGTCTGTGTCGCTTTGATCTTTCTGGGGCACGTTCGAGGACGATCTAAAACCATCGAACTTTGGATTCAGCTGTGCCTTAGGTAAAGATGAAGACAATGTCGATCGTAAGTGCGATTCATTGAACGAAGAATTTCGCCTATTAGCAGAGCTAATTGCAGCTAAACTGTCTGGGCTTGCGTTGATCGATGGCATATAAGGGTTTGAGCTCCATGAATTGACGGGCGAACCACTTAGCACTGATGCTGCAGCAACTGGAGGAGGAGGAGAGTTGATGGATACACTTGAGTTTCTAGCAGATGATAGAATATAATTATCCAAATTGTCCAAGGAATTCAACCTAGATCTGTTGAATATTTGATGCCTATGATTGTTTGGAATTTTGGTGATGGAATTTGACGGATTGGACGAAGACGACTTTCTTCTGCCATTGGTAGAAGATGGCGGCGGACTCACTTTTAGTGGAACCCTATCAGCAAATTTTATGGGGGGCGAAGATTTCATTTTATTTTCCGAATCGTCTTGATCAAACGTAAAGAGCTCTTCTCCAGCTTCGTCATCATCATCATCATCATCATCATCGTCATCGTCATCATCATCTTCTTCTTCTGGTTTATCATCTTCACTATCCTCATCTATGTTTACAGCTGAGCCATATTCACCGTCGGAATCGCTTTCAATCGCATTATCTTCCAAACCTTCTCCTGGTAACTTCAAATTGTGTAGATTTGACTTGTTATTGGTAATAGATTCTCTTCTGTGCAGCTCATGTCCCGCCGATTGCTTCTTAGACCACCCCAACTTCAAATTCGCCTGGTTTCGCAAGTCATTCACGTTAATCTGCTTTTTAACTGACTCCTCACTATTTTCTGTGCCTTCGGTAACTATATAGTCACTATTCACCTTTCTAACAGCCCATTGCCCCCAGCCTATTTTCTCAAATACGACGTTATTGGCGGTATCCGTTTGTTCCATAGCCGCCATTATCAATCTCCTCTGTTTAGACAAGGAAAGTAGTTCAAAACTCGGCACTTCAAGTGCTAACTGACTCGTTATACGCCGAATTGGCAACGGTCCCTTTTTTATCAATAAATTTGCTAGTCTTGTGGGAGTTATTTTCGCTGCAATCTGTATTCCCTCCGGAGACGAAGTAGATAGCAATTTCTTTGGCGGCTGGCCCTCCTGGCCCGGAGACAGCGACAAAGGCTCCGACTTGGGCGAATTGGAAGACAACCTCATCTCATGAGGTGTCTTGTGATGCCCACTTTGTGTATATGTCATTGGATAGTTCCACTTCTTCCTACTAATCTAATATAGAAAGATATTTCTTTCTATGACTCTTAATAAAGTGTTGGTAGATAGTCAAAAAACGCGTACTAAATCAAATGAAAGACAGCTATTATTCGGTAACTCTTGATGAATCTGCTGTCTTGTTGAATTTGATACTCTTTATACTCAACTCTAGTGTCCAATTTAGGGAAGCTTTTTTATCTGCTGGCTTTAAATTGTTATATTGTATTTTTTTACCGGTCTTATTATCTGCTTTTTAGTGTCTAAGATCGCTAAATTTGGATAACCAGTTTAGGTCATTTATTTAATGGTGGGGGCTCTATATGAGAAATAACATCATAATAATAGAAATATAAAGAGAGATGGATCTTCCTTTATCTACTATAGAGGCTATAGAGGATAGTCTCAAGTATTACAATAAGGTTCAGTTCAGCGGGTTGATCGTAGGTAAGAATGGACGCTTATTGGGTAGTTGGACTAATAATGATGTGAATATTGAGAAAGAGTATTGTGAGGATATTTTAAAGATAATCGAGCCCAAAGAACAGCAAATCATTCGTATGAAGTATTTAGAGGACGATATGATGGCAATGGCTCGAAATGGGTTCACTTTTATCTTTAAAAAATGAGTTTTCTAAAATTAGGGAAGGATGATAGGATACAAGACGCGTGTCTCTCGCAACATTATGCCACGAGTTACTTGTTGGTGCTCTGTGGAAGGAACAGACTTAGATTACAGACTTACTGGTTACAATTCGTCGAAAAGAAAGAAAAACAATGTCTTAATATAATAATTTAATAAACTTCTAAGATATAACGACCGGCTTCCTTCATATCCTCAACAGCTCTAGCTATGTCTTTGACATCGAGACCAAGTTTCTTAGAGCCATTGGTGACAATATCTTCGAGGCACGCTGTGATATCTGGAACGGGCCAAGTTGGACCGCAAAGATAGAAGGACCCGTTCTTAGTAACAATAGCTTCAGTTAACTCTTCGATAGTTTCTCTGATTCTGTCCTGGATGTAAATCTTCTCTGGTTGGTCCCTAGAGAAGGCTGCTCCAATGTGAGTTAAGACTCCCGAATCTTTATAAGCTTCCCAAAGTTCACCATACAAGTATTCTTCTTTTTTATGTCTTGAACCCATGTAGAGATAGATCTCGCCAATCTCGTGGCCTTGTTGCTTTTGCCAAATCTTTTCCTCGATAAAGGCCTTGAAAGGAGCCAAACCAGTACCTAATCCCGACATAACAATCGGTTGTGTTGTGAGAGGAGGCAACTTCATTACCGAGGGTTTGACACTTACAACCAATTCATCTCCAACCTTTAAATCTGACAAATATTTAGAGCAATGACCATATCTAACTTTGCCTTTTGGATCAATCCAATCTACGACAACAATCAAGAGATGAACTGAATTAGGGTGAAGCTTTTGAGATGAAGCAATAGAGTATTCTCTTCGCTTCAATGGCGCGATAATCTTGACCAAATCCGCAAATGATGGTCTTGCTGATTTGAATTCTTCTAAAATGTCGACATAGGTTAAAAAGTCAACTTCCTGTCTCTTCTTTAATTCAGCGGCACCTTCAGCACTAGCCAAACTCTCTAAATGCTTCTTTTCTCCTTCATCGGAAGCATATTCAGCTAAAGATTCATAAAACCTTTTAGGTGGCTTACCCAAGAAATCAATTGATTCACTCAATGTTTGTCTAACTGACCTAATTTCAAGAATCGAAGCATCATCTCTATGGGAGACTTCGATAAGTGAGTCACCATCGACATTGTAGAATTTCAAAAATTTCTCAACCTCTTCAGAATTGTTTCTGCCGTGAATACCCAAAGCTTCACCAATATCGTATGTCAATCCGGTACCAGTAATATCAAACTCTATATGGAAAATATTTCTAGAATATTCAGTTGGAGTTAATCTCTTATTTTCTTGTACCTTAACAATAAAATTTTCAACAGGAAGTTCTGGCCTTAATTCCTCCTTAATTTCAAAAGCTTCAGGGAAAGTAAACTTGGTTGCCAAATCCTTGTATCCGCCTTGTAATGTTTCCTCAGGTTCAATTCCTTCATTGCGTGGATTAGGGAAAAATGAATTCTCAGTAGGAAAGAAAGGTAATTCTTTACTTTCAGGTTCAGATTCGATATCATCTTGACTTGATTCCTTCTTTTCATCTTTCTCAACTTCTGGTACTTCTTCGATATCCACCCATTCAGGAAGAACCTTGATTTCCTTCAAGGCTTTCTTCTCATCAACAAGTTGAATGAATTTATCCAAAACAGCTGCTAATAATTCAAAGTCATTTCCATTTGCCTGTAATAACTTATTAACAATAAAATTTCCTAATTCTGGATAAGACGCCCTCCAGAAAGCTAATTGGATTAAAAAGCTTCCAGAAAATCCCTTGGTTGAGTCATTGGCTTCATCGATGTCTTTTAATGCCGAGAAATCAATGGCTATCAATCTATTATGATTCTCTGCCAAACCTCTTTTAAAGCCCGCAGGAATCTTTGGCACGATGTCTTCTTCAACTGAGGAAGTTATTGGCTTCTGATTGATATAAAGTATCACTGCACCTGGTTTTGCGGTAGCCAAAACATCATAATTATCAGTAATCAGTAAATCCTCGACAAAGACGACATCTGCAGAATCAATAGAAGCAGATGGAGGACTTTGAAGTGAAGATATAATTTGTGATTGAAGTAATCCACCAGCAACAGAATTATCATATTTGTTTCTAAATCCTATTACCTTAGAATTATCCAATGATAACGACAAAGATAATCTTTCGGCAACATCTAAAAATAATCCATTATCCTTACCCCAAAATATGAATTTACCTTCAGGAGAGCTGTTTGCATTGATTTGGGAGTCAATAGCCTCCTTAGGCTGTGATAAAATAGAATCTGGATTGAATCCTTTTAAATACTCTGAAAAGATTTTTGCAATTGTAATTGGAGTCCAGTTGAAATTGAGAGGATAGGAGAATTCATCTAACGAATAGTTGTAATATCTATTGTTAACGAATAAAGCAGAAGCAACGTCAGCTCTTAAGGACAGATTGCTTGATTCATCTAAAATTACGAGTTTCTTAGTGGTTGCAGGGATCGCTTTGACAAAATATTCCTGATGAAATGGTAAACGAACACGAATCTTGATAAGACCTACTTTGGAACCATTCATCTTTTGAATAGCACTTGTCAACTCTGTTGTCTGGTGGGAACCGTATGTAACAAACACAGTGTCTGGGTTTTCGTCACCAACGTAATCGAAAAAGGAATACGAGGTTCCAGCCAAGCGATTCAAAACCTCAAAAGATGATTCAATCGATTTCTCCAAACATGACAGTCTGGTATTTGAATTAGCCAAAAGCTCTTCATAAAGCTTGCCTAAATCTTCTACGGACAAGAGATTCTCAAATTTGGTAAACAACTTGATAAACTCTGGACCATCAAATAAGTTAATACTTGGACTGCCAGTGAGAAATGCCAAGTAGTGGTTCAATACGGTTAAATGCTGAATCTCTGGACCGTTTCTAGCGTCGACTGGTGTAAAGATAGGGTAGCCTAATGATCTGGCAACGTTGACTGTCTTAGAATAATTAGATACTAAACTTTCTGAAGCGAAATCATAATCAATAGCCGAAACGTTCAATGATAAAGGCAATCTATCTGCCGATCTTCCTGTCAAAGTAGGCTTCATGTAAGTTAAGGCATCTGCACCCATCAAAACTGAGATAGGCTGTCCACTTGTACCGTTTCTACTAAAATAACCCAAAATGGCACTTGCAGCGCCTGATCTAACTTCTAAATGGTTTATGATGGGAACAATACCGAAGGCATTTGGTCTCTTGTAGTTCTGAGACCAAAGCTCCAAATACGCATCTAATAACACATCAGATCCAGCAGCTTCATAACTGAAAACCTTACTGGAAACTGAATAAAGTGCTTGGCTAACAACTGCACCTGCAGAAGTGTAACTATTACCTTTCAAGGTATGTGGATCTGCTAATACGCCAAAAGGATTAGATTTTATCAACGAAATAGACCCCCCTAACGTCTCAGAAATACTCCCTGCGACAGAAATTGGAGGGGTTGCCGTTGTGTTAGTGTTTATAGCATGTGGCACCATGACTAATTCAATATCTCCTTGATCTTTATGCCTATCAGGTGCACCAATGTTCCTCATTATATTTATCTGAAAAATTTACGTTAAACAAACTTCACGTGATATGTTCTCATGTCTCGAAATGATCTCTAACACGACATAATTTAAAGCAAAATAGGCAAGACAGGGTTCCGAGAGTGATTTAAACAAAGCAATCTAGAGATCATATAAAATCTTTTTATCGTCTATAACAAAACCAAATATGTTTCTAAAGGTTGGACGGAATACTTTCCGAGCAGGAAACAGGAGATGTTTTAAAAGTTTTGGACTTCGGTTTAATAGCACGGTATCCGGTAAAAATCCAAACTCCAGTAGCAAAGCATTTGGATATGCTGGAGTTGGTGTTTTATCTGCAATTGGTGGGTTGTATTTGGGAAAGAACTGGTTACAATCGGAGCCGAAGAAGACTGATCATCAGACAGAAGAAGAAGATCCATCAACATTGCCTTTAAACAAGTTGTCTTCACCGGTTTATGCAGACGAGGAAGCGTTTAATAAGGCATTGTCTGCCATCAAAGCTGTCGTGGGCGATGACAAGGTTAGCAATGATAAGCTGGTGGTTGAAGCTCATTCTGACTCTTTTTTCTCTACGCATCACCCTCCAAATCCCCAGAAGGAACGACCCCAGGTCGTAGTGTGTCCACAAAACACTGAACAAGTATCTCAGATCATGAAAATTGCTCATGAATATAGAGTTCCGATCGTTGCAAACTCAGGGATGACTTCTTTGGAAGGTCATAACATGCACACTAGAGGCCCATATAGTGTTTCGTTATCCTTTGAGGATATGGATCAAGTTCTCGCTGCGCACCCTGATGATTTGGATATTGTTGTCCAACCTGGTTTAGGTTGGCAAGAATTGGATGAATACTTGCTAGATAATGATGAAACTAGCCACTTAATGTTCGGTCCGGACCCAGGTATCGGTGCATGTATCGGTGGAATGGTATCGACTTCGTGTAGTGGGACAAATGCATACAGATATGGCACGATGAAGGAAAATGTTGTAAACTTGACGGTCGTCTTAGCTGATGGTACTGTTGTCAAGACTAAGCAAAGACCTAGAAAATCAAGCGCAGGTTATGACACAACGAGATTATTCATTGGTGCTGAAGGAACTTTGGGTATCATAACTGAAATCACGTTGAAGTTAAGTGTTCGGCCCATAAAACAAGTTGTCAGTATTGTTACTTTCCCAACAATTAAGGATGCTGCAGCTACTGCTCGTTATATTATATCGAAGAGCGGCATGCACCTTGATGCCATAGAGTTGTTAAATCCAACTGTGATGTCGTTTGTGAATGAAACTGCCAAAGAGACGGACTCAAGGACATTCAGGGAAAAGCCTACTCTTCTTTTAAAGGTGGGAGGCTCGACTGATGCCGCCATTGATGAGCAAATTGGCTTGATAACCAAAATTGCCAAAGATAATGAATTGATTGAAATTGAGACGTCGAAGAGTGAAGATGATAATTTGGTGTTATGGACTGCCCGTAGAAATGGCTTATGGTCAACTATTGAATATGGACGTAAAATTTTGGAGGATAAAAATGATGTACAGATTTGGACTACAGACATTGCAGTTCCTATCTCAAAGTTAGATACTGTGATCTCGGAAACAAACGATGACTTAAATGCGTCAGGATTTGAAAATAAATTTTCAGTTTTGGGGCACGTTGGTGACGGTAATTGTCATTTCCTTATCTTATACAACAGTAAAGACTATGGACAGGTCCAAGATGTAGTGGATAGAATGGTCCATAGGGCTCTACATTATGAAGGTACATGTACAGGAGAACACGGTGTTGGTGTTGGAAAGAGAAAGTACCTTAACGAGGAACTAGGCACTTCCACAGTAAACCTCATGAGAGAAATTAAGCTTCTGTTGGATCCAAGAAGAATTTTGAATCCTGATAAAATTTTCAAAATTGATCCTAAAGACAATTTGGATCAATTATTGAGTAGTGGACATATTAGGGAACATGGAAAGCCTTGCTAACCTAACCTGATCCTTTAGCTACAATTATGTATCTTTATATAGATCCATAGATTTTGAATATTTCAAGGTCAATTTTTCAGTACTGTATATAACCTATGTGGAACTATCGATTGAATGTACTGAATATATAAAGGTGAACATAAGCTTGAGTATCCAATCTACAAACACAAGAATCATTATTATGTCACAATCACCAACCCCGGATAGGTTCCAGATAGATCTATATCTGGTTTCTGAAGTAACAACCAAGCAACATTCATTCAAGCAAAACCCAAATAGACCAAAAATTCCAGCTAGACGATTTAAACAGGCAAGGCAACTTGTTACGGATGAAATTAAATATTTGCAGAGCAAACCAAACATAAAGTTCGATACACCGACATACACATCCATAAGTGCTCCTCCTAGCTTAAAACCACTGAAGCACTATTGCGATATTACAGGATTACCTGCAAAGTATCGTAGCCCTACTAATAACTTACGATTTTATAATGTGGAGATTTACCAGGAGATAATTAGAGGAATGGCTCCCGGATTGGACCAAGAGTATTTGGAATTAAGAGGTGCAAATGTTATTTTGAAATAGAAATGTATGAAAATGTTGTCATTAATACTATATTCCTAGAATACATAGAATACATATGTATATATCTATCTCAATCATTGCATGTCGTTCCATTCTTCGATAATCTTTGTTATTCGCTTATCAAATGTAGGTGACTGAAGAATAGTCTCTGTTCCCTCAGAGAAGTCTAGGTTCGTGAATGGATTACAGAGTGTCTTCAAGTAACATTTGCGTACCTGAGAAAATAAGTCCTTCAAGTCCTTTTGGTCTACGATAACAGCACTATCTCCCATTTCTTCCTCAAGTTCTGTTTGTTCTTCATTAGGCTCTTCTTTTCCGAATCCGATAACAATTTTTAATCCGTTATTTGATTCATATCCATAAACCGTAACATCATCTTGTATAAATAATAAAAGCACTCCGTCGTTGTTTCTCTGTTGCTGCTCTCGTATACTTATAGATGCTGGAGATGAAAAGATGTCTAATGCCATATGTGATAAAAAGTTATACTTTAAAAACTTGTTTGCATTTCCACTATCATTGGAGTCAGCTGGCTCTAGATTGAAAGATTGAATATATAACGGATTATCGTCTCTAGATATTAACGCAACAAATTGCGCCCTTCTCTGACGTACCATTTGGAGTATGCTAACAGTGTCTGCCTGGCAGGGACCTTTAATGTTTAATGATATTCCTTTTTATATGGAGCTTAAATCAATCGTCTAAACAATAGTGAGATTTTCACTCGAAAATGAAATCCTTATATATCGAAGCTTTTCGATGATAATGGATCGCTCTATTTTTTAAAATAAGTATCTAAATGGCCAATGTTTCACCATCTTCGGGAAAGGTTGATGATTTCCTAACCAGCTTATCTGAATTGTCCCAACAGAGATTGAAAGAAGACCAGGAACGGCAGCGACGTTTGCAAAGAAATGTTGATGAATTGAGACTTAATCTGGCAAAAAATTCACCTGTAAAGAGGTCTAGGGAACAGAACACACCAGTATCACCTGCCTCAGGTTTTTCCGGCTCTTATACGAATGTGGGTGGGCAAGAGCAGCGTGAAGAGAAGATTGGGAACAAAGTTCTGGCTATCAACAGGTCCAATGGAAATGAAAATGGGATTGACTCATCATCGGAAGAAGTAGGCTCGAAAAAGATACCGCCAGCTAAACCAACGAAGTCTGATTACTTGATATCTAACCCTTCGGGCTTCTCGATTAACCTAGTTCAACCCGTTGCTCGAAAGCCAAATGTGTTGTCTTCTGAATATATAAAGCCAAAGCCAAAGCCAACACCTACAAAACAGATTAGCTTGGGCTCAAAGCAACATCAGTCTTTCGCAGATATAGAAACAAGCATAAAGAGTGGGCGAATACTGTCAAATGCTTTAGGACTTGATCCTGAACTAGGCAAAGAAGGGTCAAGACCAAGACTTCCTACAAGACCTTCTGAAAGAGTTGAAGATGACGATGAAAAGAAACCGAGACTACCAACTCGGCCAACTGAGTATTCTAGTAATTCTGAACCTGACTCGGGACCACCACTTCCTATTAGGCCGAAGAATGTTGATGATGAGAAGAAACCGCTCCTACCACAAAGGCCGTCTCATTTGTTCTCGAGTAATCTACCGAATTCATCGAAGAACTTTAAAGCGAGCTCTGAGCTGAAACCGATACGCCCTTCGAAACCAAGCTCTATTCAGCCATTGAAAATCAATGTTGATCGGCCAAAAAGATCTGAAGATAAGCCCGAATTTTTGGTCCAAATCGAAACAATGAAGAATTTAAGGCCCAATTCAGGGACCAGTTCTCAACTTCATGAAAAGAAACCGTTGATTTCGGATAAGAAACCAAAACCGGCCATTCTGACATTTGCAGAGAGAGATAATGAGATTCTACTGCGTGCCAAGATGAATCTTAGCTCAAAAAAGCCACCGCCAAAGCCGCTGAAGGCATCATTGAAACCCTACGAAGAAAATGATGCAAAAGAGCTTTTAGATCAAAAAAACAAGCTAGGTAAAAGTGAAGATGCAAAAAATAATAGGATAGAACAGCGTTCTGATGAAACTTCGGGCTCACTAAATTCTTCAAGGGCCCCAGATCATGCCTTATCCAAAGGTTCTAGGATACCCACCAATTACAGTCTACTGAAGGTTCAAACAGAGCCAAAAGTTGGCCCTGAGACTTCTATTCATGATAGATTATCCTCCATTTTAAGAGCGGGAACCGCACCTGAATTAGCCTCTTCCACAAGAAAGACTCCCGCAGTTGCCAAATCGGATCCAACTCCATTGAAGGAGACGCGGGAGTTGGTGCATGTGAATAAAAGTCGCTCAAAGGGCCCAAAACGAAGATTACCCAAGAGCATGAAGCCATCTTCTCTGAATGATACCACGATAAATATTAATCAAACCATTAATGAAGAAGAGCATTTAACAGTTCCTAAAAAGAACAAAAAAGTTCCACCACCAGTAAATAAGGCTACGAAACCTAATAGAGCGGACATAAAGCCCAGAGTATTCAGTGGAGAGGTTTTCATATAGCTTTACTTAATCGTTAATACAGAACCTTTTTGTGTAAATTTCTTGAATAATTGTATTTCATATCTCAATCCAGTTATACTACTAGTACCTCGACATATTGAAGTTATAATTGAACAAGTTTAAGGCCCATAATCATGGACGATTTCAATCAATGGAAGGACACGGCAATCAAAGGTTTTAAGAGCAGTTTTCAAAGTGCAAATTCGTTAGTTCGTTCTAAGTATGAAGAATTAAAACCACAAATCGACCAACTAGCTTATGAAAAAGAAAAAGTGCTCGATGACTTCAAGGAATTGAAAGTCACTCCTATCACAACTACCATATCTCTTGCAGCATTAATTGCGTTCCTCTTTTTAGGCAAATTCGTTTTTTCCTCGTCAAATAAAAGCTCAAAGGTTTCAAAGAGCCAGAAAAAGAAGCTGAAAAAGGTACCGAAGTTGAAGAAAGCCAATTTGGAGATTGGGCAAATCTTAAATTATGTTGAAGCAGAATATGTTCCCCAGATTCAAGATTACTTTGAAAATGCTCTTAAATTGAAGCCCGAGGAGAGCGAGTACAAATTTAACTATTTGCAAGAAATGCTACTTAAAGAATTGATGAAACTTGACGGTATCGAAGTCTACAGTAATGACGTTTTGAGAGAGAATAGAAAAAAAGTAATTAAATTTATCCAAGACTACCAGAGGGCTTTAGATAAATTCAAAAAGGAAAATGACTTTTGAAGGCCTCATGGCATTCCATCTATTTAACTTTTGTAGAATATTTAGGCTTTTGAGCGTTAGACAATCATAAAACTTGAATTAATAAATACTCTAGATGATTACTTCAAGATCGGTACATGACTACTGAAGTCTTTTGCTGGAATTCGGCTACCTCCTTTAATCCCAAATTCTGGTATGCCCAATGATTCTTGGGGTAGCTTATTTGTGAGTAGTGGTAGTCTTTCACCCAACCACAATGCATTCGTTGTATGGTCAGCTAAATCATTTCCACTTTGAGGGTGTATCAAGACGGATAAGTTTCCATGGTGCAATTGAAACCAACTCAATACTTTGACAAACACTTCTGGTCTGCAAACATCTGCCTCCCAAAACTGAGTAGGATGTGGTCCAATCACTTTATCGTTTGGTAGCTTCTTAACTATAATCGAGCCATCAGAACAATCCTCTTGAAATTCATTCAAAAGTCTATCTCTTAAAGAGTCTGACTCGTCGCTTGATGATTTGTCATGAGCGAAGTAGTATACGTGAAAATCATAGTACCGAACAGGAAAAGTGAATGAGATATTGTGCACCGATCTCGTAGCACTAGAAGGATTTTCTTTCAGAAGATTTGAAAGGTATTCCATGTCTATTGATAGCTTTAAAAGAATCAATCATTTTTCAATCGTTCATAAAACTCAACTGTGGTTCACCTCAAACGGCTCCAGCTCTCAATATAATAATTGCGAAATCTATCATGAAAATTATTCTACCCTTACCTTCCCTTCCATACAATAAATACATTAAAATACTAATCTACTCAGTAAGTATCCCTATAAATTTCTAGATGGCCAATCTACACTTGCCACTACTTAGCTCTTGGGGGCAGTAGGAGTTGCTTTTTTCTCTCGCTTCTTGCTTGCCTCAGCAACCAATTCTTCGAAAATTCTGGCCTCCTCATCTTCTGCTTCTGTTCTCTTCATGGAGCTGAAAACATCTCCAATAAGTCTCAATCCTTTCGCTCTAGCTATCCTTTTCTCTATTGGAACCTCTTCATCATCTAAAATTTCATCACAAACTCCACGGACAGTGCCTTGGATCTCAAATCTAGATCCCGACCACGCAGCAGCAAGAACCTTTCCTAACAAATGCTTTTCCATTTCTGCGATTTCTTCTGCAGTATGCTTCTGAGGAACCTTTTCAGGCTTACTACCATCCTTAGATTGTGGCTGTCCTTTGGCCATTTCTTCTTGCTTCTTTTTCAATTCCTCAATCTCTCGTTCTGCTTCCGTTACTTCTTTATCTGCCTTCTCCTTCTCTTCGGCTTCCATCTTAGCGTGATATTCGTTATCTTCTTGCATGTTCGCATACTCTTGCATTGTCTTTTGAGCATCTAAAGCTGATGTAATTGTTTTGAAAGTATCTTTGAAAACACCACCTTTCTCCTTTACTGACCACCAGAGACCACCCCAGCCAAAGAAAGTCTGATTTTTCAAGAAAATTTTCAGCTTGGTTCTATATATTGAACCTAAAGTATGCAAAATTTCTAAGCCAAAACTTTCCATCTTCAAAGACTCTGCTTCATACCTAATCTTTTCTTTGAATGACTGAGCAACATCATCCTTCATGTCAGTTTCGGTATAAAGGCTCAATTTATCAACAAGCTTCTTTGTTAATTCTTTGGTCATTTCTATCTTCTTTAACCTGCACTCCTCTTCATACTTCTCAAGTTTGTCTTTACGCTCTTTCTCTTCTATTTGCTCTTTCGTCAACTCTTTCTTAGCCCTTTCTTCAGGTTTGGCTCCAGATTCTTCACCATTCCACTCTCTATTTTCGAGATAATAGGTATTACCACTTTCATGATTTTGGGTTTGATTGCTCGTTTCTTCATGTTCATCCTTCTTTGTATCATCTTCCGTTTGACCTGAGATTTCTGCTGACTTTGCAAGCTCTTGCAAGAGTGATAATTCGCCAATCCAATCCTTGAATGCTTCTCCACCAAATATCATAGAAAAAAATTCTGAAGGATCTTCAAATCCCTCCGTAGGGATCGACTCTTGCTTTCCATGCTTGTCGTATTTAGCTCTTAAGGTCTCATTACTCAATACTTGATATGCTTCTCCTACCTCTTGAAACTTTGCTGCCGCTTGAGGATCGTTTGGGTTCTTATCAGGATGTAATTTAATTGCCGCCTTCCTGTAAGCTTTCTTTATTTCCAATGATGTAGCACCTGGTTCAATATGCAACAAATCGTAATAAGCAGTGTCAACCACCATAGTAACCAAATTTCTAACTACTTCTTAGATTTATTCACTAGTAATAGTATTGATAGTAATACTCTTTAAAGTGTATGCTCAACACAATATTTCTTTCAGATGACTGGACTGCATACAGATGTCATACATAAAAACACTAAAAATTAGCAGCCGGTGTGAAGCTTAGGCAAGCAGGTATGCTGGCAACAGTTAAGCAACCTTAAAGATGACATTATACTTCTTGAAAAAAAGCCATTGTGGAGAGAACAATAATGATGATAATTATAAGCTTTGTTTTCAAGCGTTGAAATATTAATCTAATATGGACATCGATTTTTTCAGATTCTAGGTCAATTTGTGGATTAAATAGTACGAAATAAATTGATTTGAGTTTTTTTTCTCTATAACTATGCTGCTGTCCTCTTAGTGCTCATACACAGCCACAGCTATGCCATCTCGACAAAAATTTAAGTTTCCTACAATACCGTTGTTGTTTTAACTTTGATTCAATATATACAAGAAGAAAACTAGAAGAATTAAGCAGAATAATATACTTTCCTCAAATCCACAAGCTTCTTGCCTCTTCCAATGGCAAGATCTTCCAAGGATCTCTGTTTCGTCAAAGCTGCTACGAAGCCCTTAGTAACATTCATGGGATTTCTTGATTTGTAGATCTTTCCTCTTAAATCCTTGATTCCTGCAGCTTGACAAACTTCGAAGATATTAGGGTTGACTCTTAAACCAAAACCAGAAGGGGCCGATTTAATAAAAAGCTTCACGGCATGAAATTTATACTCAATATCACCAACAATAGTTCTATTCTCATATCTCGGGATTGGAGTCAAATTTTTGACAGCATTCCAGTGGGCTTTCATTAATGCAGTTCTCATACCGTCTCGAGATTTTCCCTCTCCCAAACCAATCATACCATTCTTATCACCAACAACAGTTAATGCATAAAAGTTTGGAATCTTACCCTTAGATGTCTGACAGGAAACACGCTTCATGACTATGGGACGTACATAAAGTCCCGATATGTATCTTTGATCCAAGCCAGTCAATTTAGCCAATCCTTCAGCTAGTTCTCTTCTACCCTTCAACGCCGACAAGGGTCTCTTGCTATCAGCATTCGCTTTGAAACGTAATACTAAATCCGTTCTGTCAGCTGCTTGAATCTGAGGAATTTTAGGGTAGGGAGAGTGACCCTCAGCCTGATTTGGGAAGATTATGGGTTCGTCCCATTTTGGATCTGTCATAGAATAATCTGATGATGGATCAGCTGGTGCAACGGTTGATTTTACCTTGTCTCCCTTTTTCTTCAATTCCAATATTGTCTTGGGATCTATCAATGATTCCGTGATTTTTATGCTTTGCAATAATTCTGGAGAGTAGAACTTGGACAAATAGTCAAGATGCGACTTCACTTTGTCATGCTCTGCCCACAAAAAGCTTGACCTCGATGAAAAGGACCTCACAAAGATATTGCAAGATCGTCTTAAACCAGGAGCTCCTCTCAACATTCCTTATTTCTTCAAACAGCTAGCTGACCGTTCTTATGCTTTTGTCTCAGAGCGCTACAGTGTAAAAAATTCATACAGTAAAAAGATCGAAAATTTGTAGTGTGATTACCCGGATACACAATTATAATCTACTAACACCCATGGTATAAACAGCTAAAAGAATAAACCTAGTAAGATTCGATATACTTAATAGTTCCTCGAACTAAAATATAAAATTACATCATGATTAAAAGTACAAAATACAAAGCAAACTAATGAAGATAAAGCTGACACACTATAATGAAATTTGAATACCACATCTCTCAAATTAAGTACTAGAATCGTTTAATTTAATATCAGTCGTAGCCTCCTCGTCCAAAGGTGAAAACTGCAATTTTTCATTCTGCTGCTGCAAGTCTAAAATTTCTCTTTTTAACTTCTCGACCTCCTTCTCAAAACGCTTTCCAAAAACATCGATGTAATATGTGGCACCGTTGTAGCTTGCCCATATAAATATAAAAAGCACAAAGCTTCCGCAGGCATGTTTGTAGGTAAACCATATGGGACAAAACATCATGGTAAGGATCTGATAGCCGAATTGAATTAATGTAAACATTGCTATTTGCATCCAGGTATATGGTAAAGAGTTGACAAACTTACCTAGAAAGCTTTTGCTGTTTTTCTTTTTCAACCATGTGAAAGATGTGACAGTACCCTTTTCTATTTGTTCTTTCCTCTTAATAGTGATGAAGTAAAGGTAGCTGACTTGCCAAAGAGTATAGTAGATAGAAGTCCAAATGATACCACCAACAAAATCCCAGTGATCGATACTTGAAACCGCAGGAAACCTTGATTGCAAATAGTCCTTTGGAAGCTCATGCACGATCACAAATAAGGTAACAGGAGGCATAATATGAATAAATGAGCTAGTTGTCTTTTCGATAGAGTGCAACACTAGGGAGTTTCTCCAAGTTATAACTGCAAATGATAATGTGCCCATGGATAATGCAAAGACGGAGACAAATAATGAAGGCGATTCCGGGAAGAACCAGATAAACGTTATCAAAAGCAAGTTCACGTAATAACATAAATCTGCTAAGAAATATTGAAACGACTGCTTAAAGTAAGTGTAAAATCGAATGGGCATGAGTAATGAAAATAGTATCGTGTAAAATACATGAAAATGATCTGGGTATTTTCCTATTATGAAGCCTGCGGTAGCAATCAAAGACACAGCAATAGCGTAAAATAGCTTCTCTGCGGCAGAGCTTTGGAGATTGATATGTACCCTGTCGTCAAAGCGAGATAATCTATTAATAAACCTTTCTTGGACCTTTGAGAGCTCTGATCCCCTTAAAGGCTGTTCGTCTTTTAATCTCTGAAGTTTCTGTTTCGTCTTTGCTTTCATTTTATTGAATCTTTTCCGAGTTGTATCGCTTACAGCATCTAGGTCAAAGCCGAAGTCGAAATCATTCATAAATAAGAGCTTCGATAGATCCACAAATGACACTGAGTTGCTTCTACGCAACGAAGATGAAGAGGATGAAGAAACATCATCATAGTCGCTTTCATCATTTATAGGACTTTCCTCGACTTGTTTGTGTCCCAGATCATTGCCCATAGCTATGGTGGTATCACTTGCAGCTTTTGGTACACTGGGCATGATGATACAGTACTAGTCAGCAACAAATGTTTCGATAATGGTACTTAAAAAGAATCGACCCAAACAAGTCTTCTCAACCGATACGGAGTAAATAGGGTATATAAACACCCAATATGTTATTACTTGGATCCAAACAAATGCAGTGACTCTAAGAAGTCTTTAATATCTCTCTCGAGACGTGCGGTGTAAATAAATCAGCGATAATTTCTCTTTATATATGATTATTTTTTTTTTGTCTTGTATGTATCTCGGAGTTTCGTATTGGATGATATCAAGAGAATCTTGGAGTACCATAATTAAAAGTAGGGGCAAAGATCAAGAATAAGGCAAGACGACTAAAGAAAGGAATTATTATCCTAGATGCATATTTTTTTTTACTATATCTACTATATCTACTATATCCTGCTACTAGGCTTGATTAAAGATCCTGATCTCGTTAATTCAGGGCCCTGTTAACGAATTTGCTGCGAAATAGGCTTATAAAAAAAGCGCCAGGGAATTACTAAAGATGAAAAGGAGATAATTGTGAATGACACCAGGACATAGGAGAAAGTGGGAGACCCTTTTCCGCTAGGCATCTTCGTTAGATGTATTTCCTTAGTATGCAATGGAAAAATTGAGCTTCCATGCTGGGCCATTTACAATTATGCAACACGTGGAGTAATGTTTGATATTGAAATAAAAAGCCTAATGAGGCGGTACCAAATTCACCTTACACAAGCTCACCTATTAAACCTTAGATACGATATATCTACCAAAAGTGGGCTAAACGTGGAGACACGGGTCTAGTGTTATATGCAGACAAGTCAGATAAAACGATCCCTAACTGAAGAGACTTAAGCAAAGCCAGGACTAAGAATTGACCATCAAGTACTGAGCAGAGCATAGGTACATTACATTCACAAGATAAATAGAAGGATTTTCACTTATTGTGTAATTATTTGGCTCCACTATTAGTCTATAACACCAAAGCATTATTGCACAACAGGTAGTATCGCTCTTTTTTTTAATGATTTTTAAGGAAGAAGGTGTTGGCATATCTGAGTTACTTTCAGATTTGTTGCAAGTGGCATTCATCGTGGGTTCAAACCTTGCGTTGCACATTTCCTTCAGGTCATTGAAGGTAAATCGCGTTGTCCACACGCCTACACGGACGTCCATTGTAAGTTCAAACCTTGCAACGCGAATGTCGGCTGTAGTCAACATCTACTACTACTTATCTTAGTAGTGTTCAGTTCAAACCTGAACACAATAAGGAAATACAATAGAGTTCAAACCTCTATTGAGATATTCTCGGTGTGTTCAAACCACACTGGTGAAAAAGATCAGTTCAAACCTGATGTTCTTCCAAAGAATCGAGTTCAAACCTTGATTTTTGTTTTTTTTGCAGCTCCTATCACAACACAAGTTTATTATTACCAGCGTATAACTCAACCTGTATCTCTTCTGCTTAGTAGCTATGAACGCATGAATCCAATTGAATACGATAAGAAAGGCATAACCAAGTGAACTCCTTAATATTCAATCATTTTCTAGTTTTTGTTAGCTAGTCCCTTTTTTTGGGGAATTTAATTATCCCGATACTCTCAAGATCAAACATAATCTGATATCATTGCATCATTTGACCGTTGTTTTAGGCATGAGATTATTTGTATTGAAGTTTTCTTCTTAAACAATTATCAGTTTGCTGCAAAGATACTTTTAGAAAAATATCATTCATTCTCTCACAGAGTCGTAGTCCAATAAATAGGATGACTGTATTCTTTAAAGTACGAAAAATAAGAAACTATATGTTAACAGAGATGACGTCCACAGCAACTGGAATAGCATTTGGCCATTTGGGAGTCTATAGATACGAACTTTGATATGAGGACCACTATGCTATGCAATACTGGGTCTAAAATGAGGATTCTCAAGACGGCGAATAATGAGTTGATATCACTACAGTGATACAAGTCAAGCTGGGCAGGATAATCAAACATAATAAATTTTGTTTTGAAAGGAGAAAACTTAGACTGTAAACCTAAAAAGTCGGTATTCTCAAGAAATGATCTACTTGATATACACCTTTCAACACTTAGCAGTACGACCTTCAAGTGCTACTCTTGAACTTTGATGTGTTATTACTTGCAGCAAAACATTTGAGCCAAAAAGGACTTTATTGTACCATTTTTTGTTTCACCCGTAGAAGAATTCTCCAGATTTACATTAAACCCTTCAGGTAAATCTTGTTCAAGCGATCTTGTTTCTGTTAGCCTTAATTCTGCTTCAAGAGATTGTCTCCTTGTACGAAGTTCATCATGTGATGAAGTTTGATGTACCTTTGACAGCATGTTCTCTAGCCTGTTTCATAAAAGCGATTCTGCAAATAAATGACTTGCAGTGTGCACAAAAATCAGGTGTAATGATCACGTTTCTAAATCAAAAGTACTGACTTATCGTACTCTATTCCAAATCAATAAGTAAGACGAGATGGACACGATAGGCATTTCGCTCAATGTAAGCAAGAGCAGTTCAAGCTTAGAGAGAGGCTATTGTCAGTTCTATTTTCTCTGGGCTCGTGTAAAGGGCACAGGCTGCTTATCTCAGCTGGCACCATCCTAATTCAAGTTCCCTTAAAAAATGACCTGGATGCCAAAGAATTGTTGGCTAATATACTTCGATAACCATAGAAATCGACTGGGAATATCAATATGGTGAATTTACTGTCATTAAATGTGATATATTTCGTTTCTTCAAATTTGATAAGCTGGAACATTGATATGAGACGTTATATACAGGTATTAATTCACTCTGATAAGCAATGCAGAGCTTAACGATTATTACGATAATAAGACTCAAAATTCTATCTTAGTGAAAAGCTATAATTTAACATAAATACACGAGCATGTTTTAAAAACTGAACCCAATACAGAACGTGTATTCATCCTTTTATTCTATATCGATTAACAAATTTATTTGCATCCAGATCATAACCAGCTCTCTTAACATTTGAAAGTTGATAGCTTCCATCACAGGTTTACGAAGAGTAAATTCAACAAAAAGTAAAAAGGAAAACCCAGAACGGTCGAAACATTTCACTCTTACTATTATTACCCTCCGCTAGCAAAAGCTTCCGAAAGACTACAGGAAGATAGGGTTAGAATGAAGACTTGAGAAGCCCAAAGGATTCAAACTAGACAAACCCTATACATTGCACACATTATAAGCCATAAACTACTAACTAAAATTTGATTGAAATATGTCGTAGTATGTGATACCAGAGACAAAAAATCATACTTTGCCAGATAATTGGTGAAACTGGTCACCCGCGAAGGTAGCGTTTCTCCCTAAATCATCTTCAATTCTAAGAAGCTGGTTGTACTTTGCCAATCTCTCTGACCTCGCAGTAGCACCAGACTTTATCTGGGAGGTACCTAATCCAACTGCAATATCTGCAATTGTTGTATCTTCAGTTTCACCCGATCTGTGAGATACTTGAACCGCCCAACCGGAAGCATAACACAATTTTGCAGCTTCGATAGCCTCGCTAAGAGTACCAATTTGATTAACCTTCAAAAGTAAGCAGTTAGCAATTTTCTTTTCAATACCCTTTTGGATGATTTTTGGATTGGTAACGGTAATATCATCACCAATGATTTGAACCTTAGAGGATAACAAAGGGTAGTACTTCTCCCAGGATTCCCAATCTTTCTCTGAAAACGGATCCTCCAAAGAAATTATAGGATATTTGTCAATTAATTCAGAGTATAAGTGAGCCAATTGTTCTCCAGATAACCAATCTTTTGGATCAGACTTCAGATTTTTAAAGTCCAAATCGTATTTTCCATCCTTGTAAAACTCGGAGGATGCGGGATCCAAAGCAATGTGAACCTTGCCCTCGTAACCAGCACGATTGATTGCTAAAGTAATTAAATCCAATGCTTGTTGAGGTGTATCAATATCAGGAACAACGCCTCCCTCATCACCCACGTTACCAGCAGATGGGCCAAATTTCTCTTTTGCCAAATTTTTTAAGGTGTGATAAACCTCACTAGCAACTCTGACAGCTTCTGAGAATGTTTTTGCACTTGTAGGCACGATCATGAACTCTTGAAAAGCCAAAGCACCACCAGAATGAACACCACCATTCAAGGAATTGAAAAAAGGAGTAGGAATTACATATTTTGATCTGTCCATTCCTGCAATATGAGCAATATGTTCAAATAATTCCACTCCTCTTTCTGCAGCACCTGCTTTCGAGGCAGCCAAGGAAACTCCTAAGATGGCATTTGCACCCAATTTACTTTTGTTATAGGTACCATCCAATTTTAACAAAAAGTCATCTACAGATTTCTGATCTTTGAAATCAAGATTTGATTTAACGAGAGCTGGTGCAATTATATCATTAACATTTGATACGGCTTTCGTCACACCTTTGCCTCCCCACAAAGACTTATCACCATCCCTCAATTCTATTGCCTCTAAGGAACCAGTGGAGGCTCCGGATGGCACAATTGCTCTAAACTTCCCCTTATCTGTTGTAAGATTAACTTCTACAGTGGGATTACCACGTGAATCATAAACTGTTCTTGAGTATAACTTCATATCTGTCTCAATTAATCAAAATGAATTCTTTGAACTCGTCTACACGGACCTTAAGGCGACATAACCTTTTATATAGGGCCCTAGGGGAATAAGGACCCCGATATATATGGACTGCGGCATTTGTCATCATGCAGTCTTATTCTATCGTTGCTACTAAAGCGGATGCATATATCCCGTCATCTCGTGGATGGTGTCAAAATTGTCATCTTAAAAGTGCTGAAGCGAGAACCCCAAAATAGGACAGATAGTGTCGCAAAATTTTTTCCTTTTCAACTTGATACTCACAAGCCTCATATCGGTAATTAGCTCTCCAGGCATTATTATGTATATTAATCTATGAATTAAATCTGGAATTTTCAAATCATTATATCTTACAAAGAAAATCTGTCTATATAATTTATCATGCTTTAATCTTTTGCGTCCTCAATAAGGGAATCATATGAAAGAAGAGGAATCCAGACGACGGCACATGAATACATTGCTGAAATTTAACCACAAACTGCATTGGTGAGTCCAACTGACCAATTATATGTGCCAAGCACTAGAATCATGAATATAAAGCTTAAGAATATACTGAAAACCCCGTATCTATATGTAAAAATCGTTTTCAAGCCAAAAAGTTCGACAACAAAGGTACTAACTGTCGTCAATGCTCCACAGAACCCGTCATCTAACCCGTTCAATACATGACAAGCATTCATATTCGTCACTATATTCTTCGAAAGTGAGGCTCCGGGAGCTTTACCTCTTGATAACAAAGTAAAGATAGTAAGAAGGATCGTTCCTAAAAAGTTCGCGGTAAAAGTTCCGAGAGGGAAGTTTTTGATAGCTGGGTTTAACATTCTTGATAAGTAAAATCGCAAGAGTGCTCCAAAAGGTGCAAATAAACAGGAGAAAGTCCAAGATCTCCAAGAACCATCACCTTTTACACCAATTAGTATAATAATGACAATATAAGCAGCAAGCCCAATCACAATAGATAAATTACTTAAAATGTAAAATACATTTCTTTTCAAAGGAGGAATATATGAGTCTAAACCTTCAGCAAGTTGTTTACCCATATGAAATCCGACGACTGACAAACCAAACTGAGCTAATGCAACTGCTAAGAATTGCATTACACCATACCCTGCCGTAGGGTAATTGAATGTACCAGACGGTTCAGTATTCGTCGCTTTATTAAATATCTCAAGAATGGCCGAAGAAAAGGATGAAAAAGTCCCACAAAACCCTGTTGTGATGCCTACGTAGAGTGGAATCTCCCCTTTTGTATTGAATAAATCAGATTCCAAAATATCTTCCCAGAATTTGAATGATTCAATCAGTAGTCCCATAACTAAACATGCTCCAAAGTTAGCCCAAACGAGACCCAGAAGATACGAACCCTCATAAGTTGTAAGAGCAGTTATTCCTTTTCTTGCTAATACCCCCCATATAGCGCCTGTCAGAATGTGTAAGATAGTAGCTGCCATGTGATTTCCTCGTATGAACCTGGTAACAGGGGTCTTTTGAAAGCCTTTTTCATCTGCATTAAATCCCTCTGGAAGAGACTCACGCAAAGAGACAGCTTCCATGTCATTGAGTTCGCTTGCAATACTCCTTCTCATACTCTCTTCTGAAGCACGGCTGGTTAATCGACGAACAGATGTGCCCCTCGGGTCATCCAAAGCAGAAGAAACGCCACTCTCAGGAAAGTTTTCCAGATGCTGAAGACCCTTAGCACTTTGGGGATCACTACTATTCTCTGAATTTGACATTACTATATCATAATAAAAATAAAATACGATTGGATAAAACTATCTTTCCTTTCTCAAAGACTTTTTTTGTGATAGTGCTACTGAAGAATAACAGCATACAGGCCACAAAATTCGATAACCAATAGAGCATATTTTAGATTATAACACACGTCATATAATACTGTATATGTTTCACGCATTAAGTTTGGCACGAAGAGTAAATTGAAGATTAGAATTGAGGAAGCTTAGATTGCCTGCTGATCATCAATTGTTATTTCTAGATTTCAGAAGTGCATCCTCTTGAGAAAGCTAAAGTGAAAAGTAAGTGAGATAACAAGCAGACATTATATAAAACAATCTATCTAGCTATAATTATTCATTCTTGTATGTGTTTAGTGAGACTTTGACACATTTCGATGGAACTAATCTTGGTAATTTTCTTCTGTCAAAGAAACAAGGTGGGACAACGCGAGGAGATCGTTTGATCACCTATAGTCACGATGCTCTTATGAATGCTTCAATGTTCAGTATATCGGTCTCCTAATTTATTTTGCTATTTAAGAAGGACTGAAATATAGCCTGATACTCTCAATGCATCAATTGACAGCTAGAGATCAACTTCTATGATATTACATCATCAAGCATGGCACGTGATACATACTTCTAAGCATATACTCGATGTTCGGTAAAGGGATTACATGTATATTTGCCATTGACTTTGGGGTTAAGATGAATCAAAATTACAAAGCTTCAAACTTCATAGCGCTTGCATTGGCAGGATTCTTTTGCATTGCTAATGTTTTATTTTTGGTCACCACCCAACCTCTTTATATTTTGAAGGTGGTTGGAATTAGCCAGGATGGAAAGATTGGCAAAATAATTGGTTCACTTGGAGTAGCTGATGAACTAACTGCCATTATAGCTGCACCGCTCTTGGGAACTCTCAATGACAAAATCACTAGCTCAGCATACCATGTCGCCGGCTCGAGGATAATTGTTCTTGCTAGTTTCTTATGCATCAGTCTTAGTTTCATAGGCTACAGCCAAAATAGTAGTATCATCGGAATGTTCATTTTTAGACTCTTTTTTGCCCTTGGAGTATCGGGATGTATGAATATGCTTCCAGTGATGCTTCATCTGTTGTCTTTCTCAGACTTCAGATTCCAAAAACTTTTATTTTGGAGAGAGCAGGACACTCAATCAGAGAACGACAGAAGCGTCAACAGTGGAAAATACTCCGCATGCGTTGGGGCATTTACAGGGTTGGGGGCTCTTTATGGAGTCTACTTCTTCCTTCCAATGCCAGTAATTATAGACAATTTCACGTCACTCAGTTATAAAGCGAGCTTGCAGCTCTCATATTTCATTATAGGTATCTTCTCGATGTTGACTGGGTTGGTTCTATTCAAATTTATATATAATTCCGTTCTCGGAGGTCAAAGTGATGATGAGAGTGCTGAAATAACTCTAGAGCATACTTCTTTTATTCAATTGTTAAAAAAGGGACTTGTCGTATCCAAACAGTCTAAGAAAATACAAATGGCCCATGGCTGTGCCTTTGTTGCGAGGTCTTCGACAGTTGCTAATACGGTATTTGTTCCCTTAGTTGTGTTTACATATTTCCGAAAGATGGGTCTCTGTGATTCTGGTACTCCTGTTGATGGAGCAATTCAGGAATGTCAGCAGGCTTACTTTTTTTCAGCAATGTTAATTGGAATAGCACAGCTAATTGCTCTATTATCTTCGCCCTTCTGGGCTTGGCTCATTGATCTGACTCTGAGGCCCGTCACTGTGGCTGCAATTTTTGGCTCTGTTGGAAACTTAGCCTTATGTCTCTTGGGACTTGGTTCTACTCCTTATGATCCTAGAAATGTTACTTGCTTTTTAGTTGTCTGTCTTCTAGGATGCTCCCAATATGGATACATGCTTAACGCATTAGGTTTGTTGAGTAGCTTCAAATCTAACCCAAATATTGGCAGCATCAGTGGTCTCAACAGCTTATGTGGGGGTGTCGGTATTTTATGCGTTAGCTTGATTGGTGGTTTGTGGAGCGACTACTGGATCATGGGGCCATTCTTTGTTCTCGCAATTTTCAACCTTGCGTTACTTTACGCCAGCACAAAGAATTACGAAGATGATATGCTATCACTTCCAGAACAATCAGACTAGACAATACTCGCCCTCATCTTCTCTATCTTCGATATACGTAGGAGGACACGGTCTGTTTCTTCAGATTCTGTAGTCTAATTATAGAGTAGACCTCACGTGATTATAAAGGGAAAAATTTTTGAATACATATAATGGCAGCCATACTCAAATCACTGAAACGAAAAACATATATTCAAAGCTGACCTTGCGGAGACATATTTATTCGAATGAAGTGGCAATGATCGAGGTGCTAATTACATTGGTACCCTCTGTCCTCTGGATATTATATCGATGCTTAAAAGTTTTACGTACTCCTGCAGTGGTTTTGACAGAGCAGCTTCATATTGACATTCCGCATGCACCGACAATTTGCATTGACTCGATAGCTGAAACATCAGCAATTATTCACTGGGATATAGAAACTAAAGATGATGAGTTCTTGTCATATGCTTTGTCTATCAATAATGCAATAGGTAAGTATTCATCGTATTATATAAAGTTATTGATATGATTTACTAACAATAGCCTTTGCAGTCGCCACCACGTCCTCAACTTCTTGTAAGTTAAATAACTTGGAAAAAGATACGCTTTATCAGATCAGCGTGATAGCAATAAACTCGCTCAATAAGTTTCGATCACAATCTCTTCCCGTTTATTTGGAGTTACCCAGCAAAATTGATGAAATCTTGAATGAGGAAAAAATTGACTTCATGAAAGATTTGATGCCGCCAGAGACTGAAAGAGGTGCATTCCAAGATACAAACTTAGGTATTAGTGTTGCAGAAATTCTGAGTATAGAGAGCTTTGAAGTATTAAATGATCTTTTAAAGAAGAGTCAGAATGAGTTACAAAGAGTTTCATCTGAATATATTGCCTACGAGACCAACGTCAGGAAAGAGGCAGAATTACTTCAATCACAGCTACAAGAATATAAAAATGAGTTTGAAAAAGAAGCAGAGTGCAAGGTGAAGAAGGACAATAATATAAAGGACTTAGAGAAACAAAAAGACAAATTAACATTCCAAAAACTTAAATTAACAGGAAGCATGAAATCAATAGAAAGCTCGATCGATTTGTTTGATACTAAATTGGCAGAATATCAATCAAAAATTAAAAAGTTGACTGATAAGAATTGCTATTTATTAAATAATGAGGGAAATGAAAAAATTAAAATAAAGCATGAGATAGACGAAGTTTCTGAGAAGATCAGAAACATTAAATTAGAAAACGTCAAACTTGAAGAATCATTGAAAGAAGCAGGTCTCGAAAGAAGAAGATTAATATCTGTCATTGAAGCAATAAGGCCTTTGGCTGAAAGCTTCAACAGTGAAACGACATTCAACAAAGATGGATCAATTAACCCAAAAAGCATGGAACTATTATATAAAATTATCGAAAAAGCACCTGAGTGGCAAAATGAAATCGTTAATGAATTAGAGAATCATCAGGATTTTGAGAGCAACTGGAGAAATGCTTTCAAATTCGAAATCCGCAAGTACTTATCAATTCAGCATTCGCTAGAAGTAGCTAAACTAAACAAAGATAAAAACTATCAGCCAGCAAAAATGACAGAGCATCAGGCCAGTATAGAGTTTGGTGGATTTAGTAATGCACTCCCAAAACCAAAGTTCAGAAGACGTGGAAATTCATCCGCTACTCCTCCACCTGGTGCAGAAGATTTTGCAGCGAACGGATCATGGCTGAACCTCTACGAAGATGTGTATGCACCACAGGCTGAAGACACCCATGTGTTTCAGGGAGCAGTAGATCCGGTTCTTTCTCAAAACTTTGGATTCGACGCTTCCAATACACAGAACTTTAATGTTGATACCAACAGTTTGAATTCCAATAACAGTTTTATTTTACGAAGTCAGATGACTCCACAGTCGAATAATAGATCGGTCTCCCAATCGGTGCAGTCTATTCCTATATTCAACGAAGTGATGATAAGTTCTCCAGCTTCGGAACATTCAGTCCTTAATAGCCAACTGCAAATATTCAACGACTTCAACCGGCAGTCCCCTTTGGCTCCAGCCCCAAATTTATGGAACCCTAGCGTGGGCTTTCAGAGTGGTAACCAGAGTGTCACGAGCTTGAATCAGGACTTAAGTGGTTCGAGATTTATGGCCACGGCACCACCGGGAAACGTCCAATCACCAGGGGTTGATTTGACTACGTCTCACTCTATACCCAACTTGTTGCTAAATCCGGGCACGAATCCCCTCCCAAACAGCTCAGGGTCGCTAGGCTTTGCGAATACACTATGGTCTGATAATTCATTACAGCACACCCGGACATTATCAGGTAACGCGAGCCAAATATGGCGCAATGACATCATGAATAGTAGCTTTAATCTCAGTAGTGAATTCCTGCCGTTTGATAAGAAGGAGAATAACGAACTGCATCTCCACTAGACTTTTCCCCAGAATTTTAAAGTTGCTAGAAGCGGCTTGTGGTTAGCAGCAAACTCTCCCAGTGCGCGGATTGCTATCTCTCTGTATATACTATTAACATAATTATATGTACGGCTTGCATTGGATCAACTACATGTAGATTTAATTCTTTCATGCGGTTCCTGGCCTGTCATTAGTTTGTATTATGACATATTTCTCTTTTGAAAGCGTTGGAATTGCAGCCTTATGTCGGGTTGCAACGCTTTTCCGCGTGGTTTTTGGTCTGGGCAAGTACTTTTTGGATAAAATATGTGTCTGTCTGTCACATAACAAAAACATAGGCTGCGATTTCCTACCTTGGGCGCGTAAGCCGCGCAAACTAGGTGAGCGGCTGGGGCCGGACTCAATTTACCTCCTAAGGCGGTGGCCCAAGCACATTTCGGAATGTATCCGAAAAGAAATGTTTCCCCCAAAAAAAAGTAAAGCTGCAACTTCCCTCCCGGCTTACGCCCGAGTATGATGCTTCCGGCCACATGTTTACACAGAAACATCTCCCGGTTATCCGTCGGATATCATCTCGGGAGCGGCTTGGCACTCTCGAAATTGCTACGGGAGGTGTTGTTCTATTTAACGAATAAGGCTCATCCGCTTCGGAACCCTTCGCAATAAACATATAAGAAGAGCGTTTGCTAACTAAGGATAAAATTATTGTTGTAATTGAACTGTCACTAGTTGATTGGAGATATTAGTTTATTGCAGGTAACAAAAATTTGCTGTTGTCAAATAACTTTACAGCTGAAATAACAGAATCAATAATAGAGCAATAACATAATAGCAATATAATATATCAGAAACAAATTAGTTATAATAATGTCGACAGATTCAGAATCAATTGACTCTAGCATGGAATATAGGCCAACAGGCTTATCCGAAGATCTTGAAAATGCCAGTAAAAGGCCAAGTTCAGAGTCTAGAAAGCTTAGACTTTCTAGGACTGAGACTGCTAAGTCCTTAAAGGAGCTCGGACTTACGGAACTGACAAAACTGGGGCCGGTTGCCAGAAATATTGTCGCACCTCCTGTGCAGGACCCCATATTTCCAGAGGAATATACTTTAGAGACTGAGACAGGGTTGGTACCTGTGAAGACATTACAATCATTGGGAAGAGTGAGATCATCCCGTTCTAGATTGAGCGAAGAGGATGAAGGAGAAGGAGAAGGAGAAGGTAGGACTCCTCATGAAAAAGATTCGGAGTTAACAGCCATTGACTCTCATGGCAAAGCTGAAGCTGAAGATGAAGAGGAAAAAAAAAGGACGAGGAGGAAAATGGAGACATAGAATACGTAACCTTTACCATTGGGGATCCAGAAAATCCTCATAATTGGAACCCTATAATAAAGTGGTCTTACACTATAATTCTTTCGGTTTTCGTTATCTGTGCAGCTTATGGCTCTTCATGTTTAGCTGGTGGTTTAGGAACCATAAACGATAAATTTGGTGTTTCTTTGGAAGTGTCAATATTGACTGTCTCTTTAATGGTGTTGGGTTTTTGTGTCGGTCCTTTACTTTGGGCTCCTCTCTCCGAACAGATCGGAAGAAGGCCTGTTTATTTCATATCATTTGGTATCTACGTTATATTCAATATTCCTTGTGCGGTTGCTAAGAACATTGGTACCTTATTAGTATGTAGGTTTATTTGTGGTGTTTGTGCTTCTTCTGCATTGACCAATGTTGGTGCAAGCTTAGTCGATATGCATGATGAAAGTTTGGGTTTGAGTATTGCATTTTTTTCCTTTGCTCCTTATAGTGGTCCCGTTTTTGGAGGTTTAGTGAATGGATTTATTAGTGTTGGAACTGGAAGATACGAAATGATGATCTGGGTTAACATGGCGTTTGCTGGTGTCATGTGGATCATTGTCGCTTTTATTCCAGAAACTTATGCTCCAACTATTTTGAAGACGAGAGCTAAAAGATTGAGAAAAGAAACCGGTAATCCTAACATTATGACTGAACAAGAGGCACATCCAATGACTATCATGCAAACAATTAATGAATGTCTTGTTAGACCTTTGAAATTTGTGGTTCAGGAGCCAGTCCTTGATTTAGTTTGTGGTTTCGTGGCTTTAATTTACTCACTTCTTTATGCATTTTTCTTTGCTTATCCAGTCATCTTTAGTGAGTTGTATGGTTACAAAGATAACATTATAGGTTTAATGTTCATTCCGATCTTGATCGGAGCAGGTTTGTCAGTTTTAACTACCCCAATTTTAGAGAAAAAATATCTCGCAGTAACAAAGAAGAGAGCACCAGAGCCTGAGGATAGATTGATTGGTGCAATGCTTGGTGCTCCGTTCCCTTGCATGTCATTATTCCTTTTGGGTGCAACTTCGTGGAAGCATGTTATCTGGGTTGGGCCTGCTTCATCGGGTATTTTATTCGGCTACGGTATGGTTTTAATTTATTATTCTTTGAATAATTATATCATTGAGACATATGCTAAATATGCCGCATCTGCATTAGCAACGAAGGTCTTCCTTAGAAGTGCCGGTGGTGCTGCTTTTCCACTTTTCACTACCCAAATGTACCACAAATTGGGACTCCAATGGGCCAGTTGGTTGTTAGCATTTATTTCTTTGGCTATGGTTGCTATTCCATTTACTTTCTACAAGTATGGTAAGGGACTTAGAGCTAAAATGTGCAAAGAAGATTACACCATACACAGATATTGAGAATTTATATCTGATCATTATTTAATTTTAGAAAATAAAAATAGAAAATTATTCATTTAAAAGTAAACATGTAGAGACATTTCAATAATTTATTGCATTCTGGTGCATTGAATCAAATTCTGTATGTCCCTTGATGGCGAAATTAGGCGAATGATGTGTATCTTTGATCATTTCCGTAACTTTACTTAAATCAATATCTGTGATAGACTCCATAAAGAGACCAAGTTCGATATTCTCATGGTTTCCTAATAAACCATAATTTTCTTTATTTGAAAACAATTTCTGTTTAATGTCTTCGGAGTTGGTATGGGCATAAATGTTAACATCGACTGCAGAGTGACCATGAGTTGTCCAACCAGTTTGTGATCTCAAAGATATCATATTGTTTAAAACATATAATAAGTTACCTTGATTGTTGGCATTTTGCTTTATCAACGCTATTTCATCAGATGTATAATCTTTGATTCCCATTTCTTTTTCAATGATTTGCTTAGATATGAAGCTGTCTAAAATGTTTTCATCTTTAGTATTCACGATCTTTGTAGCCAAGTAATCACCGGAATGAGTTGAATTTAATAATACCTGAGGGTACCATAAATAATCTGGATATGAAGGAGAAACCTGTCTCGAAGTGACCAAGCCACCTGTTTCATGATCCGAAGTAGACAAAGCAACTGTTGGAATATCAGTTTCATCGATGAATTTGATTACCTCTTTAAAAGCGTCGTCATAGTCTAAAACTTCTCTTACTTGGGCAGCTGGATCATTGTGATGACCAGCGTGATCGATTCTTGAACCTTCAATCATTAAAAAGAAACCTTCATCAGAATCCTCAGTTGCTTTAGAAAGAGCCGTAAGTGCAACTTTGACTTGTTCTGCCAAAGAAGGATAAACAGAAGAATCACGGTCGATCGCATAAGGAATATCCGTGTCTGCCAACAAACCCAACAAAGGTAAAGAGACATTCTCGCCCAGCTTCAAAGCATCGAACTCCTCCCTGTTACCAACATATGACCATTCACCTTTAGCCTTAACTTCTTCAATCAAATTTCTATCATCTGAACGACACCCCCCCTCAATGGAATTTGGATAAAAGTGACATCTACCACCACCAAGAATCAAGTCTACCATTCTCCCCAATGGATACTCACCGAGTTGTTGCTGAGCAATCAAATCTTCTTGAAATCTGTAATCAGCATGAGAGCTGAAAGCTGCCGGCGTAGCATCAGTAATCCTAGTCGTCACAACGAGACCAGTTAGGTACCCACGCAATTTTAATGCCTCTAAAATGGTACCACAAGGTGCTTTATCAGGGCTAACACCGATCGCACCATTATAGGTCTTTAATGCACAAGAAAATGCCGTTGCACCAGCGGCAGAATCTGTCACCAATGATGAGCTTGACCTGGTCCTTGACGATCCAATTAAGTATTTATCTAATTCCAAAATATCATTTATAGGTAATTTGTCTCTATGTTGCTTAAAAGATCTAGCTAATGATAACGATGCCGGTCCCATACCATCAGTCACCATGAATATAACATTCTTTTTTTGAGACTTCTTGTTATTTCTCCCTGTGGATGGTTTTTGCGTAAAGCCTATAATAGCGCTTAAAACTAAAGCAACAGTTAACCACTTAATAACTTTCACTAAAGATTTGAGATGACTTCTATCTTCTCTATTTCTAATGCTACTCAAGCTTTCATCGTCTAAAAGACGGCTCTTCTCTGTCATTGTATTAACTTCCCCAAGAAGAATAGAAAGGCAACTATTTTATATATAAAAGTTGAAGTCCAAACTTTAATTTGAGCAAGTAATATCACAAAACCAAAGATAAGATTTATCAGCCTAAAAGAATAAGCCCCCACGAGAAACAAAGAAAGCTATGTAAGAGATACGCTACGTCTTCTTGGCTAAGGGAATCTAAAATTTGTGCATATAATTTCACCATTTAGAAAGCCATATATATATAATATATATCAAACAATAAACGGTAGTTTAGCCTGCCTTACTACCATCAAACATTGTTCATGACGAAATATCCTTCCAAATCGCTCTGAAGCCTATCTCTATCGTCCAGTTTCATTACCGCTGCTCTTTTAAAATCCCTAATCTCGTTAAGGATAAGATTTAATTCGGAATCAACAGTCTTAACAGTTTGAAGCTCGCTCATTATCAAATTTTCAATCAAGTTAAATAAGGAGTAGCAATTCGTTCTCTTGAAGCCTATGAGTGAATCATCAAATTGATACAATTTGAACTTTATAGATATCTTCTTCAACTTAGAAAGCAAGGGAGAGTGTTCGTTTACTTGTAATTCTTCATAAATCTTTTGCCTAAAGAAATCACTCGAATGGACCCGGAAAAAGATTCGTTGAGGAAAAGTGAGCAGTGTATTGTTTGCCAACAAGTTATCACTGATTTGAATGCTGTTTGTAGTCGAGCTCTCCCATATCAAAAAAGTGGATTTAATACTGTTAAGCTCTCTTATGTAATGTATTTCGTCATATTGCTTAACATACTCGAAATAAAACTTCCATAGTATCCTTTCATAGAAGGGAGAAAGAAAATTTCGTTGTATTGAGGGATAGTAAGTGTCATCAAAGTGTTTCTTGAGATTTTTTATAATCAATAAGGGCCGTTTAATATCATGCCATTTTTTCAATAAAAGTATATTGAATTGAACATATTGAATTGGCTCCCAAGTAAGATTTTCATTGGACTCTATGTCTGTTGCATTTATGGGTAGCATATCTAGACTTTTTAAATTTTTGTTTAATAAAATGTCCATCATCAATTTAAATGACATTCTATTTTGAATATGAATAATTTCGGCTATCTGGATAAGTTTATTCTCATCTGTTAATGTTTTTATATAGCCCGAAAGCTCCTTGGGCTCCATTCTCAAGAGTTCATATGTAGATCTATTCACCATGCTCGAAGATCGTATACCAGCCAATAAATCGTTGAGGAACCTTGATGAGTCATGGTTCTTTCCCATATTCAATCCAATAAGGTCCAAGTTAGCATACTGCTCTTGAGCCGGTCCTTTGGTCAAATTATTGAATAATGAGGGCTTATAGCTGCTTTCATTCTTGACAGCCTTCAGGGGAGACAAAAGATTAAGCGCATCAGCTAATAAAACGTTGTCTTTTCTCCTTGAAAGAGATCTAATGAACTCCTTGAAGAGCTTCTTTTCACTGATATACCTGACTGTTTTGGGCAACATATCGTTGGCTAGTGAAAATAAAATGTTGATTTATCTTCAAAAGTATCCCAAGTCCATGATGTATAGGGATGTGAACACAAAACCGACTATCTCAAGGCGACGAAAAGATGAAGATGAAAATTGAGAATAAGGTAGCCTTCTGGCTCTAATAAACGATCTAACTATCGATTACTCATGCTATTATATAATTGTAAATTAATTCACTACAATTGGAAGTATTTCCAAATATCTGTAGTTCTTTCGTAATGCTTTGGTAGCATTAAATACTGAAATTTCAAATCATGATTTCGTTTCATAAATACAACTTCGCCCCTAACAAAGCACAGGAAAAGGTCATATCTAAAGCTTTTCGACGTTGTTGGTAATTTGATAAAGTTCTGGAATATCTCTTTGTAGCTCAAAGATTTGTTTGATAGTTTCAAGTAATCAGTGCTTGCAATCGACCTCACGTATGTGAATGTAATCCCACCTTGAAGTCTATTTGAATTTTTAAACTTTAGTAATAAAACGAACAAGGGAGTGAAGTTAATGATTATCATGAGGTTTTCAATGAGGTTTAAAACTCCTAAAACAAGGAGCCTTGATAGAAAAAACATCAAGTAAAATGCAAAGACAGTGGGAAGCAAGAAGATGAGGATCATAAACATCAAAGTTCCTAGGAGCAATTGATCAATTTCAAATATATCTCCCTGACTCAGATAATTGTTCATGTTGTCTATCCTATTTCGCAACACGTTGTATTTTTTGCCTCTAAACAATTGGAAAAGCGATTTAATGATAGATATTTGTTTCTGATAGATCCTGGAGGAAGTATAGTAAAAACAGTATAAGTGAAACGTCAAAACCTGAATCACGTCAACTGAAAATGCAAACACAAAGGTAATTCCACAAGTACAAAGAACTTTCATCATACCCTTGGCAAAGGATAATACGTAGAATCTCATATTTGATGACAATGTTTCCTCAATGAAGTCACTAAAAAGAATCTTCCAAAATTTTAAGGTCCATAAAAACAAATCCCCGATGAAAGTACCTAGCTCGCTGTTTAATTTAAACCCCGCTGGATGATGAAATGATACCCACGAAATAAGTCTGAATAAGACATCGAATAAAATATTTTTTATCAAATATTGATGCAAAAACTTATATGTAAAATCAATATTTGCAGTGACAAACTTATACATTGTCCAGCCTAGAAGAACATCATTTACAATAAGCCAGATCGAATTGTAAAGGTTGATATAGTTAGAATTATTAATATTCAAATTTGAGTTGAAAATCGGTAGCTGCAACTTGACCAAAAGAATCGAGTCCTCGTAAAGAATACTCTTATCATAGTAACAAAGAAACTGAATTGGGAAATAGTTTATTTGCTTCAACCTTAAATCCAATTGTTTGAATACTTGTGAGTAGTCAACAAGACTGACGTGAAATACTTTATAGTTTATTAAGTAAATGAGCCAAATGCATACATATTGAATGGTTGTTGTGATTCTGACGACTAATGCTAGGAAAAAATGCTTTATTTTATAGACCCATCCATTACGCGTTCGATCATCAACGGAATCCGTCCTTTGCAATATTTCAGCAAGAGAAATTCTTAATCTAAGCACCTTATTAATTCTCTCTAGGATCATGCCATCCGATATTGCGTCAGCCTCATACTTTAATTCTGCTGATTTCTCAAGCAATCTAAAGTGATCCTCTTGTCTATTCAGATTATGCTCTTTGATGGATGTAGATTGTAGAAGAATAGGATCAATAGAAAAATATTCTAAATTCTTGAAGTTAGGAGGTTCAAAAAATACGACACTAAAAGACGTCCTATCTTCGGTTATGGTGGGAACATCAAACTCAGCACTGAATTTAAATTTCAAATCGTAAGTATTTTGATTAATGCTTCCAATTATTGACAAGTCTTTTAATGTTGGTGGTAAATGCTTCAATCGATTGGCGACGTCGGACTCCACTAATTGAACTATAATGTAAATAGGGCCATATTTGTATCCCAAAAGGCACGCTTCTATATTTTTCTGCTTCTTTAATCTTCTTATGAGATCATGAGGAAAATATATTTGCTGATTCATTGATGGAAGCTGTCTCTGCGAAGGTATTGTGAACTATTGTTCAAATTATTGTAAAAGCTTTTCCTATCTATAGCAGTAATAGTATCTGCAGACTCACTATAGTAGTTCTCTGAACCTCTTGCCTTCTGTTTTGCTTTGGTAATAGAAGGCGAAAAGGAAGACGAAGCTGAAGGTATGTGATATTTATCTATGACTAGTAAATTAATTAATATAACAAGCAATAAATAAATCGCTGTTAATATCACAAACGATTGGAAAAGTCTTTCAATCACACTTCTTTGTTTCAATTGAAGAGCTATTTCAAAAACTGTGTATATAAAGTCCATAAAGAAAAGAAAACATAAATACCTATAAAAGAGTTCCACATAAATCGCATCCGCGATACCTAACACAAAATGTCCAATGTTTGATTAAGAATCATCAAAAAAGTTGAATTCTATGAGAACGATTGAGTCCTTTGTTGATGTGTAAAGCTATTTTTCCTGTGTAAATCTGAGAAGCTGTTCTTATGAAGCTCTCTGGTAAACTCATTATCCCGAGAACTGGAAGGATCAGTTTCATTATTAATATTATTGAACGACACAGAATTACTTCTGGTTAATACCTCAGACTCACTGTGGATACTCAAATTTGCCAATCTTTTTAAGATCAAGATGCCAATCAAACAACCTAAAAGGATGGAAGCACCAACATAAAATATATATTCGGGATGATGAAGGCTTGCAACAAAGAACTTGTAGGCTGATATTAAAGCAATTGGACAAAGTAATAGTAATAGATTCTTAAAGAGAGTGATGGCCCCGAAGAGTTCTCCTGTTTTAGACTCTGGGTAGAACTTGATTAGTGATGACGTTAAGGTCGGTCCCACTATGGAGCCAAGACTTGTTAATACTGAAGTTGACAAGAACAATTTTGTGTTTGGAGCAAGAGCATACATCAAGAACCCAACCGTTTCAATAAAGAAACTAAAAGCAGAGATGACATAGTCATTCATGTCGAATTCATGTTTCAAAACCTTGAACTTTACAACTTTATGCAACACATGATTGATCGCAGGAGACAATACCATCAAGACAAATGCTCGAGAGAAGCATGAAATTGCCATTAAATGACCTAGATCCTTTTGCACCCATCCAAATACATAAATTCCATAGAGGGTAAGGATTTCGACAAATGTCATCATAAAAGAACTTATTAAGCAATCGACCACGATCAAGATCCCTACCGACATGCGATCCTTTGAAGCTCTCCATCTATTCGATGGATTGATTATCTCATCCGGGTAGGTGAGTAATCTTAATGGCTTGAAAAAATTAGCAGAGTCAAGATAGCTTCGCCATTTTGAAACTGGTACACCTAAGCTGTGAATCGATTCAGCGCTCGACACTGATAGAGATCTGGACTTCTTCTGTGCTTTTTGCAGTCTTGATTCCGGCAAGACAAATATTGAAAATACGAAAGCCAACATGATCAATGCTAATTCTAATCTTAAAGGGATAAATTCCAGAGAACCTATTTCGCTGCCAGCCAGTTTAGCGTTTTTAAGATTCAAAACATTGTCATTTGCCATCTTTTGAGGAGCAGATATCAAAAAGTTACCGACCAAAGGTCCAATGCTTGTTCCGATAAAATACGCAGCCACGCCAAGACCAAGTGAGTAGATTCTCTCGTGTGGTTCAGTGACATCACTAACGTAGCAATTGACAATATTAATTAAAACCATGACACTTCCTCCAAGATTGCCTATAATCTCTGTAAGCACCATGAGATTGAATCTAAGATAATCGTAATTTGCCATTATATAATACCGTATAATCTTAGCAAGAATGTTACAACCTACTATAAGAACTAGGAAAGGTTTTCTGCCATATCTATCGGACATTTGACCTATCTTTCCAGCTAGTATCATCAGAATCACATTTGACAGAAGAGCATATGCCAATTGCAAGTTTGAAACCAAAACTTGCGTTTCGTTTGCATCACACTGCTTGTCGTCTCTAATTCTAGTGAAATAGTTGCAAGCTAACTTATAACTTATAATTCTTCTTGTGGACTCGCCACTAGCAACTCCGAAAGCAATGATGAACAATATTATACTAATCATCGTAACAGAGGGCCTTTTCACCCAATGAATTGTTTTGTTTAACATTCTCTGTTCCCTCAACCACAACACATCTTCATCTTGTATATCTGGATCATCGTCTTCAAGGATAGCTTCGTATACATTATTAGCTGCCACTTCTAGATTAGTTTCATTATCAGAATTGATGAGCCTATCGCGAGACGCCTCGTTTCCAGACATATCCAGCTTATTGCCCTAAGACGTTAAAACGAAATCCAATAATACGATGGATCTCAAAATGCTGGATCGGGCCTATATCCTGTTCTCTAAAATGAAAAATCTAGTTATCTTAATGCCCTTCAGGATACGGCTCCGGCACATCGATCTGAGCCGCATATCAGCAAAAATTTACAGAATGCAAAATATAATAAAGCTCATATAATTAAATAATAGAAGTGAATAAGTCAACGATGTTAGCAAATAAGCATAATTAAGAACTAAAGAAGAGGGACATGATAAAATCTTAAAAGAAAATTTAAAATCGACCCAATAACCCAATTTAAATCAATGTTCCATACTGAAGTAGCTGTCCTGAATCTCTGGGGAGTGCAATGGACTTGATGCCAATGGTGAAAGTGGGGACAGGGCACTAAGAGTAGAGCTCCGCGAGTCGTCAAGTTCATGATCTTCTGTCTCAGAAGTCAAGTTCAAGACCCTTTTACACACAAGAGCTGCACAGAATGAAATTGCAAAAATTAGCGACATTAGAAACCAGCAGGCTTGAGCAAAGTCTTTCTTCAATGAAAACTGATATGTCTTCACAAACAATATGGGAAGTAAGATCTGAAGTGAATTAGCTAAAAGATAAATTGCACCAAAAACCTCACCAGTCTTCGACTCTGGAAAGAATTTAATTATCGACGAAATGGCCGTTGGGGCAAAAATAGATCCTATACTGCCAACACCGAACGATATTAAGAATTCAATGGTATTTCTACTGAGCCCAAGAAATAAATATCCGAGAATATCAAAAACACATCCGATAGTAATCATGGAAAAATCAACCATATCTAGTTGAGACTTCAAAGTCTTGAAACCAAAAAATCCGCTGAAGACCCTGTTGATTAGTATCGGCGTAAGTATCATCAACACAAACGCTCTAGTCGAGGAAAGGGTTAGTGTCGCATTGGCTATTTCAGAGGTACTCCAAGAAAACTTGAAGATTCCATATTGACTGATCAAAGTTGCAAATGACGGAGATAAACCGGAACTGATTACAAACATAGAAATAAGTAACCACACTGCCATCTTGTGCAGCTTAGCCTTTGATGTATTAGAGACAGCACTATCTGGCATAGTCAACACCGAAAGAGGACTCAAGAAGTTAAATATACTCCACCGACGCGGAGAATCAGATGCATGTTGATTCTTTGAGTGTTCTCTGAGAGCCTTTCCTCTAGATTCTGGTAAAGCAGCGATTGAAAATATTAAAACAGCGCATAATACGAATGCAGAGAGCTTCAAAGTTATTAACTCATGTTTCAATATTTCAGTTCGGCTGCTCAATTTCAGTGAAGCTATCTCCATTGATTGCGATGTGTACCCACTTATGAAGCTGGCCACCATAGGTGCGAAAGAGGCTCCAATGTAAGAAGCTGCTGTTGCTAACCCAAGCGCCCGAATTCTTTCATGTGGCTCTGCCACATCAGATACATAACAGTAGCATAAGGCAATAAAGCACGGAATACCACCCAGTAGCGACGAAATAAATTCAACAAGCAAAAGCGTAACAAATGGTAATTTTTTTGAATGAGAAAAAATTAGTTCCTTACCTATAGTGCTAATTAAGAAGGAGCTCAAAATAAGATTGAGGAACATCTTTCTTCCATATCTATCGCTCAAAGCAGACATTTTGGGTGATGTGAATAAGGAAGTTATCGAGGCTGTTAACTTTAAAGCCAAGCTGAAATTTGAAAGTAGAATTTGAGTCTTCACAGGGTCACAAGTTTCGTTTTCAGCTACAGAATTGCACGCTAGCTTATAATACATAACGTCGCATGATGGATCGTAAACACTCATTGCAAACACCACGACGCAGAGATAAATCCCAAATTTAAGTACACTAGGTCTCTCTTTCCAATTCAATTGGTTTTGAATCATTTTTTGTTCCCTTAGCCTCTCATCTTCCTCAAAGTCATCATCCAAATCTTCGATCGCTTCTAAGTCATATAAGATGTCAGTGTCAATATAACTAAGTGGTGAAAGCGATCTTTCATCGACATATCTTGGCAGCAGTCTGGCTCTCAGTGGTTGTAATTCGTCAGATGATTCTATCATATGTTTTCAAAAATAGCTTACACTTGCTGAATTATTCTTCTTCACTCTATCGTGGCACATGCCAGGATTTTAAACCGCTTCTACAATTTAATTGTATATCCTTGATTTAGCTTAAACGAGATAACTCCGGGAGCCGTGCGAGGCAACATTACTAACCAAACACACAGTCTCATTCTAGAGCGAGCCATAAAAATAGAAACGCAGTCTATGAAGTTTTCTCCAATTGACTTCAAATAGTAACTTAGGTTGGAGGAAGTTAAATAAAGCTACAATTGACTGTTAGCTGTGATCTTTCTATACATATGAGATAAAGAAGTAAAATGTCGCACGACATAGATTGTTGCAATAAGTTCAGTAAGATAAGTAGTTTCATAGAAATCAGATCAAGGAAAGCAAAGCTGACTAAACGTTTTATGTCGATACTTCGATCGACAATATACGTGCCTTCTGAATGGTGTGCATTTAATTACTACGTAGATTGCATATATTCGCTCGAGCCAGCAATTGACAGGATAAATTAAAAGTTCTCATCATCGCAATTACAATTTGCAGTTCCCAGATCTATTCTTGAGGTGCGCATTAGTCAATTGCGGCCAATGTGGCATCTTCTTTGTATTGAAGTTTGTGAAAACGGCTACCCGTAAATTCGATAAAGGCCGAACTACTCTCGCTTTTTGTTTCAGCTGAAGTCTTCACTTCCAAGATGTTTCCGGAGCACCAGATGTACGATATCTGCTTCCTTAGAGGTATTGATGACATTCACTTCTATATCTGTTTAAAAATAACAAGTTTACCTCTCCATTTATCTCAATTTATACCAATTATGTAATCATCAAACACATTTTTTGTGGTGGATATTTTGTTGTGTTGGTCTACCAGATGCAGTCTTGCTTGGCCTGTGTGAAGTATCCATGTTCCAGTTTCGCACTTTATTAAGGCACGACCTTGTGTAGAATCGTGTCGTTTTCTTTATGTCGTCGAAACATGTCGCAAAATATCTAGGGCTTTCGCCCCCCTCGACGATTCTCAATAGTTTGAAAAATTTTTAATGAAAAATAAATCTTAGACAATTCTTTTTAACATCATTAGACAAGAAGTAGATATGTCATTACCAGCTTCCTTTGATTTGACTCCAGAAGACGCCAAGTTATTGTTGGCTGCCAACGTCCACTTGGGATCCAAGAACGTTCAGGTAAGTAGACATTGATTGATGCAGATTTGAGGATACAAGATGTAAGGTTGCAACAGGGACATTAAGAAGAATTCGATGAACAACTTGATTTATAAGCGAAAGTTAAGAATGTATATTCAAATATAAGAGCATAGCTATCAGTGATTTGGAGGAAAATAGAGAGAGTAAACTCATCGATCGGCCACATAGAAGAGAAGTGAAATTATTAAATTGGCAGAGCAATTTGAAGGTATATTCAATACATTTGAAAGCTCCATTATGAAGAAACTTACATCCACTTTCCTGATGTCTCGGAGAGTTGTTATTTTCATTCCTATGTACATTTCAAATGCATCAGATTAATAAAATTGACAATACTAACATATTTAGGTTCATAACGCTCCATACGTCTACAAGACCAGACCAGACGGTGTTAACGTCATTAATATCGGAAAGACTTGGGAAAAGCTTGTTTTAGCTGCTAGAGTCATTGCTGCTGTCCCAAATGCTTCTGATGTTGCAGTTTGTTCTACTAGAACTTTCGGTCAAAGAGCCGTCTTGAAGTTTGCTGCTCACACTGGTGCTACCCCAATTGCTGGTAGATTCACTCCAGGTAACTTCACTAACTATATCACTCGTTCTTTCAAGGAACCAAGATTGGTCGTCGTCACTGACCCAAGAACAGATGCTCAAGCCATCAAGGAATCTTCTTACGTTAATATCCCAGTCATTGCCTTGACCGATATGGACTCTCCTTCTGAATATGTTGATGTCGCAATTCCATGTAATAACAAGGGTAAGCATTCAATCGGTTTGATCTGGTGGTTATTAGCTAGAGAAGTCTTGAGATTGAGAGGTATCATTCCTGACAGAACCACTGAATGGTCTGTCATGCCAGATTTGTACTTCTACAGAGATCCAGAAGAAATTGAACAAAACGCTGCTGAGGAAACAAAGACAGGCGAAGAAACCGAAGAAGTCCAAGTTAACGAAGCTGAAGCTGAGTGGAACGGTGAAACCGAAGAAGTCGACTGGGCTGAATCTGGTGCTACCCCAGCTGCTGAAGAAGCTGCTGCTTCAAACTGGTAGACAGACTATCTTAGGGAGTTATAGGGGGCTAGAATCATTAATCATTTACACCTTAAATAACAATGAAAAATTCCGTAATCGTTTCTAGTTTTATTTTTGTATTTATGTATCATAATCGCTAAACTTTTTGTAGCAACAAGGCTCCAGTTAGTTTTTATTGGTTGTGGTGTTTAGTATGACTATGTGACACGGTGTGAGAAGGCATGTTTACCCGGCTGGCTCTATGATATAGGAAGATTTTCTACATATCTTATTCTTTTTCTTTTTCTTTTTCTTCATCAATTTGATTACCAACGGATTGATACTGAAATCAAAAGTCCTAGTCATGTCCAGCGTCGTTTTTGAAACGGTCTAACATGGATTTGGTTCGTTCTGAATCAAATTCGGCGTCAGATAGCTGAAGTGGCGACCAAATTTCCAGAGATGCCTGCAACTTGACAACAGGCCCCTCGTTTAGCGTTTGTTTGAGGACAACTTGTTTCCGTGGACTATCCAATAGCAACATCCCGGTTTATCGTGTTCTAACTTAGTCAATAGCTTTTACACTTCATGCCCGGGAAATATCCATGTAGACCTTACAAATGCATTTAAAAGACTTCAAAATGCCGAAAAAGATCCCTTTTTTTTTGGTGTCACTGAATTGTAGAGTTTAAGAAACTATGATCATGTTCTCTTAGGCTTTATTCATCTTTCCTCTGCTGTTTAAAGAAGAGAGTCACCTTTGTTTTGTCGTTTCAAAATTCACTATAAGTCGTCTGAGAAGGACGCGGGTTACGTCCTTGTGGAATAAAAATTAAATGTAATAACGAGTAACAATTTATTCTTCTTACTGAATTGTAGTAATTCCTTCGAGAAAAGGTCTCATTTCAAGACGTTGCTATCAATTTTGACTAGAGATGAAAGTTCCAAGGAAGCTACAAGAGTTCATATACTCAGTTAGCACTAGCGATAAATATTCGGAATTCGATTCGAGGAAATCGTTCAATAGAGTAAACAAGGCAGATTCGGAACGCAACTTGTTATACTCACATCGAATGCTGTCGACAGGCGACTTTACAGGTGAAACAGACAGTAATGGCCACGAGTTGAATAATAATTTAGATGGCGTTCACGAAGTTAAGTTGGCATGGAGACACGTCAAGAACTGGGGCGACAGATATTGTCCCGACTTAATGAGCAGTTTGCAAGCAAAATGCACTAACGATGATTTGAGTGACTTTCAAAAGGATCTCAATATCCAACTTCCCAATTGTGTACATGATTTTTTTAGGCTAACGGACGGTCAATCAAATTACGGCTTTGACACTTTTCAAAATGGGTTAATATTTGGTTTAAAATTGATGTCCTTGGATGAAATAATGATCGAGACCAACAATTGGAGAAAAGTCTCGAAGTATTTGAATAATGACCTATGGAACCTCAAAAACTCAAGGGCCAATCAACTATCGAAAGTCTCATTGAGCCATTATAACAATCATGGCCTTTTGCACTTCAAAAACCATCAGTCTGACGATGGAAGCAATTCTAGCAATAGCGTTGATTTGGGGCGATCTTCGAGATCATCATCCGTATCTTCAAGCCAGTCATTCGTTACAACTACAAACGCGGCTCCAGCGACTGCTCATGGGAGTGAACATCCTATTCGTGGCACAAGCGGCAAGAATAATATTCCCAGACAACGAAGCATACCTCCAGGCACAATTAATGACATATTTTCACATCCCATGTGGATTCCATTAATCACAGACAGTGTGGGGAATTACATAGGGCTTGACCTAGCACCTCCGGAAGCCGGAAAATGGGGTCAGGTAATACTTTTTGGTAGGGATTTTGACGTAAAATACAAGATTGCTGATAATTGGGGTGACTTCTTGATAATGTTTGCAAATGATTTAGAGATCGGCAATTGGGATATCAAGTCATCGAAAAAGAATGGCGACGGTGACATCATGATCGGTAGTGATGGAGAATTAGTTTATATGGATAAAATCACTAAATTAGAAGCTCTGTATCTTGAAGTTTTGAAGAAGAGGTGCACAAAAAAATGGTTAGAATCGATTGCAAGTAAGTCAGAGCAACCTGAGGATATTAAACAATTGATAAAGCAACTCAACAAACCGTCCGACATCTCACAATTTGAAGGGGTCTCTTCTATTGATGAATATATAAAGAAGAATCTTGTGGACGTAAACAACATAGATTGACGGGAAAGCATAAGTATCAGGAAGCATGGCAACTTTGATAAAACAATAAGGTAAGGAAATCTAGTTCTATTGTTTGGATGACTACTCATTTTTTAATAATTTTTTTTTTCTCTGTAACTGTATAATTGTAAAATTTCACCAGATGATTCTTTGAATAACATTGGGTTCACTTGGCCAAGTAAATTCATAGTTAATAAAGATGCCCATAGTTATTATATTCACTGAACTTAACCAAAGGAATTCAAGTATATGTCTTCTATTATTGACTGGTTTGATGAAAATTCGGAAAAAAACTAATGGCACAATATAGTACCTGGGTTCAAACAATGGAGACGGAATCAATGTTAGACATGAAGCAATGAAATAACAGATTACTGGAATTTCCTTTAGTCTCTTAGACTTATATAGCATATGGCTGACTAACCAAACAGAAAAATGATATACTGGAATGCTTATCACATTGCTATACCTATGAGAAATAATTCTTTTGAAAATGTAGAATGTAAAATGCCTGTTATCTGCTAATAGAAATGGATGTATGATGGTAAATTTATCCACTATTAGCTTTATAAATGCGCCAGCAAAACAGTTCAAGACGAGATTTATAGTACTTGAAAAGCAAAAATTTGAATACGCTCTCAAAGTCTTTCTTGATATCCAGGTTGGCCAGGTAAAAAAAGTGACAAAAGTGAAGCAGTAAAATATCTGAACCAAATGTAAATTGATTTGATGATTTTCCTTATCTCCAAATGTAATACCTCCATTCAATTTTAGAAATATGACAAATGCCAAAAAATTTAACGAATACGGAAGACATATCTTCCAATTTTTCGGAAGAATCTTTAAGATCTTGAATGCTTTTTCAAAAACCTTCTGATCCGTAACTGTATGGTCAATAGCAACAGAAAACACAAATCCTAACCACGCAATATTAGTTTGCCGGAGCCAAAGACTTAAAAACCCAACAAAACCACTCAAACAGTATCTAAAAGTCGAGTGCAGCGAGTTTTGTAACACTACTACAAGTGAACCAACAACCAATATCGTGGACCAAACATCGGTATAGAATAGGTAAAAGAAAGTAAATAATAATGGCTGAGCCGCAATGTTAATGGGCCAGAAAAAGCTTAGACTGACTTTATTCAAGATCATGGGTAATACGATAGTACCACCGACCAAGTTAAGTGAACGCAACATATTATAATTACCACAGACATCATAATCGAAGAAGATACCCAAGAACTTCGAATAAAGAAATCCAAGTACGTACAACCCTGGAGGTGTCGTTATCTTATTATCCCATTCTTTAAATTTGTATTGACAATATTTTTGACACTGTCTCAAATGAAAAATTTCATCAATAACAGGGTCCCCCAATATTGCACTAATCTTCCAAAATAATAGCCAGCTGCCAGCAATGAAGACTACCGTCAGTATGTATTTGCTGGCATGGTGAAATATAATTTCATTGCTTGGGACAAGCAAAGGCATTTAAACTGTAGCAGAACAAATGATTTTTAAATATGGTTTATCTTTATGTTCTACTGAAATACTGCGACTCACAAAATCTCATTTTCACAAATAGGTTCCAATAAATAGTTGCAAAAACCTCTAAGTCTTAAGAAGTTTCCATTTCATTGAACAAGCACCCCATTGAATTTACTCTCTATTTGCTATTGAATTTATATATATTTGCTAAAAAGGTTTGACATATTGCATCAATTGCTAAGATTCTAAAAAAGTATCAATATTGCTAATAATTGAAGAAATTGCATTAAAGATATGTCTGCTGCCCAAAAAAGAGAGAAACTGTTCCTCATTTCACATCCCACGGGTGACAGATTTATTCCATCTTCGTCATCTGCCCTGGTTTATAAGTCTAATAACGATTACGATGCAAAAAGGAGAAATAATTGCACCCAATTATCATGCGACACTGAGATGGCGATACAGTTTAATCCTTTGTTTGTCGCAACTGGAAGGTTTACTTCACAAAGAGGGCAAAATGAAGCCTCACTAAATACAGATTCAATCATTGAACCTTTTCTGCCATCAAAAGAAGAAAGGAAAACACAAGACCCAATTGCAAATGCTCTCGGGTACAGAAATAAATCAAAGGTTTTCAACTATCAGTCTCCAACTAAAGATAAGGGTCGCTCACGAAGTGCCAGCAATAGCAGTAGTTTCAGTTCAAACAGCGACAGTAATAGTAGACTAATCGAAATTGCTGGGCCGTTGCTATCAAGTACATCCTCGAAAGAAGTTATGAAGTACCTTGCCCAAGATAAGGAGCCTAAAGATGTCAGTACTAACAAAAATAGTAAGCCACCAAGACTCATAGTTGCAAATAGCATTTTACAAGCTCCGGGACTAAGAAATGATTTTTATTCTAACTTAGTAAGCTGGTCTAAGAAAACTAATAAAATCGCAGTTGGTCTTGGTGCCCATGTTTACTCTTGGGGCATTGATAATGATGTCGAAGCCATTGAGTATAATTACTATGATATTGTCACTGCAGTAGCTCACTCTAATGATAAGTTTTTGGTTATTGCAACATCACATGGCAGAATTTTATTGGTTGATCATCTTGAGAATCAATTGCTAGCCTCGTATACTAATGAGAATAAGTGCGTATATTGTTTTGCTTGGTTCACACCTTCTCGCTTCTTTTTAGCCGGTGATGAGTTCGGAGATATTTCCATCTTTGAAATAGTTATCGATGAGATAGGAGCTAGTCTTACTCTTCGCTCAAGCTTTAAGTGTCATGAGCAACAAGTATGCGGTAAGTATGAGATAATGAAATTTAGTTTCTATGCTAAAATGGCATAGTAATGAATAATACTAACATATAGGCATTGCATTGAATAATGACTATTCGCAGGTTGCGGTTGGCAGTAATGATAATTGCTGCTCTATATGGGACATCAGCGACATTGATGCTCCATCCTTGCGATTCGTTTTACCTCATACTGCTGCTGTCAAAGCTATTTCCTTCTGTCCTTGGACAAAGTCACTTTTGGCAACTGGCGGTGGAAGCAGAGATCGTCATATCAGGTTTTGGCATACAAAAAGTGGCACTTTGCTAAGTACCCATAACACGAATTGCCAAGTAACGTCACTTGTGTGGTCGAGGTTTAAAAAACAACTTGTAGCAACCTTTGGATTCGGAGATGGTCGCGAGCGCTGTCTCATTAAGGTATTTTCCTATCCTCTGATGTGCCCTGTCATTGAAGTTCCAGCTGGACCTAATCTCAGGGTTCTAAGTTCCACATTAAGTCCAGATGGGTGCTCTATATGTGTCGCTACAAATGATTCAACTGTCAGAATATATCGTCTCTGGGATAATACTCTCGAGCTTGTTTCATCTCCCCAAACATGTGAGAGGGGGATCTATGGAAGTTCTTTAATTGAGCTTCATGAGGACATAGAAGCAAGAGGGGATACTATCAGATAATTAACTAAGAACCTCAGCTGACAAGAACCAGATCAATTCACTCAGATCTCAGATCTGGTCTCGCCAATATCATATGATCCTCTTTTCAAGTAAACTCATGACCAGGTACTACGGCTTGGATTACTTATGCTTAAGCTAGTCATAATATAAGCAGTAAAATATTTATAATAGTAACTGATAAACACTTAGTAACCTATCTTGTAACGGAAGTGGCTGCTAAAGGACGTTGGTCCCAGACCAATAACCTGCATATACATTCACCTTCTCTTGGCCCCTCCTAATAAGGAGATGATCGCTTAGCTTTATTATATTTCTTAGGCTACATACTTTGACATCAAAGTGATATTGTGAAACTAGTAAAATGTCAGCAGCTTTGATAAACCGTTCTTTAACAACAATCAAAACTGAGTTGGAGTTTCTTCGAGATTCTGAAGTGATTACGGAGGAGTTATACAATGGTTTAGAGAGGAGTCTTCCAGCTAAATATCAGAAAGACATGGCACCATGGGGGATAGATAAACTAGGTTCTGCAGGAGTAAAAGTTTCGGAGGCTCCTGTTAATCATGATGCTACTGATAAGCTAAGCGAGGACTTGAATAAAACAAGCTTGGCAAGCCAGCCCTCATCAGCATCGCCACCTAGATTATCCCCAGAAGTGTCAAGCTCGAAGGCTCCCGAGCCACTAGGATATTGTAAGGCTCTTTACGATTACCAAGCTCAAGAGTCTGGTGATTTGAACTTGCATAAGGACGAGAAGGTGGCTATCTTAGAGCATTTGTCCGAAGATTGGTGGAAGGGTTATAAAAAAGGAGAAGGTCGGGACAGAGCTGGTGTTTTTCCTTCAAACTACGTGACGGTGGTATCTCAACAAGAATTCGAATTTGACCGGCAGTCTCCAGCGTTGCCTAAAAATGAAAAGGCAAGTTATGAATTAAATCAACAACAGTTTACACAGCCTCCTCCACAATATTACGATCAACAGGCTTTAGGTCCACAACAGTTGCAACCGCAGTCATCTTACGGAGGATATGCCCAGTATCCTCCTCCATCGGCTAACTATTCACCTAACCCAATGCAAGCTCAACAATCTGCAGAAGGTCAGCTGCCTCTGCCACATCCTCATTTGAGAAAATTCGGTGGAAAGCTAGGAAATGCTGCGATATTCGGAGCTGGCGCAACAATCGGTAGCGATATCGTTAACTCAATCTTTTAATGACTACTTTGTATGAATTGTTTTACTTTATATATCATATTTCTTAAAGTGGGTTCTATTTACAAAAAAGACGCAGCTCATTTTTCAAAATTTACGTCCATCAGTAACAGTATTCAACAACAATGTATCATTATCCAATAAGATCCTGTTCGGTGAGTTTGCTAATATTGCGGCAATCTCTCTGGCAGTATCTAACCTCTTCAATTCAACATAATCCCTAGATTTCTTTATCGCTTCACCAACTAATTCTGCAGATTTTGCTTCACCTGCGGCTTTGACCACCAACTGCTGCTTTTCTTGAATTGCTTTATCAACAACAAAAGCTGCTCTTTGAGCATCTTGTTGAGCAATTTGTTTGGCCTCCACCGCAGCACTAAATTCAGGAGAAAATGTCATGAATGTTAAAGAAACATCATCCAAGGCGATATTGAACTTGCTTGCACGACGGATCAAATTTTCTTTCACTAATCTGCTAACTTTCTCTCTCTGTGTTATCAATTGGGATGCATTGAATTGAGCTACAACCGACTTCAACACTTCGTTAACAATAGATGGTAACACTTTCTCATCATAGTCAACTCCTAAAGTACGATATATATTTGGTAATTGGAAAACATCCGGTTTGAATAAAACTCTGCATGTGATGTTGACCATTTGTAAATCTTTGGTGCCTGTCAAAGATGCAACATTTCTTGGTTTTGCCCTAACATCATATACTATTGGCCTTTGAAACCAGGGAATCACAAAATGAGTACCTTCAGGGTATATACGAGGTTGAACTCCATTAATTCTGGAATAAACTATAGCTCTTTGACCACCATCAACGTTGAATAATGCATTCTGAGCAAGAATAGTGACACCACCCAAAAGTAACAAGCCACCAATTCCTGTAAGAGCACGAACAGGTGGTTTTCCACCAGATCCACCAGGACCTCTTGCTTGTGCTGCCCTACGCCTCAATTCATTAGATAAATTCCTCCAGTTTTGTTCACTCATGCTGATTACTGCTGAAGTGTAACTATTTCCTTCTACTACAAGTGACTAAAATCTTTCCTCAGTCGCCTTCTAATATGTCGCAAATACAAAATAAGACGACATAAAAAGCGACATTTTATTTCACTTATTTTTAAGATAGAGATAGAGACAGAGGGAGTATTTAGTATTAATATCATGAAGGTACCCCTTCGTAGTCATTGTCTTTGTAGTATTCATTAATGACCTTTTTCCAATGCCTTTTCCGGTTTGATTGGATGGGGTTTTTTCTAATAAATCTTTCAAGGAATATAAGAAATAAAAGCACCACCGAAACGACAAAACCTGGAGCAATTAACCTAACAAGCTTAAGCTTACTCACAGTCTTCTGATATGGGCACTCCATATACGGCCCACCTGTAACAAAGCATCCAGGAACAGTAATATCATTCATATCGACCCAAATAGGACGCGAAATGTTCATCCGTATCATAGTGTTTCTCAATGAAAGGCTTTCTACACTCAGCAGTGGTACTCCTAGACTATAACCCTCCAGGCATGAATTGAATGCTTCAAAATACTGAAGTTTCTTTGTTTCTATGCGCCAATTGTTTGGCTCGTTATATTTTTGACATGCATACGAATGGCTGTCGTAGCAATTTTTGACTTCGAACCCATCTTTAGTCATAGCGACACACCTAAAGGCAGCACGATTACCAGTATTTTCATCATTCACACCAGAGGATTCCATATGAGTCGGCTCATTTGCAGCCCATGACCAGAAAGAAAGAGGAAGAAAGTGATTGACAATTCTGCCCAAAGAGGTCGAATCTTTATGCTCGTATACGTCGGTATATTTTGAAGCATTTAATATCGGAGAATAACCACATGCAACATAATCTTGAATAGACTTGTTAGTAAATGGGTATCTATCGTCATCAGATACAAACCTGAAATGAGTATTCAAATATAAATTATTATAATAGTCAATATGGTTTTCATTGTTGTGAAAATTCGCCAAAACATTTTGACAGTCATCCCAAAGAGTTCTATTGAATGTAGTCTGAGGAAGAGGCTCAAAATACCTCTCCGAGGAAAAAAAAGTATTATTATCAAGTGTGGTGAAGTTGTAAGTTGCTGAAGAATTAACCAAATTATTAGAATTGATTCCAACAAATATTCTTTGATACTCGAAGAAAAGGAAGTGTTGCAATGACGGAAACATGATCGATGATTGATTGAAAAACGATAACAGAGTATTATATCGTTCCTGAAAACTTTTCAAATTATTAGCTGTGAATGTGAGCGATCCAAAGGTCAGAAAGTCTTGTGATAAAGTAGAATTCCCTAGTTGCGAAGAAATTGAAGTTGGCAACGTGTAGCCCTCTTTTAAAGAGATCACGGAAGAACTATTGACCTTTGCTTTAATATCTTCTTTGTAATGGATCGAATGCAAGTTTAAGAGTATTTGAATTAAATTAAGATCCAAATTGAGATTTGAAGCTGATAAGTAGCTATTAATGGTTCCCACTAAGTTGTTGAAGGTAAATGTAGGCTGGCAAGTATAAGTCTTACCTTCCCAAGTGAGTTTGTGTTTTTCATTTAGATGCTGCGTTTGATTCTTAGGTAATGGGGCCGGACAAAGTTGCCAAACTCCAATAAACTCATTCCAATATATATCGACAACTAATGTTTGTACACCAACATTCAACAAGGTCTCAATATCACTTAGAGTATCATTTATGTAGCCTTTCTTATCAAATAGTTGACTACTTAAAGATACACCGAGAGTAGTCAACTGATCTATGGGTATGTTTTTTGATGTATCTCTCTGTCCTCTCACAGCAACGGACTCTTGAAATGATAACCACGGCCAATTACTCAAATCACAAACGCAGAAATTTAGACATGTTAGGAGGACAAATATGTACCTTCCTATTGCTTTTATCATATCCTTGACATACTTTATCTGAAAGTTTTTAATTAAAGACAAAACTCTTTATATTTGATAACTTTGTTTAATTGCACTAGGAGCAGCCAAAAAGTACTCGAAGCACAAATGCAGGAAATATAAACAACAAAAACAAAAATTGGTTCTACTGTTAAGAAGGGACCACCGTGTAGAAGCACATTGTAACGAGTATGAGGGACTATGATTGAATATACTGACAATATCTTGAAAGAGATCATTAAGACCTTAAACCTTAAACAAAAGGAGGCAGTTCTTGCACCCGCCTCCGGAAGATTGCAAATCATTGCTGGTCCTGGAACTGGCAAGACTAAGGTTATAACATCAAGGGTGGCATACTTGTTGCTCCATGAGAAGATTCTTCCACAGAATATAATAGTAACCACTTTTACGAGGAAGGCTGCTAAAGAAATGCTTGAACGGCTTCAGACTATGCTTGATGGTAGCGGAATTGAAATTGGTAAGATTTTAATAGGGACGTTTCATAGCGTCTGTTATAGAATTATCAAGAAGTATGGAAATAAGATAGGAGTATCCAAGTTCAATGTTGCAAACGAGAAAGATAGCTTGAAGCTTTTGCAAGAAACTTTGACGAATTTGACTTCGATAGACTTAAAATATATCGCCAGCCTTGGCCCCTCGAGTGAGCTTTTCAAGACGAGCACGGACGAGAAAAAGACAAATGGATATGACATTAAAAAGATAAAAAGACAGATTTCTAGATTGAAGTCCTCTGCCATCTCGGCTGAAGCTTATTCAAATTCCAACAAAAGTAACTCCTTCTTGTCATTTATATACGAGAGGTACCAGAAAAAGATCCAAAGTGACTTTTTGCTAGATTATGATGACTGCTTACTATATTGTTATGAACTACTTCAAAAGTTTCCCGTTTTAAACTTTGTCCAGCATGTCTTCGTTGATGAATTTCAGGATACAAATGAGATACAGCTCTTGCTTTTATATCAGTTTGCAAAGGGCCATCCCACTAATATTCAACTACAAAATAATCTAACCGTAGTTGGTGATCCAGATCAAAGCATATACGCCTTTAGAGATGCTCAATCGATTAACTTTGAAAAAATGAGACATAGATACCATAGCAGTATAGGTGGCTGCAACATAATCACTCTAGATGAAAACTACAGGTCGACAAAAGACATACTCAGTTTTTCAGAATCAGTCATGACACAACAAAATAATAGACTTTCCAAGGCATTAAGATCCCAAATGAATATTACGATTCGTCCTGTTTATAATAATCTTTCTTCCCCTGAGGAAGAAGCTAAATGGATTATATATCAAATCGAACACTTAATGGCCTTACCAAATTCTGCATTCAGTTATAATGATATTTCAATATTGGTGCGCTCATCATATCAAACACGAAATATCGAAAATGAGCTTGTAAAATCGAGAATTCCTTATGAGGTGGTAAAAGGAAAGGCATTTTGGGATAGAAAAGAAGTAGTTGCAATTTTGAATTATCTTAGGGTCATAGCCAACGATAACGATAGACTTGCAATTTTAGGTACGATAAATTTTCCAAAGAGAGGAATCGGTGAAAAGACGATAGCGGTAATTGAAAGAGCTCTAGAATTAAAATTATTGGAATCGAATCACAACCAGTCATTATTTCAAACACTAAAATCTGTTGTTAATGATGGAGAAGCAAAGTTATCTAAGAAGAGCTTGGAGGCATTACAAAAGTTTATTAATTTTATCGAAAAAGCAAAAGATATGCTAAGAAGCTTTGAAAGCAAATATTCATCTTGTATGTTTTCATCGAAAGCGAAGATCAGTTTGAACGAGCTATTCGAGTTTGTTTACTCCAAGTCGGGTATTCAAAGTGAATTTCAGAGTGACCCAAATTATGAATTGAATATAAGAGAGGTTGGAAAACAGTTAAGCGATTTCCAACCAACTGATGATGATATACCTATTTATCTCGGAGGAGACATTACTGAAAGAGATGTAGATGAGAGGAACTTTCTTTTAAGATTTGTTCAATCAATTGGCTTGTCAGATATTGACTCCTCAAGTCAGAATCTGTTTTCAAATGGGGCTGAAAGTAAAGGAAAAATGAGCCTTTCAACCATCCATGGTTCGAAAGGGCTAGAATGGCCAGTTGTATTTGTGCCAGGCCTATGCGAGAATTTACTTCCAGCTAAATTTGCCCTTGAATCGGACGACATGAATGCATTGGATGAAGAACGTCGTTGCTTTTATGTTGCGACAACCAGAGCACGATCACTTTTGTATATTTCATCATACACTGAAAGCTCCTCTGAAGGGAAATGGGGAAGACAACCAATTGAGCAGGTTCTGAGATTTATTTCTTCTATGGTAGACTCGGGTGTCTTTTCTCACAGTCAAGAAGCATTTAAAGATTGGAATCAATTTTGCGAGCTTTATGAGCTCATTGCAAAAAAAATGCCAGTGAAGAACGACTTTGATCTTTCTAGCTTTTATTCCTGCTATAGTAAAAGATTAAGTCTGTTTCTTAGAGGATCAGGCTTGCTTATCAAAGAATTTTCTTCTAGTCCCGAGGGTTTTGTTTCCGCAAGCTCGCAGTTAAATCGAAAGAGGTCATCTTCAGACTTTAGAACAAACACTTTAGAACCATTGGTAAAGATCTCTAAATTTAAAGACGACGTCAAACGTCACCTTCACTACGCAAACAAAGCAATACCTTCAAATGGGCCAACCAGGGCACCTTCAATCACTGATATCAAGATAAAAACGCCAAAGAATAACAAAGCACCACCTTATATTCCCACTAGAAAGGTTCCATCGCGATATTTGAATAAAAGAAAGACTTGATTAAAGTGGGAGACCTTAAGTCTTGGCATGTTTCTTACGTAATGTCAGGTATTTGTTCGTCTCCTTTTGGTTTCTCCTTTTGATGAAATTCTTGGAGCTCGAATAGGTTGCGAAAATTTAATTCAAAATTAAATCTGTTAATTAATATACTTGATTAGGAACAAACATAAACAAAAGATTTTAGACATCAGTAAGAGGTAAGATGAAGTAGTAATAATACTTGCATGAATATGATTATGTCAACTGAAATTTTTAGATATGATCTATACCAGAAGGGTATTGCATATTCCGTTCTGAGAGCAATCAGAGCGATTTAATAAATTATTATATAGATATAATATATATATATATATATATGTGTAATGCTGAGAGAGAATTTGACGCTAAAGTTTGTAAGAGATAGGGTCTGAATAATTTAAGTGTGGAGATTAAATATGCTTCATGGAGTTGCAAAGCATGATTCGATTAGGAGGGTGAGCAAAACAACTATTACATCTAATAATAGAGCGAAGGAAAAGATTTTTAGACCAAAAAACAACGTTTTCAGGGCCCTAATAGGCTCTCCAACTGATAAGATGATGTCTCCTATCCTGAAAAAGCTCATAGCAGTTAAAAAATTCGACAAGAAGAATCAAAAAGTCAAAAATAAGCTTTTAGAATTAGAGAGTTTGAACAGTTATTCTTAGGCGAATTTGATGAAAAAACAATTGTACATGCTTACATGATGAATTAATAGAATAGACATCGCTTTTATTGAAAGTTCTTTTATTTATTTTCGGATTCGATCTAGCTTTTTATTATGGTGAAGCTCCAAGGGAATGACAAGTGGACAGTTTTATCATCATCAATGAATTTCGTAATGGCAGAGTAATTTCCTCTTGCCAACATCCCTGATGGTGCCTCTACTTCCCCGAAAGCCTTTTCATAGTAAGGCTTGTCCTTGGTATTGGGTGCGTAAGAACCTAACGGTTCTTCAACCTTGTCAACCCGAATTCCAGATTTTTTAATGGAATGTAAATACTTCAAGCCAGTTATGATCTCATGCTGAACACGGAACTTTATGTTTAATTGATAAACAGATTTTTCCTTTATATTAAATTTGATTTCCTTTCCAGTAATAGTATTACCGTAAGAATCCTCTAAATTGATGACAATTGGCAGCAATTCAGGCTGGTCGGGAAATTTAAGAGACATCTCAACAATCACTACTTTTCTCTTGTCACCTGGCTTGACAGGGTACGCGTTTTCGTCAGTAGTCAATCCCAAAGACGCCTTCCACTTCGCCAAACTTTCATCTTCCGCGTCGAGCTTAGTGTATTCTTGAATAGTCTTCTTCTCACCAACAGTGTAGCCTTCTACGCTCTCAGGTACTAAGTCCTGATCATTGTTGTTTGCTGGCATCGTTCTAAGATGAGGTATGTAGCTAAGTGTGTGGTATTTGTATCGTTAAAACATTTTAGTACTCGTCTCGACTAGCTAGCCTATTGTAGATCTGGTTAATATGACACGACCGTCCCCCTCCCCCACCATATTTCCATATTATTGAATTGTCTTAAGAATGACATAGTCGGGACACAATATTAAGCTTTTCAATGTGTATTACTCTTTGACCTATCCTCTGAGCCAAGTACAACTTTTTTGGACTTGATTGTATCGTGGTCTCGTTTTAATTGAAAAAGATGTGCTGAATATTTTCTATAAATAGAGAGAACAACTAATCTATAAGTATATCAGGACCAAAGCGCTTTGGAGTTGTCTCAATGTGTATGCGGTGCTTTTGGATGCCTTTGGTATTTTCTATGCTTCGATTTGGAATTCTGGTCTTCTGGTAAAATGATAAATGGATTATTTAGTAACTTTCTTTCGATCCCCTTGTCATAAACAGGAGCAGGGTACTCGTAGTAAGGTAACGGTGGCATGTAAGTAGGTATTGGGTATATAGGTGGACCATAAAATGGCGCTTGGGTATTTAACATCGGCTGCAAAGAAGGGGTTACTTGCGGAAAAGCTGGAGGCATTCCGAAGGGTTGCATACCAGGAGGGACAACTGGTGACATTGAAGGATAAACATTGTGAATCATTGGGTGCGGCATGCCCAGCATTTGAATCAGTGGCATATGAGATTGAACTTCTTCGACCGAGTTTCCTTGATCGTCGCTGGATTCATCTGGCTCACTTTCATTTGTCATCTTGAAAACTTCCTCACGTATTTTCATATATATTGCCTCCTTAGAAGCTCGCTCTGACTCAATCTTTGTTGAGACCATAGTGGGATCACTTTCAACAACTGGGCTTGTACTTGCACTAGTTTCAGAGATTTGAAGCGACCCTTGACCACTAGTGCTGCTTGAATGAGTCCGAGAAGTATTATTAGCATCATGACGATCATCTGACAAGTCTGCAGCCTTCTTTCGTAACATACGTGGTTTCACACGTCCTCGTATTTGATCCGAGAGCTTTCTGCCACTCTCGAAACTCTTTAGTACCATATTGTAATCGACCTTCTTAATGGGACTTGCTATGATTTCGTTTGATTTATTATTCCAATGTTGCAAATGATAGTATTGACATAGCTGATGAGATAGTAGTCTGTAATAGCTATTTATCAAGTACGTTGCTTCAATTGTAAACAGGATATCTCTACTGCCACTGTTTATTTGGTGCCTAATAAATTTGATCAATTCTTTTTCCAAAAACAATAGATACTCTCTCTCTCGATTTTTCGACAAAGCTACTTGGATGGACTCTGGAATATCTATCCCACAATCGTTGGTTTCTCCAACAGTCATCGACTCAGATTTTTTATTTATATTAGCAAGTAATCGACCGATTTTCTTCAGTTTAACGAGTGAAAAATCATCAAATATTGAACTTTCCACTAGTGAGATAAGTGGATATATACAGAAAACTTCAAATATAAAAAAGATATACATTCTTAGAAAGATCTTGTATCATATTTATTTACAATATTTGTAAAGAGATTGATTAAATCAAGATATCAATGGAAGATGAGTGACTCTAACGACGTATGTATATGTTACAGTAAATGAATCAGAGAGGTGATTACGGTGGCGAAAGAATAATACTAACAGGTTATAGATCAGAGCTAAAAGATTAGCTAAATTAGCTGCATTGAATAAGAGCCAAGAAGGAGGTAGACCGAGGGAATCGGGGTCTAAATCTGATTCTCTTAATTCTTTAGTGACCAAAAGGGAATCAGATCACGATCACCCCGAGCCAAAGGCTGACGAGAAAGTAGAACCAAAGAAGAAGAAAAAACTGGAAGTAGAAGAACAAAAGAAGTCACAACTAGAAACAGAGGCATCAACCCCTCGTGTACTGGAGGAAAAGAATAGTAGACCGCTAAAGGTACATAAATCAGAGCAAGAGGAAATTTCAGACTGGATAAAAAGCGAAATAGAGTACATTTTTATGGCCTCATTAAATAAAAAGTTGGGTATGCTTCACTTGAAATCACTTGTTTCTGAGGGCGAGAACGACAAAATTACCCTTTCAGCGGACTCGTTAGAGTCCATTTTCATGGAAATACTAACTGATCTTGGAGTTCCCTTTGGATATAAATCATCAATCGAATTTTTGTACTCAGTCTACCAAAATGCTTTCAAATCCAAAAGGACGCTCTCAAAAAAGGCACCATTTTACGAGTCTAAGATAAAGGTCTTAAATAATATCATTAACTTATCCTGTTCCTATGGTTTGATCTGTCTTGAAGTTGAAGACATGTTCATCAATAATAATATTAAATCTGCATTGGATGCACTCTTCACTAAGGATGAAATGATTCAATTTTTAGTAGATATTGTTAAACAAGCGATAGAACAGGAAACGCTTTTGGAATGTTTGAATATCATTATTCCTTCGTTAAGTGCTAAACTCTACCGGGTAAATTTAAATGATCGAATGTATTCTAATTATCTCACAGTTCTAGAATCGTTAGTAAACATAAAACAGGTAGCCGCATGTTTTTCGAAAGTGAATGGGTTCCAACCCCCAGATATTAAAAACTGTTTAGACTTTGAACACAAAACTTTATTGGGTTCTTGGTTAAGATTATCGCCAATGTTGGAGGATGTTTCAGTATATTATTTTACCGAAAATGTAACTGATTTTTCAAAAGTTCAATTGAATTCGACTTACGAAAGCCTTCAAAATGAGTTCAAAGTTGTCCTTGACAGATTGTTTTTCATTACTGATAGACTCATTAGAGGTTCCCTGGAGACAAGGAAAGACGTCTTGAAATGGTTTGCAGACTTGATAAACTTGAGTCATTTGAGGAGAGGTAGTCTTGCAGAATTAAAAAAATTACCATCAGATGGCATAATGTTTAATATATCAGTAATATTAATCAGATTGAGTCTGCCTTTTTTAGAATTTCCCACGTACTCTAAGATTGACAAGATTGACATTAATTTTTTTGGAAAGAGCAAATTGCTAGCAATCGAAGAAGAATCACGCATAAATGCTTCCATTCAAGAATCTAATGAATATTATCAAGGTTTCCAGAGTGACTCCGTAAATTTCATATCTGATTGTTACTTCATAGCATTGTCCTATTTGCATTATGGTATTGGTGGAATATATATTCATTATGATAGGTTAAAACAACAAATCAAACAATACAATGAAAGAATTCAGATGATCGAGGCAAATAGAGCCCCCGCTGGTAGTAATCCAATGATGCTACAGTTCTTGAAAGCCCAGTTGCCAACTTTGAAGAAAGGATTAAACCAAATACAGGCATTCAAGCATTCAGTCCAAGCAATTTTTAGTTTCAGAGATTTACAGCTAGATATCTTCGATTTTATAATTGGATCGACGTCCTTCTTTACCAGGTTAATTGACCCAAACCATTTGTTCCCAAAAGAGAGTATCGAAATTCCTCTTTATCAAATTAAAAGGGTATCTGAGTTAGACGATCCTGATCTTTTAAAAACCAAATCCCCGGAGCCTTGGAAGTTTTATCCCGAGTATATCTTGGAGGGTATTATTAATTATTGTAAATTTGCTGTGAACTTCAGAGGATCACCGTTAGTACAAAATCTCGAAAAGTTACTGCTGTTTGTTGAATTTGCAGTTATTGTTTTGAGATGTCCTGAACTTATAGGTAATCCGCATATGAAGTCCAACTTGGTTGAAATTTTATTTGTTGGCTCGTTACCAATGAGTGACGGGAGTCCAGGGTTCATGTCTCCTATATTCAATACTAACAAATTGGTAATTGACAATATTTTATATTCCTTATTGAATATTTATGTTGTTCTCGAAAAGACAGGAGCCTCGTCTCAATTCTATGACAAGTTTAATAGCAGATATTACATCTCGATGATATTGGAGGAAATTTGGAAGAATGAAGTGTATAGGGACCAATTGACTAATTTCTCCAAGAATAATGTTGATTTTTTCGTTAGATTTATTGCAAGGATGCTTAATGATACAACATACTTGTTAGATGAGACTTTTAATGAACTTAACTCTATTCATGATTACCAACAAGAGTTACGCAAAAGAAAAGATACGGAGTCTGAAAATGAGGAGTTTGGAACCACAGAAGAACTTTCTAATAATTTAAGTTCTTCGGAACGCAAAGCAAAGTCATATATGGGTTTAACTAACAAAACCATGGAATTATTCAAATTATTCACTAAAGAAGTGCCACAAGGATTTATACTACCTGAAATTGTCGATAGGTTATCCAGTATGCTTGATTACAATCTCTCAGTTTTAGTCGGACCAAAATGTTCAAACTTGAAAGTCGAATCTCCAGAAAAATACGATTTTGATCCCAAGAGAACATTGGCAGACTTATGTGAAATATTTTGTAATTTGGCTGGTGAAGATAAGTTTATTATATCAACTGCAAGGGATGGAAGATCATTCAATTTGGCTTACTTTAAGAAGGCAGAAAGGATTTTACTCACTAAAGCAACTGTAAATCCTATTGTAGTGAAGAAGATGGTTACCTTTGCTGAAAAAGCAGAGGCACAGCGATTGTCCGATGAAGGCGAAGAGCTTGAGCTAGGTGAAATTCCTGATGAATTTTTAGACCCTTTGATGTTTTCTCTTATGGAGGATCCAGTTATTCTTCCCGGTTCAAAAATTAGTATAGACAGATCTACAATCAAGGCACATCTATTGAGTGATGCTACTGATCCCTTCAATAGAATGCCTTTAAAGTTGGACGACGTGATCGACGATCATGAACTTAAACGGAAAATCGAGGATTTCAAAAAAGAAAAGAGAGCTCAAGCTCAAAACAGAGATGTTGAAATGACTGATGCATGATATTTTCCTTTAAATATCAATATCCTTTTTAAATCTACTATGATAGACTCCAAGACTTTCTAGTGGCTTTATATTCGCTAAATAATTGAAATATAAAACTTAGATATACATTTAGTTTTGTTCTTGTATTAAGAAATTAGAGATACCCCAAATTAAGATGAAGAAATGACAATACTTAAGCCTTAATGGCGTATTTTCTTTGAGGGAAAGCGATTTTTTGCTTTCTTGCCTTTTCAGTGATTTGCTTCTTCTCGAATTTGGACAAGTGTCTTCTGATAGCTCTGGTCTTCTTCAACCTCAAGTCTTTTGGTTGATATTTCTTACCAGCATAGAAAGCTTTAACAGCTTCTCTTTGGTTCAAGTTAATAACAGTTAAAACTCTAGCAATGTTCTTTCTGACAGTGTGAATTCTTGGTAAGGATGGTTTTTGCAATTTTTGAACCTTCAAGTTGGCCAATTCTTGCTTCAATTCAACCAATTGTTGTTCCAATTGATCCTTAGACTTGGTACGTAATTCAAAAGTCTTAACGCCAGCCTAAAAGTTGTTAGTAATACGTTTATAAATTTGTAAGCCACCAATGACATATCCAGCTAGGTGTGGTTTCAAGTACTGGTGCTCTGTTGCAGCTTCCTTATTTCAACCGTCATATTGCCTTAAGTACAGACTATAGTATTCGGTATTAAAACTTGTCAGTATGGGTATATCAGATTATCTTTCTTTATCCACAGTCTTCCAAATATGTTGGTATCTTCATTCATATGCTTGGTTTCTCATTTTCGTGATACATCCTGACTATTTTCTCCTTATGTTTATCCATTTCATCTAGCTCTTCTTTCGTCACACTTGGCTATATAGTTCTCAGTTACATACCATTTCTCCTAAATAACTGCTCTATTATCTTTGATGTATAGAAATTAGAATCAAATCGATAAGTTCAACTATAGTTGTGTGATGAAAAATTCTTCCCGACCCAAGCCCAAAGAGAAGAGTGAGAAAATTAACTTTGTGTAATGTTTAAGATGAGTGATTATCACGTGAAATATGAAGAGGGATGGGCCCTCGTATGCTTTTACGCATTCAAAAAAGAACATGTAATGAGCTTCATTGCATTATCAATCGGACCTCACCTCGTAGACGTAGAGACAATAGAAAAAGTATTTAGTATTAAGATCTTGTTGAAGTGAAAGAAACAAGAGATAAAGAAGTTAGAGAATAAGTGTAGAATTTAAGTTTAAAACCATTTCAGAAGTCGAAGTTAGCTGTACGGACTAAAACTTCCAGTACGCTTGAACCATCTATTATTTGAGAAGAATCTAGTCTTTAAAGGGAGGTTTGAACTCTAGTCCATAACTGGGTAACATCAAAACCATGACTTCTTTTTTTTTGTCTATATCGGCCAAGATATATTCTACAGGATTCTTGAGGCATGAAGAATTAATGGAAGACTAATCTATACATTCAATGACGATAAATAGAAACAATATACCAGAACTATGGATAATGGCCCAATTAGTCTTTTTAGCTTTCTAGTAACAATGAATTAAAAAGGATTCTAGGGGCTAACAACTGTAGTTGTAAATTAACTCATAACAAATATTTAGGACCCATACAGGTGCACTGCAAGGTCAGCCTTCAATTTTATGCAAGCTGTCCTTGTTATTGGCACTGCTTATGAAGAGTTCTTCAAGTTAGTAGACAACCATTCCAAACCCTCGTACAATCCATCACCAGTAGTGGCACATGTACTTTGGATGTACCATGGTCTTTGACGGATAGAGTGCAATCCTAACTTTTCGGTTATTTCAGCGGCGTTCATAGCATTTGGTAAATCTTGCTTGTTGGCGAAAACCAATAACAAGGCGTCTCTTAATTCATCTTCGTTCAACATTTGTTGCAACTCTTCTCTGGCTTCCGCAATACGATCTCTATCGTTGGAATCAACGACAAAAATGATACCCTGGGTGTTCTGGAAATAGTACCTCCATAATGGTCTAATTTTATCTTGTCCACCGACATCCCAAACAGTGAATGAAATATTCTTGTATTCAACTGTCTCAACATTGAAACCGATAGTAGGGATCGTAGTAACTATTTCACCTAACTTTAACTTGTACAAAATAGTAGTTTTACCTGCGGCATCTAAACCAACCATCAAAATTCTCATCTCTTTGTTACCAAAGAGGTTACTGAACAATTTAGAAAATGATAATCCCATTTTTAATAATAAGTCCCTTTAACCAAAAATGCTCTTTTACTTTCCTCGCTTCGATCGCTTTTAATTCGTTTGTCAATTAACTAATCAGCAAATGAGATAGTCAATTAATTAGTCAAAATCAATCTATATTAATTAATCAATACCTAGCAATCAATCAAACTAATCAGCAGCGCTTAAATGTTTACTACCTCCTCTTTAGATGATTATCTTCCGACTTTCACTAATGTGTATCAAAAGAACAGTGTTGATTTGAATTATTCTCGTCGGAAAGCCTTCGACGGCTGAGACTTTCAACACGTAATCGCGTTTTAGGAGACAAATGGCGGGTAACCTCGAGTTGCAAAACTTCACCTCAACAGCTACAGTTTATGTAGAGAAGATAGGTGGAAGAGTGATAGAGACAAAAAGAGCATAGAACTAGTCTGGTATTCAGGATATAGGCAGCGTCCCGTATGGCTACTGTAATAGGCCTATAGTTAAATCATTATGTCTTGTGCTTAGATGGGGCACGAGGAAAAAGATTCTAAAGTGAGTAAGCCTAAATGTAGAAAAAAAAAATTGCAGCTATGTAATAATGAACATGTAAAGGATGCACTTTGTGTATTATGATATATAGCTATCTCTAGCAAAGAAATTAAATTACTTTCCGACATTAACCTTGCAATTAGAAAATTTTTGTAGGGCTCTTACAAAGACAGCATAGTTGACATCTCTGTTTTCGGGCTCCCAATATATCTCAGTCAATCTGATTTGCCATGGTGGGTAGTCCTGAAGATCTAAAGATGGGCCAAAGTAGATCAAGAGATCTGGTTCAGGGCCCACTAACTCAGTTAGCTCATCATTGACTAAGTTCACAGTTATGTCTTTCACAGACAACTCCTTAGAAACCGCAAGCTCGCACATTATCTTGGTCAATTCAACTATAGTTGGCTTTCCATCAATTCTAGAGAGAAGCGATATCTCTAAGTCAACATTCTCGGGCTTAACAATGTTTACATCATTAGAAGGATTCGTGCTGTAAATGATCGAATTTGAATGCGGAACCCTTATTGAGAAAATCGGTACAGAATCTGTTCCAAAATACACGGATAAGTTCTTTTTGATATAGCGGATCAATTCTGGTAAGTGCCGGCCTACGATTCCAGTATACTCGTATACGCCCAAGTTAGGGATCCCAGCACCTAATGACCACGCTGCAAGCTCACTTATGTTACTGATAAGGCCATCAACGCCGCCATTTTCTTCATCATCATCCTTTAAATCCAAAATGCAAGACACTCTCCGTGGTATCTTTGTCAACTTGTTGACATCTTCTCTAATCAATTGCGGAGATTTGTTCGGATAATACGCCAATGTCAAAAACTTCAACACGATTCTTCTATAAGTGCACTGTAAATTCTTGTAAATGGATATAAAAAAAAATAGCGCCAGAAGAATGGCGTGATTCACATAAAACACAAACACCATCACCATCGTCGCCGGTAATGACAGAGCTCCTGCTGAATTCTTAGGATTTGATTTGCTATCCATGAATCCGTGAACTATTTTGGTTGTGGTCTGATATAAGTTCTCTGTTCTTACTGTGCTCGGTGGATGCTGTAAAGTAGCTTTTTCCTCTTCAGGTTGTAGGCTTGCAACGTTAGAAGGGTCCTGCCCATCTTGGCGCTGTCTAAGTTGGGCACTTGCTTTATTGATCGTCATATTAGTCTCCAAAGACTGGTTTGTTCGCTTAGATAGTTGTCGTCAAAATTATAGTGTTGCTGTTTACGATACTTGGATTGTCATACTAAATGCTGTAAATTAATGAAATGATTATGTACAGGCCGCGATGGTCTAACCAAGAAGAAGAAGGGCTCTAACTCTAGGATACTTAGAGTTACAAAACGTGTAGAGAGTGTCACTATAGATGGTCAACTTAATAAAGGGTTCAAAAAATTGCATGGATACCTATGTTGAATGAATTGGTGCAATTTTCTACATTTATCGGGTTTTTGCGTGTTCTCACCCCACAGTGAAAAGTCGATCTTAACTCGGAGAATTAAAGTTTTGACAATTAGGTTTTATCAAGTTAGAGTGCAACGAATACCACATTCAGATAGAGAAGGCAGATCAAGCTTAGGTTGGGTTTCGAACTAAGGAGGTTATTATTAGAAGAAACAAGCTAGAACATCATCTAGTAGGGTAAAAAGTTATTAAAAGTGGGGCTAAATAAGAATATGAGAAGATGTGGACATATTTAGAAAATCTATTGTACGATCCAAATTTGAAGAAGCGGCAACAGTCGTCATCATCTATGGCATATGTCGTGGGAATGGTAGCGGCAATGGGAGGATTTTTGTATGGATACGATACTGGGTTGATTAATGATATTTTAGAAATGAGGTTCGTGACAGACTATTTTCCCTCCAACGGCTATAGCTTTAATACCCATGAACGTGCACTTTTGACTGCGGTTTTGTCCATGGGAACATTCTGCGGAGCTCTCGTCGCACCTCTCATATCAGATACGTATGGACGTAAGTTTTCTATCATTCTTTCCAGTGCCATAATATTCAACATAGGCAATATAATACAGATTGCAGCCAATACCGTAGCATTGTTATGCGTTGGTCGAGCGGTATCTGGATTATCTGTTGGTATATTATCAGCTATAGTACCATTGTACCAAGCTGAAGCTTCTCCAAAGTGGGTGAGAGGGTCAGTCGTGTTTACGTACCAGTGGGCAATAACCTGGGGATTTTTGATTGCAAGTGCAGTTTGCCAGGGGACCCGTAAGATGAATAATTCAGCATCTTATAGAGTTCCCGTAGGCCTACAATTCCTATGGGTACTTATTTTAAGCGTAACAATGCTTTTTCTACCAGAATCTCCTAGATTCCATGTTCAAAAAAATAACATCGAAAAGGCATTAAAATGCCTTTCAAAGTTGAGAAGAGTTCCCACAGATGATCCAGACTTGATTGAAGAACTAGTAGAAATTAAAGCTAATTATGACTATGAACTATCGTTCGGTAACACTACAATATTAGATTGCTTTAGAAGTGGAGGAGGAAGGCATAAACAAGGGTTGCGAATGGCAACTGGAATAGGAATAATGACACTTCAGCAGTGTACTGGTATAAATTTTATATTCTATTATGGTGTCAGGTTTTTTTCCAGTACTGGAGTCAACCACTACTACATGATGTCGTTTGTGACTTATGCGGTGAATGTTTTATTCACAATACCAGGATTAATGTTAATTGATGTGGTTGGAAGGCGAAAATTGTTCTTGGTTGGTTCTGTGGGTATGTTTATTAGCGATCTCGTTATTGCAATCCTAGGAGTTTCCATTAATGACGTAGAGGTCAGCTCAATAACAAGCGTCTCTTTTTCTTGTGTCTTTATTGCGTTCTTCGCTGCCACCTGGGGTGGAAGTGCATGGGCATTGGTATCAGATATTTATGGTATAAGTATAAGACAGAAAGCAATTTCAATAACTGCTGCAACTAACTGGTTAGTCAACTTTATCTTTGCATACATAACACCATACTTGATAGACACAGGAAAAGGTACTGTTGCTCTAGGAAACAAGATTTTTTTCATCTGGGGAGGGTGTAACTTCATTGGGATACTTTTCAGTTATTTTATGGTTTATGAAACGAAGGGATTAATGTTAGAAGAGATTGATTTTATGTACGTTACTTGCAAAACTGCCCCTTCATCGACAAAGTTTAAGTCGCAAAAGATTGACTACTCAAAATTAGACCATGGAAATGTGAGACCATTTGAAACGAATCGCGATGAAGTGGAGCTCGCAAATTTATCTCGATCAGTTTCTTCTGTTGATGATTATCAACAATACTTAAACAGAATGAGGGATGATACATCAATATCATCCTTTTCTAAACCGAGTTACAGAAATAATAGCCAGAGCAACAATAATAACAGTAGTAAGAATAATTACAACAACGGTCACAATAATCAAGGAGCTAATTATGGCATCAGTCAAAGTAAAGACTTAGGCACTTTGATAAATGGCTTTGGAACAACTGTGATCGCAACCCCCTTCTTCAATCAGGGTCCCGAAGACAGCGACACAGACTACGAAACGGACACAGAAAGCGTTCCGGGAAATATTCACACAACTCATGGAGAATCATAGACAATGCCCATAAAAATTAAGTGCAAACTGTTGGTGTGTTCGTTTGTTAAGAGATCCTAGGCGATCACTCGTTGGGGTGCAAAGGACATATCAGCAGGGGAACGAAAAGAATATTCAGAAGTATCAGCCTTATGAAGTAATGAAATGCATGTAGTTAAAAACTGTAGATGCAAATTATCTGTATGCGTCGGAAGTACTCTTCCGGTCAACCAACACCTATTTCTTTAATTTTCTTGGTCTTAATATTACGGTGTCAAGCAATACTACAAATGTGGGCATATTTTTAATGACCATTGCTCCGACATGACCGATATTCTTGTTATTGGGAAGAATGGTTTTCCTTTGGATGAAATATTTATGACCCCCTACGTGCGTATCAACCTACAACCCCGGCAAGGAAGTCAGTCCACAGTCATTGAAGACCATCCATATGTCTGCGTGACAACCAGATGAATCTCGATGGATTATCGGTCAATTCCCGGACTCTGGTATCCCCTTGTGGAATATCTATTTGATCGCAGAAATTTTTGAGGAGAAAAACTCAGACACGACATACGCACGTGATCAAAACATTGAAGATTGACTGATTCTTTTACCTTACTTCAAGTAAGGTATCCAATGGTAAGTGTAAAAGGTCATCAATCATGGAGAGTTTAATAGAAGCAATTAAAGCTAATGATGTGGGTAAAGCCACAAGCCTACTTACCGAGCTGCGTAAGCTAGCAAATTCTCGCGATGATGACGACAGGACCCCATTACACTGGGCTGCTACGTTTAACCAGCCAGAGATGGCAAAACTCTTACTCTCTTTTGGGGCAGAGATTGAAGAAGATTCTAATGGATGGACTCCCATTCATATAGCTTGTTCTATGGGTAGTATAGATATGTTCAATATACTCAAGCAATCGCTGGTGGCGTCTGACTTGAATGCAACCACTGTCCAAGGAGTTACACCACTTGATTTGGCAGTGAGCAAGAACCACTACGACTTGGTCAAAGAGATGTTGCAAAATGGAGCCACCTGTCGAAATAAGAGTAAATACGGGCTCAATCTGTTGCATCGAGCTGCCAGTATAGGCTCAGAGCCATTGGTCAGACTTCTCATTCAAAATGGAGCTAGAGTTAATGTGACTGACAATGAAGGATGGACACCCTTACACCATGCCTTAGCAGAAGGATGTGGGGACGTCGCTCTAGTCTTGGTTGAACTAGGTGCTGACAAGAATATTGAAAATAATGATGGTAAAACAGCAGTCCAGGTAGCCGTGGATGAAAATGTCGCAAAGTGGTTCCAGCAGAGGTCGGGTTAGGTTGATCCGGGTTGCTTCCGCTTAATTACCGAGCAGGAGCTGCTTTCTAAATTAGAGAGTGAATATGAATGCGAGTCCTATTCTCATATAGCTTATGTGAGCAGCTTCGGTTTTTGTCTCATGGAGTAAAATTGAGCAAGATACTCAACAACATTGCCGAGCATGCACACTTAATGAAACTCGTTCCACGATAAGAATAATTTGGTCCAAACAGAGAAAGTCGGAGCCTAACTGAGAAAGTGCGGATCCATACTAATAATGTCCTCACCCCAACCGGCACAATTCATAACTTACGTGCGCATTAAAAAAATGGTTCTGCACAACGGGCTTAATGTGAGTGCTTCACTATGCACCGAAACTAATGTTCTCTGCGCACCCTTATTATTCTACAAATAATCAGGCATATTGACTTTCCACCTCCGGCATTCATCATGTAATTATTTCCAGTTTCTGTTAAATTGGCGGTTGATATATTGTATTCGACAATCCGACCTATGCGAATTCGATAGTCCCGGTTAGAGCATCCCACCGGCAAACTCGCAGCCGTTCATTCTCCCGAAAAAGCCGAAATCTAAACAGGTCTTCTTACTCTTTCTATATTGCTGTTTCAGCCGCTAAAATAAACATGACCTAGCCCAAAGGGGAAAGGGTCAAATGGTTCCAACTTCCGTACAGTATTGTAGAGAATTCTTTATAAACCCCCTAGAGCAAGCGAAAAGGTGAAAAAAATTAGCTTAGATAACGCTGCGAGAGTGAGTATGTAAAGCAATGAGTTGAAGCATAAGTATAGATGATATTGGTAGTAGTAGGGGATTGAAGTGTTTTGTTCACCTACCTCTAATAGAGGAATTGAATAGAACGCTGACAAATTTGATGATGAGTAATGAAGAGATGAGTAAGAAAGAAAGAGGGGGGTGGGCATACTTTTTGAAACTATCGAGCTTTAAGATAAAAGCTCATCTTTAAAGAGTCAAATCTTGTGCTCAATGGGTTCAATGCCTACCAGTCATACCCAATGGCTCATGCTTTGTTTTATTTTTTTTTTTTTTTTCATTTCGAAGAATTGAATAGGTGTGGCAAATGTGAAAGGGAAGATGGAAAAGGTGTCGATGAATTACTATTCATTAGCTTTAGCATATTTTACCCTTTTCACATTTCTCAATCATTCACTAATTGGAAAGAGATTCACATTCCTCTACTACCGTTTGCATATCCTTATGTTAAGCTTCATGAACTATGAAATTAAAACTAAATACTAACATAATTAGCTATTTCGTTATCCTATTTATTACTCGTTTAACTAGAAATGTTAGCTATTGGCGATAGTATTTTAAGATTAGTGAACTTTGTGTTCTTGGTGATTGCATTAGGTTTGACCGGTTCATTGGCTGCAACCACCATCAACCAACATAATCCACAAATTAATTTTGGTGTTTTTGCTGCAGCTTTTGGAATTTTGACCTCTTCACTTTATGGAATCTTGGCCTTTTTCATTGCTGCATTAGCATGGCCCGTGATCTTGGCTGTATTTGACTTCTTGAACTTTGTGTTCACCTTTGCTGCTGCAACCGCAATTGCTGCTGCTATTCGTTGCCACTCCTGTACCAACTCAAGTTACCTCAAGAACAACAACATCGCCCAGGGAAGTACTGGAAGATGTAGAAAAGCTCAGGCTTCGGTTGCTTTCTTGTACTTTTCCGTTTTCATCTTCATAGCCTCAGGTGTATTTTCATTCATCTCCGTCTTCAGAGGTGGTAGTGTGGTAAGATCCACTCCAAGAGTTGGTATTCCTACTATGTCACAAGTTTAAGCTTCCAAGATATAATACCCCTTACCTTGAAATGCTGTAACATCGAATTCGAGCATTGGTAGCGCATTGCATGCTTTTATATGCTCTTAGTGTTTCGCCTTTGATCGACGCTTCCTGGATTGTTGAGTATTTGTTTATAAGTTTCGACTTTCTTCTTCAAAAATCTGTTTTCTTGTCAACTGTTATAAATTGCAATTGTATCATTTTTATTTTGAATATATCTAATATAATATCCTAACTATTTACTTGATTTATTGTTTCCGGCGTTTCTTTTCTTTGTCGTATTGGTTCTTAGCAGCACCTTCAACAGTTGAAATAGAATTAACGATACTAGCCATCTTCTTGTGATAGTCAGAGTACATTTTCTTCTTTTCCCCAATTTGTTCTCTGGCAATGAATTTAGATTGATTTCGAATATCTTTCAAAGCAGATTTCTTCTCCTTCTTTATTTCATTCTTGATCTTGTTCAATTCTTGTCTTTCTCTATTAACATCGTATGATTTTTTATCAGGATTGAAATTTTCTTCAAATTTAGGCGCAAATGTAGCAATTGCCAAAGCTCTATGATGCTGCAATGTCAATGGCGTCCTATGGTTCGCAGCATTAGTCCTTAATTTGTCAAGTTTGGTCAATAGACTCGCAGGGGCAGTTGTGTACTTCATTAAATGCTTCAAAGGTGAAATAAAAGTATCTATGACCTCAACTAAAGAACTTTTATCTCTCCATAAATCTACCAATTTGTCTATTATTCGTAACGTTCTCCTAAGCAATTTCACTTTTATTTCAGAGCTATCGACTGAGAATAAATCGCCTATGCGAAGGTCATCTTCTATATCCCATTTTTCCTTTTTAGATAAATGCAATGCTGATTTTTTAAAGTTAGAATTTGAAAGATAAAGATCACTCATTTTCTCAGGTTCTGGAGTCAAAGTGAATAGGGACTTTTCTAGAAAACTAAGGACTTCTGGAATAAATCTTTTAGAATATCTTTGATAATTTAGTAGCAATTCACTTATATAGATACCTTGTCCTAGTCTAGGAATCGTTGCTTTCTCAGTCTGAAAGCTAGAAAGATATTTCGTCATAAGAAGGGTAGTAGGAGTCACTACCAAATGGTAATGATCAGATGTAGAGAATAGATATCCGATAATAGTAAAGAATACCAAATCTTCCTTTGCAAATTGTGAGGTGGTTGCTCTCGATTCCACTTCATTAATTATGTCTCTTGCTTTTTCAACCAAGCTCTTATTGTAGCTTTCAGAAGTTGTTTTTAAAATTTTAATTAATTGCTCAATCAATTCTGAATTAACACTAGGCTGACCAGACAAATGTAAGATGTATTCAAGTAGCACACCTACAAACAAATCCATTTTCTCCTTGTTGCCTGGAGCTAAGTGGGGCTTATGCGAATCCAAAAGTCTTTTGATACTATTAGCTTTATCGTCATCAACAACTGAAGAAAAGTAATCAAGTAACGCTTCCTGAGTTAGCGGCAAAGTGGGCAGTACAACTTTTTTAAACCTCGAATCGTCACTGATTTGCTCGCTATCAGTATCGTTACCAACTTCCTTTTCATCACCGCTTTTTGGAGAAGAGTTTATTTGTTCATTATCGTCCTCATCGCTACCTACCCAGAAATCTTCCAAGTCATCAGCTTCTGCCTCTCTGCTTTCCAATCCTTTCATCCTGTTTTCCCTGTCCGCTTCCAACTTCTTTTGACGATCTTCCCATTCTTTTGTTATTTCCTCGTCAGTCTTTGTCCTTTCACTTGGAACAGAACGTCTATCATATGCTAATTCTCTAACTTTGCTGTCGTAATCTATCTGTTCTTGAGTCTTGGAGGAAAACTTGGATGGCGGTTTGCCCACTTGGTTTATTTCTGTCATGACGTCTCCGAAGTCGTCATCCAAGTCGTCTATTTGAGCTTGAGTTTTTTGAAATTCAGCTTGTCTCTGCTGCTTGTAAAATTTTGATTTTGCAATGATCTCTTTCATTACTTCATTTTTACTCTTTTTACGAAGGGGCTCCTGATCACTAGCTACAACCCCCTCTCCCAAGCCTTCGTCATCATTAGGCAAATCTAGTTCTTCGCCCGCGTGAGTCAATGTGAATCCTCCGTCATCTTCATCGAACTCATCCTCATCGTCACTAGCTAATGAAAATGCGCTCTTTTTTGATGATGCTTGTCTTTCTCTCGTGAATCTCTCTAACATCCTTTCCTCGGGAGTGAGATCTTGATTCCTTTCACCAAAACGCCTATCAACTAATCCTCCTGCCGAATTTGCCTTGCTTTTTTCTGATTCGTATGCTGCTCTCATCGCCCTTTGTATTTCAGCTTTTGAGCGAGAAGTATCATTATGTTGTTTAGAACCAACTTTTACAAACTTTCCCCCTTGAATCGTAGTAACATCATGCTTTGTTCTATTCACACGCTGGTCAAACTGGTTGAATTCATTACGTATGTTCCCTATTATCTTATCTCTATCTTGACGTCTTGTCTCTGACGGGGTCTTAGATTTCTTATTTCTCTTTTTAATGTTAGTCTGCCCTATCAATCCATTCGATTTCAACGCAGCTTTGAGCTCCTTTAATTGAGATCCAGCCATGTCCGCTACAGTCTATTTCTAATGTGATAATGCAGTTTCTTTCGATTCTTATATACTAATGAGTCTGCCTCCGAGAATAAAAAAAAAAGACATCGAGCGGCTCAAATAAATATATGACACAAAAGTAGATATTTAAGAGAACTGATGTATTATACGCCCATATCTTGCTTATAGAATTGATTCAACATTCCTAGAACGCCAGATTTCCTTCCTTCCCTGATTGATTCTTCATCATTTTCATCAAACTTATAGTTGATATTATACGCAGACTCGCTGATGCTCTGATTTAAGTTGTTCAGATGTATAGGACTTGAAGAGCCAGCTCCTTGATATAATAATGACGGTGAAGGATCCAAGTTAGATTGCGCCATTCCTTTGGCATCATTCTGAGAAGCACCAGGCTGATATTGAGTAGATCGCCGCTTTTTATTTATTGATGGCGATGATGCACCGTTAGGTTGTCCCTTTCCATTTGCGCCTCCATATGACTCTAAAAAGTACATATATGATTTTATCATTTTCTCATCTTGATAATGGCTGAAGTATTCTTCTTCAGCGTCACTTGAATCTGTGTTTGATTCCGTATCAGTGAGCTTAGCTTTTTCTTTACGTTTGGACTTAACATTATCAAGAGGAATATCATCAGAGAGCCGTCTCTGGTTGTATTTCTTAGGCGATTTCTTCCGACGTCTTCTTTTATTGATGTCAAACATCATGTTTTTGTCCTTTTCTTCAAAATTGAACATAGCATAGTAACAAACATATCCAAGACCATCGACATGGATCGAGAACTCTCTAAAGAAATCGATAATTGCACCAGAACTATTCAGAATTTTAAACCAGAGAATAAAGGGAGTCAAAATGAGACTCAATATTTCATTAACAATAATGATTATTTTTAAGCTGAATAGTTCGCAAAATTCGTTCTTGACATCAACGGTATATAAGCGGTTATTCCAAGAACTTGGAAGATAATGGGTAAATTGTGAAACATATCGAAGGCTGGCCTCTGGGTCATAGAAGAAAGAAGATGAATTAGAATTTAGGTTCTCCGATGAGTTTGATGACGTGGAAACATTTATTGAATTGGAAGTTATTGCCCACAAAGTTCCAAACAAGCTAATGTAAAACAAGCTGGACTTATTTTCAGTTATTTCAAAAGACCAGAAGTTGTGCTCTTCGTCTTCTAACCATAATCCCATGATGACTAAAACTGCAGTTATTGCTCCTGCAATAAAGTTGATTAGTTTCATCATATTAGTAACGACGAAACCTCTTGGAAACTGATTAATATAAGTGTTGGCTGGACCAATTGATAAGTGCAACCTTTTAATAAAAAAATGTGGAAGCTCATTGAATTCTCTTAATTTCCATTCTGCCCAAGGAGTATATTGCCTCAACCCTAACAATGAAGAAGGATTTGACTTATATTCATTGAAATAACGAAAAAAATAAAGCAAGACATAATAAATGACAATGAATGGACATAAAAGCAAATTGATGATTGCAGCCATCTTGAATCTGGAGCTCAATTCTCGTGAAAGCTGATTTCTGTTGACATCCTTTAATATAAAGGAGTTGATTTGTCCTTGATGATTGAAAATGAAATTGTTAATACATAATTTTAAGTTCCATTCAAGGGTTCTTGTCAAGACTGATTTGCTTGAAAAAAAGGAATTTATCGATGAAGGTAAGAAAGGTAAGTTAATAGATAAATCAAAAATATCCTTGTTTACCAATGCAATCATATAATTTTCCTTTCGCATAATTCTGTTTGCAATATCGTGTGCATTCAATCTTACTTTAGATTTTAAATCATTAAGATAATGGGGAGGGATCTTTGTGTTAGTTGACGTCAAGCTATTGTAATCCTTCAACAACATCAATCTTTCCACAATTGTCGACCACGAAATGGTCATTAATTCATCGTCGCTCGAAATTCCGATCAAATATTTATAAAAGTTTCGAATTTCCTTCAATTTATAACTATAATCATAGTATAATTGAATGAGCCTCAATAGCACATAACATGAGAATCCAAACAATAGAAATTTGATTGAAAGAGGGATTTTCGTGCTTAAGAAATTAGGAATAATTAAGTCCTTCAAAGTAATCGGTTCATTGGAATTACTTGACCACTCATAAAGGAAAAAGTTATAGTTTATTCCCCATTTTAAAAATACTGTGAAGCCGAGAATGAATATCAATATTACAAGGTCAACAGAACTGCTAATGATTATATTCATTAACCCCTTTCCTCTATAATAATAATAAACATCACTAAGAAATTCATCCATATTGGTAATGTTGGCCCATAAATATAATGCCCTCTCCTTTGGTGGAATCACTATCCTTCTACGATTCTTTTGTTGGTAGATTGTTTGAATCGAGGGTTGATTGCTGTTCATAGGCTTTCGAAACAGCTGAGGTTCATTATACAAAGGAAGGGAGGAAGACCCTGTCTCATCATTTTGTAACTTATTCATGATGAACTTCTTAGCATGCTTCACTTTCGGAATACTAAAATGTAATTTCCTTTCTCGTTTCGGTAGCTCATTTAATGAAGTGAGCAAATCATCTGCCTCTCTATGGCTATCATAACTTTCTTCCGCACTATTTCCATCATTTTCACCAACATCACCATTATCGTCATAAGCTCTTCTATCCAAGTTTTCCCAATCAAGTTGGTCCTTTGTTGTATGATGTTGCGAAGTGTTCTTAAAAGACGCCATCGACGGCGACTGTGATGATGCCAGAGATAGATCCAGATCAGACTCGGAATCTAATAATGCATTTGTATTGGTATTTATTACCTTAGTTCCACCATTCCCTTCGGAGCCGCCAACATCTTTCAGATCGCTGTCATCATTAGACTCGTTATCTATATCAGGGTCATAATATTGATAATTATCTTGTATCTGATTGTACACAGAATGAAGGCCGAACACTCGAGACAAGAAGGTGTCACTATTATTATTGTCTTGTGACATCGTTGTGGCCAAATTGACTTTCCTGTAATCAGACGATAACTGAAGTAGCGCTTTGCCATGGACAAGCCTGTTACAATAATCAAACCAGAGTGTGTATCTTGTGACTATATACAGGTCCAAAAGATTTAGATAAAAATTAGCCAGCAGCTCTTAATACAGCAGAAAAACTTTATCAGCCATTTACGGCAATAGGGGCTCTGTTATCTACTAGTAAAGAGAAATATATGTCTCTGGAAGATACTTTAAAGAATCTAAATTATTTATTATATCATGAATGTTTTGATAATGCTAAATCATTGAAATGTTGAATAGATCTTCAACTCAAAGTTATACTTCCATTTCTATAATCCTCTTTCTCTTTTAGAATAATAATCTGTATAAACAGAGAACTTTTCCTTTATTTTAAATAATTTATACAAGATGTATATAGAACTAAACTATGGGTAGCTACAGGTTCCAGTTATGGAAAACATATTGCTTGAGAGACACTTTAAAGCGCGATTGAGCAAAGTATCGAGAGCGAAGGACATACCAGTAGTTTCAATCTGGTATTAGTGACATCCTTATAGTTCTGAGCTTGCGATATCTCAGTCTTTCAGTCCCTTTGTTTGGATGGTGACTTGCATTATTCGAGATCGAAGTCGCTGCTAATCGAACTACTCTGAAGCATCTGGAAGCCCCATTAGCCGCTATATTTACAATAAGGTGGGGGGATGGTTTTTGCTGGCTCTAGCTCCGGCAGAAAAGATTGAGATCAATATACGAAGTGACCCCGAGAGTTACTACTTTCTCCCCCGCTGGAGTCTTCGTATTTGTAAGAAATAAATTTAACCAACTGCACCCTACTAATAGTACCGTATCATCCTTCGCAGCCCCAAGTGTTATCACACTTATCACATACGGCGGTGAATGTTTTGCCGTCTAAGGGTCCCCTCCTTTCACATTCTATAAATTAATGAAGAAGTTCGTTTACTAGCTCTTCTCCGTCTCCGGTCGTTGCATGTACCCGCAGGACATGAAATAGGGCCGGCGCCTGGTTTAGGTTTCTCCGAATGATGCTCCCTTTAGGAGTTAAGTACAGTTGGGTTTTTATTGGAGTTGAATGTGAGCTTACGTAGTACAGACGCAATAGAAGCATTCTCTAGCCGCAATATAGGTTTGCTTGTTGGCTCATCCCAGGAGCAACTCACCCCGCCTCCTGTTTGACTTAGTGTCGGTAAAATTAACTAACTCGTAGTCCTTCCCACGTTACTGTCGTTCCCCCCTTACTCAATCTCCGCAAAGTTAGCAAGGTATGTTTTTGCGGGGGGCAGAAGAGAGCACAAAGCTTAATTCTATGCAATAGCGGCAGATTTTCAGGACTTGTCTGCAGAATGACATCGCCAGAAACAGATACTTTAGAGTATATGCAGACACGGCAGGAGACTTACGTATGCACCGCTGACTATACAGCCATGTCTGTGCAGCATCGATCCACCCACTTTGAGCTATAACCCACTGGAAAATCACCAAATGTTGGAGCTTTTGTAGAAAAGAAAAACATTGAAACTTTTCTCCTGATATATATAGATTAAAAGTTAAGGATTCGTTTTCTTTAGAATTAATTGACTTGTATTGTCTAGTTCATGAGAGTAACTAATTTCAAGTTCAAGAAGCAGTGGAGACTCTAGACATCACACAAGGTTGTACAAGCAAGTTATAGAGATTGCAGAGGGGAGTGAATTCATTTGCATTAAATTCTTCCCTTACAAGTCTTGATAGTTGACTAATAAAGGCACCATTCAACCTGTTTGTCGGGTACACCAGCCAATCATCGGGACCTGACGTCTTTGTATCTCGTTCGATGAAAGAAGCAAACTATGGAACAAAGACAGCGTCGGGAAATCCCAGAATATACATTTGCAAGAAGTGTGATAGAGCATTCACTCGAGAAGAGCACTTAACAAGACACACGCTTTCTACTCACAACAAGCTCAAGCCATTCACATGTGGCATATGCTCGAGGCCCTTCTCCAGAAGGGATTTGTTATTAAGGCATGCTAAAAATTTACATCAGGGATCCGAAATGGCAGTCAGTAGGATTAGAAAACTGAACAAGCGCCATAGCGATACCATGCCTCTGGATAAAGATATAAATGACGGTTCCACGTCTCTTTCCTTGCCTAGAAAGGACTCTGACAGTTCTAGTAGTAACGACGATCAGTCCGTTTCATCCATCGACAGCGATTATGACGATGATAAAAAAAGAATAAAAATCTCTGTAGATATGTTAGTTAGTTAAGGTTTTCTTAATTTGGTATTTTGGTTCTTCTTATACATTGATTGTCTTCTCACGCAAAATATTTGTAGATAATAAAAGCGAAGAAATTCATTCTTCAACGTTTACAATAGATATGCAACTTGGTTACCCAAGGTTTCAATACTTAGTCCCATATAATGAAGATTGGTATATAATTATAACATCAGAGAGCTTTCACTTTTATTTCAATAAGCAAGCAAAGAAATCGTACTGGCAGTTGCATGATATCTTTGAAGATTTCAAAGATATTGATAAAGATTCGTTTTTAAAGTCAATAGACTACGAATATATATCGTTACTCGTGGCAAGATGCAATGGGTTAAAAGGTATCGATGGCTACTATTTGAAATCGAAGGTCTCTGATGTAGCCAAAGACAAAGATTTACACCCTCTAAATGATGAAGATAAGAGTGAGAATGAAGACCAAACCATAGATATCAAAGGGCATACGGCAAGTGAAGTTGATGAGACTGAAAAAGACGGAGAATCAAGTGATAATGATGGCCGAGAAGACTATTCAGGGCATCAAGAAAAAGAAAGTGAAAGTGATTTGAGAGAAGAGCATAATTCAGAGGTCTCTGGAGGCATTATAGCTGGTTATTCAAGTGACGAAGATGGCTCAGATGAAAGACTGATCTCTGATGCACATGGATCAGAGGAGGAAAATGACTTGAACTTGCTGATATCAGATGAAGACCAAGGAAATCTTGATCTTGCATTATCCGACGACGAAGAAGCCGATCAGAAAAAACAGGAATTTTTTAGTCTTCTTGAGCTTTTTAAAGATCGAATATCTATATTTGACACCTGGGAGCTCATTGAGGAGGATAATATCGATGACTTTGTTAAGCACCCTGAGTTCTTTAACGTCAGCGAGACAAAGCAGAGGGCAAATTTCTTTAATGAATGGTGCAAGAGTCAACAAATTACAAATCAAGAAAGTCCCGATATATTCCCTACGGATGTTGTATTATACTTGAGAATTCTACAGCTTCAAAAGAACGATGTCAGAAAGCTCTTTTTTAAGGAATTTTCTGACAAGTACTCGTCACTTCTAGCTCCAATTCAATTGTCACATAATGAGCTTGAGAAGTTCTTCAGAACTTTTAAGGTGATGATACTGGATTTTTCAAAGTATGAACGAGAGAGAAAGAAATCTTCGAATTACGATTCAAGTATGAACCTTAAGAAGCAAAAGTTGGATGAGTTTCTACTTGAGAACTCCGACAAATTTAGGAATAGTACCATAATTGAAGCTTCAAGCTCTAGCGCATTTGAAAATTGGGTCAATTTGGCAAATAAAATGAAAATCTCCAAGGAAATAATAGAGAATCCTATCAACTTTATTGTCGGTGATGACAAGCGGTTTCAGTCCTACGTAGGAATTATTCAGAAGGTAAATAGATAAATCATATAATGTATAGCTCATCTCAATAGATCCGGTATAATGGGGAAATGAAAAATCTCATTACAAACCTTATGATTAACAAAGCCTAGCGACTATGTCAAGAAGAGTAGTCGTCACTGGAATTGGTCTTGTAACTCCACTAGGAGTCGGCTCAAAGATCAATTGGCATAATTTAATTAACAGCAAAAGTGGAATAATTTCGACTAAATCATTATCAGACTATGTTGAGTCTGGCTGGGATACTATACCATCCAAAGTTATAGGAAAAGTTCCCTCTGGCTCCTTCAGTGAGGGAAAATGGGATAGTAAGGACCATTTTGAAAAAGCTGAAGCTAAAAGATTAGCATTGTTTTCTCAGTATGCCTTGGTAGCTACAAGAGAGGCGTTGAAAGACTCGTGCTTCACTCCAGATTCTGAAACAAAGTACGATACTGGGGTAGCGATAGGAAGTGGTATAGGATCCTTTCATGATACTTATGAAAATGCCGTTGGATTCCATAATACTAGATATAGGGCTGTTCAACCGATCTTTATTCCAAGACTTCTAACAAATATGGCTGCTGGAAATGTATCCATCGCTCATGGAATTAAAGGGCCCTTACATTCAGTTTCAACTGCATGTGCTACTGGTCTACATGCCATTGGAGATGCTTATAATTTTATTAATAACGGTTATGCTAAAGTAATGATAGCTGGAGGAACGGAGTCTTCAATTCATCCATTAGCACTAGCAGGTTTTGCTAAAGCTAGATCGGTTCTGACTTCATTTAACGATGAGCCGGAAAAGGCTAGTCGACCCTTTGATAAAGAAAGAAATGGGTTCGTTCTAGGTGAAGGATGTGGTATCTTAATATTGGAGGATTTAGATTTTGCTAAAATAAGAGGCGTGAAACCAAATGATATTTATGGAGAAATTGTGGGTTACGGTTTGACTGGTGATGCTCATCACATTACTGCCCCAATGGAGGATGGTAATGGTGCATTCAGAGCTATGAAAATGGCGTTGGATCGTGCTGGAGTTGATCCTGAACAAGTAGACTATGTTAACGCACATGCAACATCGACGGTCATCGGTGATAGATCTGAGAACAAAGCAATTAATGATTTATTCAAGCACAATGAACTTTTGAATATCTCATCCAATAAGTCATCTATAGGGCATTTGTTAGGAGCAGCAGGTGCTGTTGAGTCCATATTTACGTTGAAATCTCTCAAGCACAATATAATACCTCCGACGTTGAACTTAAACAATATTGGTGGAAGTAAGGGTGATGAAGGAAAACAGTTCGAGAGATTCGATTATGTTCCAAACGTTGCCAAGGAGCAGGTAATTAACATTGCTGTATGTAATTCGTTTGGTTTTGGTGGGGTAAACAGCTCGATATGCTTTAAAAAATATGTATAACGCAATGATATATATTGTAATTTGGTTGTTAAATAGGTTGCTACAAATCTAGTGGAATAAGCATTCGTAGTTTTTTCTTTTTTCCTTTCCGATGGAAATCACTTACAATGAAGAGGATTTTAAAACTAAGACGCAGGCAGTCATATATCAAATGGTTGTAATTACCAAATTAACGACGCTCAAAGTGAATTTATCCAGCTTTTTCTCCATCTGGGTGATTTCGTTTCTTATCATTTTAAGTGGCACTCACCACTTCACGTAGTCAAGTCCTGTTAATTACTGATAATAATACAATTTAATAGTGCCTCCAATGTTCATTTATCACCGATGATCAAATCATTCATATGCACCATTCGACTTAATCAGCATCCGTGAACCAATTTATTCTTAGGATAACTATAACCACCGTCCACATAACTTGTTAAATTCACGTTTGCGTATAAGTTTGGATGTTCCTCGATATAATCGCTGGTAGGGTAATCATCCGGATCACAGCCTATATTGATAGAGTCTTTGGGTTGGTAAACTCTGACATAATCGACACTCATAGTGGCTGGAAAGTTGAGTGCGGGCCAGTTAATATATGCCCAGTTATTCGATATACCCAAGTTCATGACAACAGCCATAGGTTCTTTCGATATATACCTCCAATCAATGTTACCATTTGGTGCCAAGGCATAAGAGTGAACAGTCAAGGTAGGATTTTCTCCAACATACCAAGTAACATACCCGTCGTCTTTATCATTCAAGTATTCATATGCGTATGACTGGTATCCATTTTCATTTCCACCTTTTTCATACCAGTCACTATTCAATACAGTTACTCCAGAAACAGCTTGTTGAAAGGGACCACCAGTATAAGTATTTATATTGGTAACGGAATGATTATGTATTTCAACGAAATTATAATCTGGGTAATACCAAATATCGAAAGGCGCTATCTGCATCGATTGTGATGCGACACCTCTCATGTCAGCGTCAATCTCACCTTCAAGAATATCGATTTCAGGTGCACCTCTACCAGTGCCGGGATTTGGATGCTTCTCACCAGGACATGTACAAGAGTTCAATCTTTGTCCAGGCAAATATGAAATACCATCAGGCGATGACTGATTCGGTGTAATCCCGGCATCACACGCTTCGTAAGTGTACGGCCATACACCATCGGTGGAGGCTAAATATCCAGGCCGACCCAAATTTCCCATAGTCCACAAACCAGGCCACAAACCAGATACGTTAAAATAATGCGGTAACCTAGCTGAAATCTCCAATATTCCTTGAGTAAAACACATTTTATTCCAACTTTGAACCATCGCAGATCTGTAAAATAAGTCATGATTTTTATAAGCATCCATTCTAAGATTGAGAGTTCCTTTTTCAGTTGTAGCTGCATCGGGATCGTACCACTCCAAATCATGTGTAGCACCATAATTTAAGTCAACAGCTGTAAAAAATTGATCATCACCTTCGTAGAAAGTTCTCCCTTCAGCATCGAATTCATCCGAAAATACCAATTTCCATTCGTCTCCATTCTTGTTCTTTCTAGTATATTCACTTGGAGGAGTGTCAGGGTCAATAAGACTAGTCCTGATAGCACTTAGTATAGGATACTTATAATGAGTTAACACCTCATACGTTTGAGGAACATAATGATGAGTGATACCAGAATACGTCAATACCGGTAAGATTATAAAAACCATTACCGCTGCAACAAGTAAAAATATGACACCTAAAAACCCACCCATTGATCTTTTGTCCATATTTTTCAAATCATATATAAACCTGTTCTTATCATATTCGGCATCCCTTATTGGATCTGGATTGTGCAAGTAATCGTCCTGTTCTTTCTCATCAATATGCAAAGGAAATGAAGAGGCTGGATAACCTCCGAAGGGACTGAAATCGGCAGTATGTAAAAATGGATTGGATGACTTGTTAGAACTTGCTGAGTCATCCTCGTCTGAAGACTTCTGAGGAGCCTTTTGTTGATGGAAGTGAGAAGATAATGAGCTTGAGGATACAACTCTTGATCCAGCCATAGAAGGATATCTGTCGTATTCAGGTGGAGCTTGAATGGATGTTTGAGGTGGAGTATTTGCTGAGAGCAAGTTATGGGTTTGATCATCACTAGAAGAGCTGTTATTATGAGAAAGTAAGTTCGATGTTGTTCCATTTTGTGACGAATAATATCCATTATACTCATTGTAGGGCCTGTCATATTGTGCCCCTTCTTCCAGCTGACTAAATGATTGTTGATTAGAACCAAATGAGCTTGATTCATCCTCCCCTGGTGCAACGAAAGGGTTGTCTAAACCCTCCTCTTCACCAGAATGAGGTGCGTTAAATGTTAAATCTCTTTGTGCCATGCTTTAGTTGATACTCTATTCCGATAGATGGACTCCTTAATCAGCAGTCTCACTCTGATCTAGCGAATGAACGGTCCTGTTTCAACCTCGTAGTATACACTAAGCTCGCTACTGACCTGTTGTCAATATGCGCCTCTGTACTGTCTGATAAAAGGAAACCTTTTAGAATAAATCAGCCTATCAAAAATCCAACTTAGTGTACTTGTATCCGTTTTTGCTTGATCTCTTAAGCAGATTATGTGTTGTTGTACGGATAAAAACTTAATCTTATTTCTTTCTGTATACACTGTACCACGTAACAGATGTAACTCTTAACGACCTTGGTTGAGGGAGAAAAAAAAACTTGCTTGCTCTTAGTATGCTTTAATGTTGTTTTATTCTAATAATGGCTGTGCGTAAGGAAGAAAAATTCTTGAGCGAGTGTTTTGTGTAATTTCTAAAATAAGCCATAAAACAACTCAACTTGGATCGTGTTTTTGTGTAATTACCTTCCGATGCTGCATCTACACTTTCTTAAGAAGCAGCTTTTGTTCAGGATGTACTAAGAGACTGTTGGTAGCAAGGAACGGGATGAGTGTCCTAGAGATACTTGATTTGGAATGATAGTATTTCAACATATGGCTACTTTTACTTCATGTCTATATTTAGTTACAAAAATGTACAACTTGGGTGCAAGAGTGTTGCACAGCAGCCTTTGCACGTAAGGAAGTTGTCGGTGAGAAGCACTGGTCGTGACATTTGATATTTATTTTATGTAATAAGCCTCTACTGGCAGATACTCACCTAAAATAGGGACCATATACGTTCCATATTTTTGAAATTAGCTTCATTTTCTTCTCCATAGAGGAGTGGTCGTCGTTAAGACTAGTCAAGTCCCTGGACCAAGCCAGAGCCAACTGATTAGGGATCAAACGCTTAGACAATATCATGAGGTTACTGATCTCGATTAACAACCTTCCCTCTACGTAGTTCACTGTGTCATAGTCTATCAAAAGACTTTCAATAGTGTTTAATGACTTAAGGCATACCAAATTGAGCTCCTTACCATTAACAAATAAAGGTTTCGAAGCTGTTAAATACGACCAAGCCTTGTATAAAATGAAAAGGGACGGACTTATGGAAACAACTCCAAACACGAGTTGCTGTGACTTCAAAAGCTTATCTATTCCACTGAGTGCTATGGCACCATCCACCTTTGTCTTTTGTACTTGGATCAAAATTGACCTGATGAGCGAGCCTCTTACAATAGACTTCACAGGGGTACGAATTTCATTTTCATACTGGGACATAAACATAGTTAGATCGCCGTCTTGAATCATCTGATGTAGTTTCTCCTTGTCTACGGGGCCGTTACTTTGGTCAACGATAAATTCGGTAACCATTCTTTCCAAAGAATCCAAATCCGACTTCAAAGACTCCTTTGAAGTTATCGAAAGATCGTCGTCTCTACGTAAAGTCTTTAACATGCCATTTATTGGATTAATCACCCAATTCTCAAAAAATCCGATAACAGTATCAACAAGATTGAGCTTGACCCAATTTATGATTTCATCCCTATTCTTATAAACATTAATGGAGGTTGACGGTCCATATATGATTAAAATAATCAATAGTGGCCAATATCTTTCCATAAATCCTGGCTGATCGGTGGTCAGGTATTGATTTATTGAATTGAACTCCACAGTTTTATTCAAAAGTAAGCCTATCTTTTGCGATTCTGAGCTGATGTCCAGATTTTGGATCTGTAAAACGGATTCCAAAGACTTTGAGTCAGAGTTTCGTTTGATAAGCATATCAACCTTTGCTGCGTTCACATCGATTTCGCGTTCGATCATGCTCAAATTCGCTTTGACCTCCCTGTTCACAGACTTGAGGGGGTACTTCAAGACGTATTTTACTTTCTTATATAATCCTGTCTCCGTCATATTCAAGAAAATCAAAGAGGGATCCTGGGAAACAAATTTCTCTATTATCTGTTTAAAAGATCTAAAGATTGCCCTGCCTGTGGTTATCACCTTTTGATAAGAGTTATAGAGTAGATTGTCTTCCTCAGTGCCGCTAGTGGTAGAGACATAAGATTCATCTTCTTCTATGAAATTGACCGAACGTCCCAAAACATCACGGGAAAAATCAAAGATCTTAATAGGACATGACTGAATGAAGTAGACATATTTTTTAAATGAAGAACTATTTAAGTTCTCCCAGTAGATACTCTGGCTCTTTAAATACAAAGTTTTGTAGATAAGAGAATCGGACAATTTCATGTTCAAAAGCAAAATGACATACTCATTTATCAACTTTAGCGTTTCTTCACTAGTGCCATCCTTTATAGAAATATTTTCAATATTCTTGTATATCGAAAGAACGGACGATAAATTCAAATTCAGTAGCTTTTTGAAGTCAAATTGGTCAATCCCTAACAAGTATATCAAACTCTGAAATTCGGACTGTAAAGCAATAAAGTCGTGATCATTATTGGTTTTCGCATATGATATGGCACCTTTGGATAAGAAATTAATAGTCCTGGTGTTTAATTCCTTGAATTGCTTTTCAATTCTGATTGAGATGATGTTTGTACTGTTGATACCATTGAGGTAATCTGTAGTACTAGATCTTCTTTTCTTCAATCCTGGGCTGATTAAGTCCATGATTGCAGCAAGAACTACTAAAAGAGCAAATATTAAGTTCGATCGCAATTTAAATTCTCAAATCTTCACGCAACCTAATCTATACGCTTCTACTATTCAACTACAAAATTATCGCCTACAATGGTACCAAAAAAAGCTGCTGGTTCTTTAAAAAAATCTATTAGATAGTAAGTCTTTATTTATGCTACTGTTAGTTTTTTATTCATCTTCATTAGATTTATCATCAAGCACTCCAGATTCTTTAATAAGCAAATCCACATCCTCATCTCTCCAGATCTTATGGATGATCTTACCTGGATGATTTTCAGATGAACTCAAGGTAGCAAATTCTAGTTTGTCGCTCTTTAAATTAGAGGAATCCATAGTCTTGGACAAAACCTTAATTGCCAATTCACAGGCATCCTTTAATGAGATATCGTCCTTGTAGTCCTTTTTAAGTAAGGTTTGAGCTGCAGAATTATTGGCTCCAATACTCGTTGCTTTCCATCCTGAATAGTTTCCCGAAGGATTAGATGTAAATAATTGAAAATTGTAACGATCATCATACCCCGCGTACAAAAAACTAACACCGAATGGCCTCAATCCCCCATGCTGAGTGTAGCCTTGTTTTATATCACAGATCCTTTTAATTAAAAGCTCGCATGGAATATCCTCATTGTAGTTCTTCAAATAGTTTTGAGCGGTCACTCGAGCGTTATTGACCAAGATTGAAGCGTCCGCCGTCATACCTGCAACTGCACAAACAATATTATCACTTATCACGTATATCTTCTCAGCAGATCCATCATTGTCTAATAGTTTCGAAGTGACCTTCTTTTCGCAAGCCAATACCACACCATCTTTGGAAAGAATACCTAATGCTGTAGCTGCCATTGAAATTGCCTCCTGAGCATATTCTACTTGGTATAATCTACCTTCAGGAGAGAATATAGTTGTTCTTGAATCGTATCTTCTGGACATCTTGTTTCACAATATTGTTCTTGAATTATTGGATGCTAAGTTTCAAAATTTGAAGGTTATTGTTGATCGGTGGCGATAAATTTGGTGATATTGAAAACTGCATAATGTTACAAACTAATTCTTATGAGATACATAACATTAAAGGTGAAAAGGTGCCAGAGAAATCATAGATTTGAAAGTATAACGATACATCTTTAGAGTCTATAAGGTGGTTCTTCTGTTTTAGGAATAGTTGTGGTTTGAGAGAGAGCTTCTGAACATGAGAATATTCGTCAGTTCTTTGAATGTTCCTATAGGTTACACCACACCCAGATTCCCTTCTCTTTACTTACCGCTGGGACACCATAAACCACAATATGAGTCCCTGTTCCTTTATTATACTTCAGACATATGGAAATATACAGTATACTGGTCATTGATTCTTGTGGGAGCTTTTTTCCTTGTGTCTGGTACGGTAGCTGCCTTCAACCATTTTGTTTCTAATCATAGGTACAGCTTCAAGACACAGAGAAGCTACTCTATTATAGAGTCGCTAATGATAGTCCTTTTCTATTTCGTTATTGGGCTTTCTCAGGGGTTTATAAGTGGTGCTATCATTGGACTTATTATTCTGGCTATATATAAAGCAGGCTCACTATCAATGAGTACCTGGATTCCATTCTGCTGGGGAGCAGCTCAAATATTGTATCATATAGCTAGTTCATATCTGACTAGCCTGGTCATTTTATAGATAATTCAAAGCGTTGTTTTCGCCGGTACCTACTGGTGCACAATTTAATTATTAATAGTGCAATTTTTATTTATAGTTTAATCTAATTAAAAGGTGAGCTAGGATGAGCTCTTTGGATTTAGGTTTCATACAAGTAAATCAGTTATGCTATAGGTTTATTACACTCTCTCAATCTAGTCTTGATGATAATGACGAGAGGTATCTTATAAATTTGGCAACTGAGTGCCTTGATTTAATGGACCACTATAATGCATTGCATCCCAGTTACAAAGTGTTGGTCACTTTCTTAGAATCTAAATCAATAAAAAAGTACAATTCTGAATGGATTAAGAAGGTTCAAGAGGTAAGCGATGATATTTTCCTGAAAGGGAAGCAATGTCTAGTGGATCTTGAATCGAGTATTGATCTCTCAAATATCACAACACTTGAGGTTCTTCAAAAAGTTAAAAGCACATTGATCTCGTTAATTATTCAAACACAATATCAGGATGCTCTCCAGATCTTAAGCGATATATCCTCGTTGCTTCAATTCACGTCACAACCTTCAGATTATCAAGCTGTTCAAAATAATGCTTTCATTGAATACTACTTTTATCAGTATATAACTAAGCTATTCAGTTCTGCTTGGTCTCCCGATGAGCAAGACAAATTAGAAAATTTCCAGCGTCCTGGCAGTGCTTATTTTGAATTTGGAAATACAAGGTCTCAGGCAAGCTCTTTTAAAATGTTAAGAGATATTGTGAATAGGGTTTCGTTTTATTACAATAAGAATGAATTCTTTTTAACTTCAGAAGGAAGCTCTGCTCCAACCACTGAATTGAAGTATTACTGGATCATATCATGGTTCCATTCTACAATTGCATTTAAAGGGGGAAAGTTCGTGGATTATGTGAATGATATCGATACGATTTTAGCAACACCATCTATCAATGGGCTCACTCCTTTAACCGTGCTAAGTGAGCTTCCAGTATTAAAATCCAACATCTTGGTGCTACTTGAGATCTCTATGATTTGCACTAGACCCTTCAAAGCCCTATCTTTAGCTGAAGAGAAATATGACAATGTTTTGGGCTTATTAGAATCTACAGAGGGAAGTTTGGAAAATCAGATTTATCTTGATATTTTACTCCCATTAGCAGAAACCAAGTATAAAAATGCTAAAATTCTTTTCAGTGATGAAATGTTTATTAAAATGTTTGAGGGTTCTATTGGTTATATCGTGCCACTTTCAGTGTTCAAAGGTTCGGGTTCATTTTTAGACTATATCAGGTCTATCATAGACTTCAAAAGTTTTTTAGTTATCATATCTGTGAGCAAGCGAATTCAACGAACAAAACTTCTAAAGATACTTGGATATGAAAACGATGATAATAATTCACAAACTTTTCAAAAACTTCTAATATTAATAGCGGCCTTGAATTTAGGAGAATTAGGAATTGGATTTGATTATCAAGGAGACTATTTCTATAATTATGAATCAAATTTAACTGAAAAGGCTCTATTCGAGAAGCTCCACAATTTGTCGAATAATTTAGAGGCAGAAAGTATAGCCAATATTATGAAAGGAGTGTTACTCGAAAAATTTTTCAGTTGAGACTTTGGATAAGGATGAGTCGATAAATGAGCTCTATCATGTCATATCTTCCTTTTAAAGAATCAAATTTGACCCTCGAAATATCAAACAGAATATTAGGACCATTGAAGATCAACCTTTTTATGAGAAAGCAACTAATCATAATCAAATACACTCCGCAATCGTCGAAGTTATCTTGCTGGTCGCACTTCATTCTTATGATATCCATCTTTTTGTTTGACTTGAATAAATTCTTACATGACTGAAGTCTTTGAACAAGTTCATCCAATAACTTTTGTTCAGAAGAAGAATCATTATTATCAAGTGCCATAGAATCGTACACGTATAGTCTATTTTCGAGAAGATTCAATAAACCTAGTGCCCAATGGTCCCCATTATTCACTTCTTCTAGATCAACCTGATCGTAATCTTCGATAAAATTGATGGGAATAAATATGAACTTGGCTTTCTTCAAATCGTTTAAAGGCAAAATCTCTTCCAAGTCTTCAGTGAACGGTATATGCAAAAACAACTGTACAAGGGAGGGAAATAGGAGTTGAATTTGGCATCTGAAATTCCCTTGTTCTGTATCATTTAAAAACGTCTGTGCCAATAATTCGTAAACTATCGAAATATTATTATCATCGAGCCATTGTTCAGGAAGTATATGGTTTAAATCAGATTTGTATAGTGCAATGGAGTGATATTGTAATATCTTAACGTCTTTATGTGGTTCTATATTACTTACGATTTTTGAATATATTCTTTTAATCTGTAATCGTATTTCGTATGGATTGTATTCAACCAAATTTGAATTGGTGTTCCCGTCCAGATCTCCCCTGTCTTCTTTCCTCCTCCTCATTTCTTTTGCTCGAGAAGCATTTATTTTCTTGACTTGTTTTTTCTCTTTTTTCTCTTGCTTCGTTAGCTTTTTGTTACTATGCTTGTCTTCTATCTTGTCTTCTACCGGATCAACTTCCATACCAACCGACGGAAAGACATCATCCCATGGGAGCTGATCAAAGCCACTAGTGTTTATGACATGCTCATGCTTATTTTGTATGACTTTATGCTCTATGCAATATCCTTTCTCTTCGCTAAAGACTATTGCTGGCATGTTCATGTAGGACTGACTCTGGAAGGTTTAACATTAAAGTTGGTGATTTCGAGATATCTAAAAATTAGTTTTAAACTATCATACTGTAACTAAAATGAAATGTTTTAGCAAACTTCAGGAGTCCTGCGCAAGAAGAGCCATTAGGGCTACTGCCTTCAAAGGTTTCAGATGTTTGAGCTTAAAATCAAGGCCTATGGCATCCGTCCCTTTTAATATGGGGCAACCTACTCATGAAACAAGACCTCACTACTTGCCAAAACCTGGAAACCTCACTCCAGGAATTACTGCCCTTGAATACTACAATCGGAGGCTTAAGCTAGCCGATAAGCTTTCAGAAAAATCAATTGTTGTCTTAACAAGCAACCAAGTTCAGTATAGCTCTGGAAGCGTTTTTTATGATTTTCAACAAGATAATGATTTTTATTATTTGACCGGTTGGTTGGAACCAAATTCAGTAGCTATCATAGAGAAGGTACTGTCAAGCAGGACAGATGATAGCGTCGTTTTCCATATGTTAGCTCCGCAGAAAAACCCTCAGATTGAGCTTTGGGAGGGAGACAGACTGGGGCCCCAGGGTGCTTATGACTTCTTCAACGCTGACGTAGTTGATGACATCGAAAATATAAAAACTTACATGCAAAAATTATTAAAAAATGTTGATGTTGTATTCTGGGATGATAAATCATTAAACTCAGGAGGTAATTCCCTGTCGAAGTTTCTGTCTTTTTTTAATCTAAAAGCATTAAATAGCGGTCTGGTAACTATCCTGGACTTGATTCAAAAATCTAGCAAGCCAATACGCTCACCAAAATCCATGATTGCTGAATTGCGATCAGTTAAGTCGCCGGCAGAGATTAATGTTATGCATGCAGCAGGAAAAATTTCAAGTAGAGCTTTCAACAAAGCTATTGCTAAGGTGGGTTCCCAAGAGCCTATTCATACAGAAAGGACGTTGGCTAAATTTTTAGATTACCAGTTTGTTCACGGTGGATGTGATAAGCAGGCATATATACCAGTAGTGGCGAGTGGAAAGAATGCCTTGACAATTCACTACACGAGAAACGATGATCTTTTATATAAAGATGAATTAGTCTTCGTTGATGCAGGTGGAAAATTGGGTGGTTATTGCTCCGACATTTCAAGAACTTGGCCAAATTCCCCCGAAGGGTTTAGTGGTCCACAGAAGGACATTTACGAAGTTGTATTGAATGCGAATAAAGCTTGCATTGATTTATGCTGTGAATCTTCCCATATGTCAGTCCATGATATTCATGAATTTTCAGTTAAATTTTTGACTAAAGAATTAAACCAACTTAAGGGTTTTGAAGGAATCTCATCATCCACAGTATCTAGAATTTTATACCCCCATTACATTGGGCATCATCTTGGTCTAGATTTACATGATGTTCCTTCTCTATCTAAGATCAATAACATTGTCTCAGGAAATGTCCTAACCATTGAACCGGGGTTGTATATACCAGAGAACGATAATTGGCCAAAGTGGTATCGTGGTATAGGTGTCAGAGTTGAAGACGATATTGTCGTGGGTAAAGAAAGTAAGGATATATTAAACCTATCAAGTGGCTGTGTTAAGGAAGTTGTCGATATTGAATCATTGATATCAAGTGGGAAAGTAACCACACCTGGAGCTTATGACGAAACGGTAATCTTAGATATATAGACGTGTATAAATTCGTATAATAAGTGTAACTATGTACATAAAAAATTTTCAAACTAGTATAGTATTATTGAACAAAAATACCCTAACGTCCAACACTTAGTAATAAGGAGTTATTTGAACCTCCGTCGCCATCTCCCCCTTTACCACCGCTCGGCAAATAAGAAACGTTGGGCGATGATGCTAAAGTGCTGGCAATATCTTTGGAAGCTTCAAGTCTTCTGATCATCAACAAACCATCACCGGCTTTTGCTAAGGCCTTCGAAACAGTCTCTGCACTCTCGGCTTCACCTTCAGCTCTAATAACATTCGCTTTTCTCTCTTGTTCGGCCTTTTCAACTAGATATTTTGCTCTTTCTGCATCTTGTTGAGCAATTTGCTTCTGCTCAACAGCCTTAGTGAACTCTTTACCGAAGGTCATGTGTGTAATTGAAACATCTTCTAGCCTGATATTAAACTCGTTGGCTCTTCTGGACAACTCCTGTCTAATTCTTGCTGACACTACTTCTCTTTGCGTGATAAGTTCGGCTGCATCAAACTGAGCTACAATACTTTTTAAAATCTCATTACCTATCGCAGGCAAAACTCTTTCATCATAATCCAAGCCTAAACTTTGATAAATTCTTGGTAAATTCAAAACTTCAGGTCTATGTAAAACTCTCAAAGTGAGTGAAACATTCTGCAAGTCCTTAGACCCTGTGGTGGTCGCAATTGTCTTGGGTCTTGTCCTCACATCATATATGATTGCTTTTTGGAGCCATGGAATCAAAAAGTGCGTTCCTTCCCCTACAACCTTTTGTTGTACACCATTCAATCTATCGAAAATAACTGCCCTTTTTCCTCCCTCAACATCGTATATGGCGGATTGGCCAAGAGTGAAAGCAACACCTAATGGTATGGCAATCTTTGAAATGATATCAGTAAATCTCTGTGGCATTCTTATTGAATTATAATTATTTCTATAGCTAAAATTAGCTATAGCTGAATCTAAGAACTTTTTGATGGCAATTGAGTTCGTGCCTCGATGAAAAACTGCACTTTCTCTCGACAAAATTTTACACTTTAGAGTTGGTTTTCGTAAAGGCTGATCAGATCCCAAATTCAACTAATCATTTGTTCAGTATCATATATATACGTTCTCTATTAAATATAGGATCCTAAATATGAAGAATAATGTCGCCGTAAATCGATATCCATTCAGATAAAGTAAAATTTCTATAAACCAAATATAAAATGCAAGGATTCGAATTTCGATGAGCAATAGAACAAATTAGTCCATATGGCCATATGTATTTGAGGAAAACTAATTATCAATGAAAAACACTAAAGTCCAAGCTGCACCAGCTGCAATAGACCCTATCGCCACCATTTGGAATCCTTCGCTTACCTTTTTAAGATTACCACAATCTTCACCTAGAGAGATAGAAGTTTTCACATAGCCAAAAATGAATAAAGTAATGATCATAACCACAACTGATATTAATAAACCTGTCTTGACCACGTTACAAAAAAAATAAGGCATTAAAGGGACGAATCCACCAAAAAAGTAACCTGACCCAATTGTTAATGCGGATGTAAATTCTCTTCCTTCAGGGGGTTCCTCAAGGCCCTTTCCATATCTGATTACAAAGTCTATCAAACTCTTTGGCTTTGAATCTAAATCCTTTAAGAACGATGCAATGGTTGGCTCTGAAGCTCCCAAATCTAGCATTATTTCTGCTACATCTTGATTAACAGTTTCTGGTTTTTTGAAAAATTCAAGCTTTTCTCTTTTCACCTCTGAGCGGTAATATTCGGATTCTGATCTTGCCGCCAAATAGCCACCAAGGCCCATAGAAATGGCACCAGAAACTAACTCTGCCATTCCTCCCGTTATGACTAATTTGGAATCTCCTAACGAAGATAAACCCGCCGTTAAAGCAAAGGGCACAGTCAAACCATCTGATAAACCAATGATTATATCTGACATAACCCTGGGATCAAACTTATTAAAAAATCCTGTCAGTTCTTCTGAGGAGTTCAGATCGGACAGATTAGACTTCATGGCATTTCCTATTGCTTCTTCATTAACTATATCTTGAGTTCTATTTGGGTTTTCAGTCGCTCCATAGGGCGATTGGTTGTTATCTAGCAATTGCTCTACCCTTTCCAATTCTTCGTCAGAATTATCTTTGGTAAATAATTTACTTATCTGGTTCTTCAAAACAACTAATGACATTGTTCTTAGTTATGATATCGATGCCAAAATTATAGATTTATAAATATTAATGTATGTGTAACTGAATGATCACGTCTTGTAATAGTATTTAAAGTACTATCAACAACTTCACCGGAATGTTCGACAAATCGTTTTCCGATATCGTGTCCGAATCTTTTATGCTGTAACAACAGACCAAATATATGCTGCTAAAATTTTGCCACTTTTTTTTTAAGTTTCCACCAAAATAAAAAACGACTGTATTATAATGATCAATCTTGTTGTTATGGCTTAAGTTTCTTCGTATTACTGAAGCTTCTTATGTTACACTTACCTCAATTTTGATCTATTTACCCACAATAATTTGTTTGGAAGCCACCTGTATCAATGGTTTACTAGGATTTAAACTTTTCTGGAGGTAATATTACTTCAGAGATTTATCAGGGATGCGTAGTTTGTTTATGGGAGACTTCCATCAGGTGATGATCAATCTTCAAAGCAGAGCGCATTTGCTTACAATTGCGTTTTTTTTGATTGGCCACAGTGCGAAGAAATCAAAATAGACAGGAATGGCTGAAATAATGCTGCTTAGAAACAATAAGACGCGGGAACAGCTGACAATCAACAGTACACAAAATAAAACGGTCTTTGAAGGTACTAGTGCATACAAACTGGTTTAAGGAGCTGACTATTGGCGCGAATAACGACGTCACACAGTTGATGACTTGATAATTCGGGTTTCTTCCTGTATACTTCATGTGCTATTGCAACGCAGACTTTCATGCTGTGAGCTGGAGAGTATTTATGAATGTCATGGTTACCATTACTACCAAGTTTTATTCCGCACTAGCGGCGGTCGAGGTTAAGCTAAGCTCTATAGGATACACACTCGACCATGACCGATTCCCATGCGTCATGAGGATTTAATTCACAGACAACGGCATGATGTGGTGTTTTCTTTTTCAGCAGTGTGCCTAATGAAGCGTCACCCAGAGAGTAACATCTAATTGGAGAAGGACCGCGCATAGTCTGCAAAGCTCTAAGACACTAATAGCCCCACCTTAATGGTAGCGGTATCAGGATGTAGATTGACACGATAGTGAAAAAGTGATCTTTTATCTGCCGGATTGGTACCCCATATTAGAATCTTAAATTCACTTCGGCTTCAAAAGCTACGACTTCTGATATCACAGGCAAGAGCAGTCTTACTATCTTACTATTATCTATAGTATTCAAGTATATGAAATAATTGACAAAAGAGTTTTCTTATAAACGTTAATTATATATTCATGAGTATTTTTTACTTGATGCTACCGTGGCATAGTTCATCCAGCAATTTTACTTATATTCTTTAAAGCTCTATTTGGTCTCGCAAGCCTATGCCGTTCTCTGGATCAAATGGATTCCGCTATCACTTTCAACGAGGTCACTGATTTCTCCAACATTCAAATTAAAAGCCGCTTCCTCAAACGACGGTTGCATTTGTCCCTTTCCGAAAAAACCAAGGTCACCACCTTGTGAGTGAGACAGGCAATCACTTTCTGTTACAGCAATATCGCTCAATTTTGCCTCGCCTCCTAATATTTTGGTCTGCAATTTCTTGATATTTTGTATCGCCTCATCTCTACTTCTCGAAATTCCATCTGGTGATTTCCAAGATTTAGGTTTTCTCGATTGATTGTGCTTTATCAAAAGGTGCGAGGCTCTTATTTTACCATCTTGAGGTATTGCTGGTCTATTTCCCTGTGCTTTGAACTTCGCCAAGTATTCTTTCAATTTGTCATTATCACTTCCAAAAGGAGGCTCCCAAGAAGATTCCTTCGTAGCCTGATTCAAATAGTATTCTCTATTATGATTACGAGATACACGAATTGCCCATCCAGGCGGTAATCCTGTCTCTGCCATAATGTGTCGTACAGTTGATCGCAATGTCCTCAGTTGGTCAAAACATTTAAAAAAATTGTCAAGCATAGTGTTGCACGTGATGTACATAGTTCCATTTTAATTTTACTAATTTTTAAGAGGTGTTATATATATATATATAGAGAACTATGTATATATAATACCTCTAACATGCATTGCTTCCTCTACTTTAAAATATAGCTAGCTAATAGATACGTGGAAACGGAGTTTTGGATACACATTTATGTGCTTGATTATTCTCCCTATGGAAAATACGAATCCTCCTGTTTCTGAGGAACCTTGAATCATTTCTGTTTCATTGCTATTATAATAAAAGAGGCTGCATGATTATGCAGTTCTCTGAATCAAATGAATCCCACTATCGCTTTCGACGAGGTCACTGATTTCTCCAACATTCAAACTAAAAGCTGCTTCCTCAAACGACGGCTGCATTTGACCCTTTCCGAAGAATCCAAGGTCACCACCTTGTGAGTGAGACAGATCGTCACTCTCTGTTATAGCGAGGTCGTTCAATTTTGCTTCACCATCTAATATTTTAGTCTGCAATTTCTTGATATTTTGAATCGCCTCATCTCTACTTCTCGAAATACCTTCAGGAGACTTCCAAGATTTGGGCTTCCTAGATTGGTTGTGCTTTATCAAAATGTGCGAGGCCCTTATTTTACCATCTGCCGGTATAACAGGTTTATTTCCCTGTGCTTTAAACCTCGCCAAATACTCTTTCAATTTGTCATTATCACTTCCAAAAGGGGGTTCCCAAGAAGATTCTTTTGTTGCTTGATTTAAAAAATATTCCCTATTATAGGTGTTAGAAACACGAATTGCCCATCCAGGCGGTAATCCTGCCTCAGCCATAATGTGTCTTACACTTCATCGAGCCCTTAGGAATAAATTAACGTATTCATATATAATTAATATACATGGTTGTATGCCGGATTCAAGGCTTGACACTAATATCTTTTAGCCAGATAATTATTTCCAATTTAATTTGACTTATTACTATCGCTCTGAAGCTCATTAAGCAGATGGTAGTAGATTAAATAACTAGATTTTGGGATTCTTGACCCTTAAGGTAATTCGTTAAGTTCTTTGTGCTTTCTGTGATCTTTTTTTTTTAAGAGGTTTTCTTCTTAGTACTCACAACGTTTTCTCCGATATTCACAAGTGTTTCTCGATGGTTGATTTGGGGCAAGCCTTGCAATTTTTCACCAAGAAATCCATTATCTTTTTGACTTATATGGCATTATTGTAGGGATTCTTGTAAAGTATTATACAACTCCTGAACGGCTGCAAATTGACAATTCGGGATCAGAGAAAAAAGCAATCAGCCCTGCTGAGAGGTCATGAAGAAAAGTCTATAATATTTGCATTCATGATCCATGTCATAGTCTCATTCTTCCGATTAGTGTCCCTTGCAAATGCTTCGGCCTTCATACATCATCGTCAAATTGAGAAATAATTTATTTGTCCTTCCAGCGATAAACATCAAAAAACTCAAACGAATTTCTACGTCTTTACATTGGTTTTACTGTGACTCTATGAACCCTATTACTTAATGATTGTTTTATTAAGTCTTGTTATACTTCACAGACGAACTTCTATTTTTAGTATTCTAGTATTTATCGATGATTGAAGTACTACAAAATGAGTTCCGAGGATATGAGAATGCATGATTTGAAATGAATTTTGAAGCTTCCATTCTCTTTAGTTCTTCTTCACTGCCAATTCTCCTGGAACATAAGGAAATTTTTCGACAAAATGCTTGGCAATATCTCTTCTGTTACAAACCCAGACACCTTCCTTCTCACTAATATATTTCATAAAGTTTCTAAGAGCATTTGTTCTTCCTGGTTTCCCTAAGATCCTTGAATGCATGGGAATATTCATAATCTTACCCCCTTCGCGATATAGTTGATCAAATTCCTGTTTCAAGTAATCCTCGTACACCATAGCACCTGGAAATCCTGGACCAGGAGATGATGCCACAAACTTGTAGTCATTGGTGACATATGCATAAGGGATCATTAACATCCCTTCCTTCAGCTCATCTGGTAAATTTTTTTCTTGTGGAAGATCCACCCAATAGGGTACATCGTCATTATAGCAGTCAGACTCCCATAATAATGGTAAACCAAGCTGCTTATGTGCCTCTTTAACCAACGCGGGGGTTTTGATATTTCCTCTTCCGATGTAAGCGCCTACAGGAGCCTCACCAGAGGACTCCTTCAACAAAATTACAGCTTTTTTAATCATTTCAATCTGCCCAGCGTCGTCGTATTCTCCCCAATTTACCCAACGTAGGCCATGATTTGCGATCTCATGGCCATTTCTCACACAGGCTCTTGCAAATTCTGGATTCTTTGCAAATGCTTGAGCTACAGCATAGAGTGTCATTGGATATCCAAACTCTTTGAAAAGTCTCAAGAGTCTCCATGCCCCAGATCTTGATCCATATTCGAATTCACTTTCACTCATTAAATGTCTATCGTTGATCTTCTCTGTCGAGGGCCCACACTTCTCCCAAATGTACGCCTCGGATCTATCGTCTCCATGAAGAATATTATGCTCGGCACCTTCCTCATAATTTAATATGAATGACACAGCTATTCTAGCACCATGAGGCCATTCTGGGTCAAATGATTTTTCACCATATCCAACTAGGTCTCTAGGCATTTCATAATCTGGCAAAGGGCCAGGAACATAGTCAAGTGTATCCATTTTTTGATATTTGCAACTGCTTCTATGTCAAAGCAGGAAGGATGTGGAATAAACGGCTCTTATATACACTTAACCGATGTCTTCTCTGTCCTCGAATATGTCACAAGCGGATAGCGCGATATGGTCTGCACTACGGAGCCGCTCCTTTTGGAAGATAGATAAGCGGAACCTTTCCGCATTATCTCGGAGATATTCCGTCTCGAAAAACTTAAACCACCAAATTCCATAAATAATGTAAGCAGAGTGGTTAAATATGAAGTACATCTAGCTATTAGATGAATCTGACTTTAGAATCTACATAATAATTTTTGCCTTGTAATTATAATTGAATTTAGTTTCTCATATGTCAGTTTTTACATTTGATGCTAAAAAAGACAATCCAATTACAGTCAATGATATTGTATCTTTAGGTTTGGAATTTGGCGTTCAAGAAACCAATGATAGCAATTTAGAGGGTTACAAGACTTTATTGGCAGTTTTCCATGATTCTTGTGAAGAGATAATGGCTATGGACGATTATATACCAGTCGTTGATTTTGAAAGATTTCCAAGAGAAAGCATCCATTTTCCTACCCAAGATGAAAACAAATTAAATGCTTGGGGATATAAGTTTATACTCAAGGACAAAAAGATATCAAATGGTAGGCGCTTGCTCAAGGATCTCAAAATTGCAGTGAAAGATTGTATTTCAGTTGCTGGTGTTCCAATGCTCTTTGGAACCAATTTTATCAAAGATTTTATACCATCGAATGATGCTACTATCATTACTAGAATGTTGGAAGCGGGAGGTACAGTTGTGGGGAAAGCTGTCTGTGAGAATTTGTGTCATTCTGCTACCTCTCATTCGGCCCATACTGGTCCTATTCATAATCCTATGGCTAAAGGATATTCCACAGGAGGGTCATCCTCAGGAAGTGGAGCTTTAGTTATGGATCCTAATGAAGACATTGATATTACCATTGGTGCCGACCAAGGGGGTTCGGTTAGAATCCCAGCTGGTTGGTGTGGTGCAGTGGGTATAAAGCCCACTTTTGGCTTGATTCCGTTCACAGGATGTGGTAGTAACGAAGCAACTAATGATCATTTGGGCGTGTTGACTAAAGACGTCCTAACTAATGCAAGGGGCCTTCAGGCCATTGCAGGGAGTGATGGAATTGATGACAGAGGCTTCAATTCTATAACCACTGAGTATTACGACGACCTATTGACTTTGAAGGATCCAAAAAGCTTAAATGGCTTGAGAGTGGCGGTTTTGAAAGAAGGTTTCGATAATCCCGCTGTTGAAACGAGAATCAAAGAAAAGTGTTACGATGCGATCAGTAGATTCGAAGAGCTTGGTGCTACAGTAGAAGAGGTTAGCATCCCTTTACACCTGAAAGGACCATTGATATGGACTGGTATATCAAAAGTCGGTGGTTATCTTACCAAGGTCGGATGTGCGATTGGTAGAAGAGGGTTTAGTATGAACGATCTAAATGAAAAATTTCTTGATGCTCTTCATGATCAAGAAAGATGGGATGAAGCTTTCCCATCTACAAAAAACATTTACTACAATGGATTATATGCTATGAAGAAATTCCCCACGCTATATGGCAAATGTCAAAACCTTTCAAGGAAATTGAAAGATGAATACAATGAGGTTTTGAAAGAATATGATGTTATTGTATTACCAAACCTACCATATATTGCACGTTCGCACCACTTGGTTGACGATGGGTCACTGCCTTTAGATGTGATGGGAAAACAAGTCGGCTTGAGCTCTAACACATGTCCATTTGACCAAAGTGGTCATCCAGCGTTGGCACTCCCATGTGGTATGTTACCGATATTAGAGGGCCCATTGGCTAATTCTGGTTCTAAACTTCCAGTTTCATTACAAATAGTTGGAAAGTGGTATGATGAAAAAACTGTTTATCGGGCAGCATATGCATGGGAGCAAGCATTCAGCTGGCGAGAGTTATAATATCCCAAGTCTAACTTTTGAACTTTAAAGATGATATACTATCCTGTGCGTAGGCGGAATTTTCAATTATGGTTTCTCAAAATATAAAAGTACTTGATAAACTCAATTTGTAGTACAACGATCATTTGCAATTATGGTGAAAGAAACGGTGTGCTTTCTTTAAAAGTTCATATATTGAATCATCAACAGAGAGTCGAAAAAATGTTAGTTCAAGAGAGAGTACGGTGCTTTTTAGTAAAATTCTTGATATCTATAATTAATATGTAAAGAAACTTTTTTAAGGCATTATACAAGATAAAAAATTTTTATGGTCCTCCACTTAATTGTCTTATTTTGATTCACTGTGATCCAAAGGTTGTAATCCATTATCACGAACGAAAATCATAGAAATTAAGCAAATTCCCATTGATGCAATCCAAAAGTAAAATAAATATTTCATTGATCTCATATAGATGGCTCTCAAGAATGCTATTTGAGATTCAGAATAATTAGTCAACTCAATTCTAGCGTATATCTGTTTTCCTAATACGCCTATCTGTTCCTGTGAAAAGTACTGCATCCCTTCATTTTTCAACAGCTTTGTATAAGTGTTTGACATAATTGTGGAGCAAATTGCTAAACCTATTGCTCCACCGAAAGATCGCAAAACATTTCTCGTTGATATCACTGTTGCTCTATCCTTTTTATAAGATTGTGCCTGAGCTGCCACTAACGTTGGTTGAAATGTTGCCCCAACACCCATTCCATTCAAAAGCAATACTACAACATTAACCCCAGGATTGGAATTCGTTTTCCACAATAGAGTTAAACAAACCGCCAAATTCCACATGATATACCCAAACCAAATTACATAAATATACTTTCCAGTCCTTGATATGAGCCTGCCTCCTATCACAGATGTGAGTGATTGAGGAACCACTAGACACAATAAATATAAAGAAGTCTGAATAACAGAATCCCCTCTGACGACCTCAAAATAGTAGGGATAATAATATATAGATGAGTAGTATATCATGCCAAAGAAAAAGTTTTGTGATAATAGCATTGTTAAAGACGGTGATATCGCAAAAAGGAGAGGTGGAATCATGGGTAATGAAGATACCTTTAGCTCGACGTAAAAAAATAAAATTAATGAGACGCAGCCTATCAGTAGCATTGCTATTACAATGGGACTATTCCATTCATAAGACGAGCCTTCTCCGCTAATTGGTATAAGTATAAAAATTATGCCAATTGAACTACATAAGAACCCTGGATAATCTATTTTTTTCAACTTTTCTTTCTTGGAGAATCCTGGATTGGTATATGGCACCAACCATAAGACTATTCCACTGGCACAAAATATCAAGGGGCATAGCATGTAATAAAAATATCTCCATGAAGTATGCGATATGAAAGCTGAGGCCAAGAATGGCCCTAGAGCATTTCCTAGCCCCACACAAGCTCCCAAGATTCCTTGATATTTTCCTCTTTCCTTGAGAGTAACGATATCAGAAACTATAACCATCGTCAATGAAGTAATTCCCCCATTACCAATTCCACAGAATCCTCGAAAAACGTACAATTGGTACGGTGTCTGAGCCAAACCGCAAGCTAAATCAAAAATCGACAATATCCACATGGCAGCGATTAGAACATATTTACGTGAAAAGATATCGCTCATTCTTCCAAAAAATACCATAAACACAGTAGTACTAATTAAGGAAGAAGTACCTGCCCACGTTATTGTATCTGATGCTTTAAGATCATCGGACATATAAGGAAGAGCTACCGTAATTCCTGTCTGATCAACGAATGATAGAAGCAACGCCACTGCCATGCTTGACAAGACTACTAGTAATTTCTTCTGTGATAGTAAATTCTCATGAGAATCTGCCAAAACCTGAGAAACTTTGACATTACTATTAGAATCTTTCTCAGAAGAAATCATTCTTCTTATCTGATATCTTTTTCCTTATAATAATCAAATAGTATTCTCTGATTTGTCTCAAGGTAGCAAAGCAAATTAAGACGAAAGTCGGCTACATTTAATCTTTTTGCAGGATTTAAAACTTTTGAAACGAATAAGACCATGTCAATCTTATTGACAGATAGTAAAGTGGGCTGAAGCAGCAAATGCGGAACGTTTCCGCACTACAGTTATCTTTCGATGCGAAGATTTTCGCTTACTTAAAGTAGGAATATTAAAGATAGAGCGGAGACCTTCCGCATATTTCCGGAGGCGCTCCGCTCACGGATCATCGCCGTGCTCTCTTAGTCAATATTTCGGTAAATTAACAGTAAGTTTTCTCTCTTTGTTGTATGGAAGCATATACGAGCAGGAATCTTATTGATAATACAAATTTAAAGATAAGGATCTATTGAATCGTATTAAAAAGAGCTAAAATGAACAAATTTCATTCAGTTATAATATAGAAATACAGATAATCTAGAATTTGAAGTTGTCAAACACTATGAAGCTTTTAGATGCTTTGAAAGTTAAAGGGGTACCTGAGAGTGGTCATGCGTGGTATAATCGTGATCTATTACCAACACCTCCAGAGAAGAGGACATGGGGAGTGACTCATTTTTTTTTCTTTTACTTCACCACGTCGTTAACTCCTTCTTCTTATACCTTAGGTTCCACCTTGGTTAGTATGGGCTTATTATGGTGGCATGGCTTGATATGTGCAATTATTGGGAGCTTTTTCCTTTCGATTGTTCTCGTACTTAACTCGAGAGGACCGTCAACCTATCATTTAGGATTTCCTACTATAGTTAGAGCTACTGCAGGAATGTATGGTTCTTATTTTTTTATATTTGTCAGAGTTTCGGTCGCTTGTATCTACTTTTCTATTCAGACTTATTTTGCAGGAAACCTAATGAGCGTTTTAATGAGATGTATATTTGGTCATCGATGGGAAAACATACCAAACAAGCTTCCTGCATCATCAGCCATAACATCTCAAGACTTACTTTCGTTCTTCTTAGTTTGGATAATTCAGCTTCCTGTCATGTTTTTGCACCCGACGGTCCAAAGGCATATGTACACTGTCAAAATTGTTACTACAACAACAGCTTTATTTGCTGTTTTTGGATATTGCGTGAGAAAAGCAGGAGGCTCATTGGGCTCACCTAATTCTTTAGGAACTGAGAGAGTTTACGGGGAAGATTTAGTATGGGGTGTTATTTCAGGCATCAATTCAATCATGGGAGCATTATGTCCTATTTTGATCAACGCAGGTGATGTTGTTAGGTATTCCAAGAAGCCCAGAGATGCTGCTTGGATTCAATCTTTTGCCGTTTTGCTATCCAAAGTTCTTATTACTTTCATCGGATGTGGCACAACATCAGCAGCGAGGGTTTTTTTGAATGACACTTTTTGGAACCCATGGGACCTATACAGTGCGCTTCTTGACTACAAATGGGATGCTTCTATGAGGACTGGTATTTTTTTCGCTTCTTTGGCAATGATAATAGCTTTAGTAGCTGTAAATATAGGTACCAATTGTATGCCCGTTGGTGCAGATACTACAGGTATGTTTCCAAAATATGTCACTATTGTCAGAGGCCAATTAATTTGCTGGGCAGTTGCTCCTTTATTTTTCCCATGGAAAATGATATCTAGTGGCACTCGATTTATAACTTTCTTAGGAAGCTATTCCACAATGTTGTGTCCTATTGCTGCGACTATGATATATGATTATTTTTTCATTAGGAAGGGAAACTATCATTTAATTTCTTTCTTCGATCCTGATAAAAATTCTTTGTTTTGGTATCAAAATAGATTCGGTGTCAATTGGAGAGCTATTGTTGCCTGGGTTGTTGGTTGTGGTTTGACTATTCATGGTGTTGCTGCTTCTATAAATCCTTCCTCTGTTGGAATTGCATCAGCAAGAATGTATAAGCTAGGGTTCTTATTATCATTTGTGAGCGCATTTGCAGCATACTGGGTGTTAAATATGTTATTCCCTGTGAACCCAGTCTTACCTAATGATATTGATATTAAGGACGTGGCATTCGAACAGTTCGCAGAAGATGAAGGCATCCTTCCAGGTGAATCCTTCGAGGATGTTGGTGGGGAATGCAAATACGCTGCAGACGTTGAAGTTACAGAGAAAGTACTTTACACTCTTTCCTCTAAGGAAGTGTAGTCTGAAGAGTTGTTTAAAATGCTGGTTATGGAATAAACAGCCCACAATAGCGTTTATGTAGCCAATAAATATACTAATTAATTTGGGTTCCATTACTGTATAAGTTATATACCTTGGAGGATTTATAAGAATTCAATACCCCAGTCAGAGTGAGAGGTCTTTACGCCTCCAAGTCTATAGAAGAGTTCATCTAGATTCGAGAAGTCAAATATGCGATCGAGCTCGGACATTTCCTCCTTCTCTATAGCTTTCGTGATCTCATTAAAACGATTCAAGTTTCCTTCAATATGAGAACGATTGTCTTTAGTATCAGACTTTTTTGTATCTAACCAACCAGTTTCAGAAGGGACATTACCACCAGTTGACTTGGAGAAGGATTCATTGAAACTGGAACTACCTTGGCCATAGTAAGTAGAGTCAGGTAATTTGTCTTTCGCTTGTCCCTGTAATTCCAGTCGCACGTCAGTGGCATTTCTCGTAACGCTAACCTTATCTAATAATTTTTCGACGATATCTCTGTACCTATGACAACTAGGACTTCTTTCTGCGATTAAAACTAATATTGTAGTACAGTTCCTTAATCCTTCGCTCACTTCAAAATCCCAAGACAATTTCTTAAAAAGCAAACCGTAAATTATAGAAATTCCCGCTAAAAAAATGGTCTGCAAACTCACAAATGAAAGAAAATAATTGGTAGTTTGATGAATCTTTCTACTTAATTTGCAAACAATTATTGAACTTTGCATACAATCAATAAATAAAGTATCATCTGAGGTTAACTTATTTAAAAATGGCTGCATCAAACTTCTAATCTGCTTGTGGTATAGGTATAGACAATAGTCGTATTCATAATCAGTCAAGAATGGTGGTAATTCGTTTATCCATGTCCTCATTTCTTGCTGTAACTTTGTGATTTCTCTTCTTGGAATATTTTCAAAATCTTCGTCTACTCGATATATTATACTCTGAATCCTACTGTCGATCTTTCTTAACTTGAAGTATTGAATAGCCAATGAATCTGAAGTACGAGTTTCTGGATTTTTTATTTGAGACGTTTGGAACCCTTCAATGTTATAGTGCGGGTAGGTCTCGTAGAACTTAGCTTTGATAGAAGGTGCATCAGTAATTTGATCATCGATATTAATAGGTAGGTCTATGTCGATATCTCTGTCGCTAAGTGAAAAGGGTCTTCCAAAACTATTAGAAATGATCCTCTCTAAAGAATATGCTGACCAAAATGTCCGACATCGGTTTATATACGAGTAAGGATCTTGTCTGAAGAGACTCAAGTTTCTCCGGTGAAGACCAAAATTTACGCATAACCTTAGGGCAGAGCCAACCAAATACCATATAACGGGTCCATTTGGAAATCTTAATTGGTATACCACCAAGAGCAAGATGGACTGAATGTTAGAAATACTCCTAGACAGTAAAATCACATATAAATTCAAACCAAGTGCATACTTGTAGAATAATAAATGGTGAGGTTCGCTCGTTCTATTGCTATGCATGCTCTTGATGTCGGATTTCAACCTTGCCCCAATCCCATAGATCATAATCAAGGTAAACTTGTCCAATAGGAGTTGAAAGTTGCTCACGGCCAAAGTTTTGGTAATAATATTGGAGTCATAAAATAGGCGAAACCTGCTATCATGGAGATTCTTCATGTAAGACTTTTGAAGGAAGGGATATCTTTTATGAATTATAGAAAAATAGTTATCAAAATAACTTGTAACTAGTTCGTTATCTTTTAGTAGCTCCTTAACTTGGTCAAATATTTGAGCGGAATTGTTACTAGAGCCTGGAGAATCGTCATATTTTTCATCCAAAATGAAGTCCTTAGGCGAAGAAACAAAGCCACTTACTTCATCAATACAGTAAGATTCAGTACCAGCAGAGTCTTTACATGCCTCACTGATCAAGCAACTTTGCAATAAAGTTGTGACACTTAAACCAGATGACCCAATGTAAGCTGGTTCAGATTCATCTTTTAAAGGAATGGAGGCCGCACATTGTATTAAACTATTATCATAGTCGACTTCAAAAGTCTTCTGAGCTAGTTTTTTTTTTTAGTTAATGATTCTTCACTTTTTTTTTCGTTATCCATAATACGTTTCTCAAGTTCTTTGATGGTGTTATTCATAGATCTTACTTTGTCTTCAAGGAGTTTTACATAGTTCGGATTCTTCCTTTCATCAAACTCACACAATAATCCTATTTTCTCACAGTTAAAGCAGTTTCTTTCCCCATTAAAGTTCCCATCACATCTTCTCTTTAAGGCTTTACATCTGTTGCAGGCCATTAAGGCAACCTTTCCCCGTCTTCGTTTACTTATTCTTGATCCAGGTGAATGATAGTTGTCGTTGTTCAAAAAGGTAAGGTCCATTTCTAACAGGAAAAAAGTTAAACGCTCCGATTTGTATTTGCCTGGTTTAAAGCCGTCTCTCTCAACTATCAGGTATCCATAAACAGCCAAGCATTCGGCTGTTACATAGTTTCATGAGATTTAGATACTGATAGGCGGACCACTTCCGCACTATGAGCTCATAACCAAATTGGTGTCTCGATAAGGTTGAGCTTATTACTTTCTACAGTTAGTCACAATTGCAGTAACTAAAGAATCTGAGTCCAGCATAGTGAGCACATTTCTAGTATTTTTTGCAAATATTTGAATAACCTTTTCATTTCTTGTCTTATCATGCTCATTAATGTTCAAGCTTCTGTCTACATGAAATGTCTTACCATGTTACTTACATGATTTCTTTATCTCTCGAGGGGACGAATTTCGTTCAGTTTTGCTAAATTGAGATTGACACATGGAATAGTAGACCTATAAGTACATTTAGTGTATCCCTTGATTATACAAGGGAAATTTTCATTCAATTAATATATATATTGTATAATTCTTTAAAGTGGGAGACAGCTATTGAATTCCTCTAGTATGCATTGCTTCTTCTACTTTAGAATAAACTTCATCAACCGGTAAGTCGCAAGAAATTTTGACTACTTTTCCTTCTTTGTCATAATAGTCAACCACCGGCATTGAAGTTTCAACAAAAGTTCTGAATCTCTTTTTTATACTCTCAACGTTATCATCAGTACGACCGCTGGTCTTACCTCTCTCTAATAACCTTTTAAGCATAACCTTCTCTGGACAATCAAAGAATAATGTAAAGGATGACTTTGCAATCTCTGACTCAAAAGTTAACGCCTGGTCCATTTTCCTTGGGAATCCATCCACCAAAAATTTGAAATTCCCTTTCTTAGAGTTCTCAGCGATAGCGTTCTTCAACAATTTCACAGTGACTTCCTGCGGCACAATTGTTCCCTCCTTTATGCATTTAGCAATAAGCTCGCCATATTTAGATCCTTCTCGATTTTGTTCAGCCCTCAACAAATCTCCGGCCGATAAATGAACAAATTTATGATGTTCAACAAGCTTAGCGCATTGAGTTCCTTTACCTGATCCAGGGCCACCCAATACGAATATAACAGATATCTTTTCTTTAGGTATTGCCTCACCCGTCTTTGAGTTCGGTTCAATTGCAGATTGGGGTGTCCTTCTTGTATATCCACTAGAAACAACCGTGGAACCTAAAACCAAAGCACCTAAGACTATTAACATTTTAACTTTTGGATTACCTCTGCCCCCTGAGCCATTCGATGATGTCTTGGGTGGTGAAGGTGTTGATGAAGCATACCTAGCAAAGGACATCCTCGACTTCTGTTCAAAAGTATTATTGAATTGTAATCTTAGAAGTCCTCTAGGGGCCACTCTAGGGATATACAAGATACGAGGAATCATTTCAAAGCTTTGTTTTGCAATGTGATATATATCAATAAAAGAATGTTGAAGATTCGCAGATGAGAAGTCCTATATAGAAAGTCGCTAGTAAAATTTCATTTATTTGGCACAATAATGTGCAGGATGTCTACTACAAAGTATTCCCTACAAGTATTTCAACAGTTCGTCGTCGAATCTTAAGTACTTGCCATTCAAATTACTCTCCCACCCTTTTAAAGCAAGCTTCCAGTAAACATTACCAGGAACTCTCGGGTCAAGCAATCTTTTGCTTTCATGTAGGTCCATAAATTTTTCAATACTCTTCGTCATATTAGTACCGAATTTGCTTCTGATGTCAGATTGCATTTCAGTATCGACGACACCAGGAGCGATTGATATTGCACTTACACTTGGTTCTTCAAAAGCTAGCGAGTTAATAAATTGATTTAGAGCAGCTTTCGAGGATCCATAAGCTCCCCAGCCATCGTATGCTGTTTCCGAAGCCCCTGACAGAACAGCAACTACTCTACCATTAGTCTTACGGAGCTCAGGCAACGCTTGCTGTACAAGACCAACAACTGAAAAGAAATTGATATCATATAACTTCCTCCATTTGTCTAAATCAGCATTCTCAATATGTTCTACAGGATCTAAAACACCTGCGTTGGCAATTATAGCATTGAGTTTGCCGAATTTTTTAACTGCTAATTCAATTGCGCTGGCAGAAGTTTGTGGATCACAAACATCTCCAACTACGATCCCGACTCTGTCACCTCCGTAGGTATCAACCAATTTACTCAATGAAGGCTTTGTTCTTGCTACTGCAATCAAGCAATTGGATTTGCTTTCATTTAAATATCCTTCGGCAATTGCTGCACCAATACCTTAAGAATAAATGTCAGTATAAGGACTATCAGAAGAAGTGATTACGATTATACAAACCTCTAGAAGCTCCTGTCAATATAGTTACGAATGTCATTATTTTAATAAAAAAAGAATATATATTTTCGCAGTTTTCAGAGGATGTCTTTAGGTAAATATATATACTTCAAAAAACCTTGCTGTCAACGGAAGAACGTTAAAAATATGAAACTTGATATGAGAAAGCTCAAAAGTTCAAGGAGACTTTATTAAAAATTTATAGCTTGGAACCCACAAACGCACCCCCCAAGTGTGCACCTCCGTCAATAGGTAATACAATTCCATTGATGTAGGAGGATTGCTTGGAGCACAAGAATAGGACAGCATTTTCGATATCTTCCTTTACACCCAATCTCTTTCTAGGATTACTCTCTATCATCATATCACCAGCTACTTCCAAGAGGCCGTTGGACATTTTAGTAGGGAAGAATCCGGGAGCTAAAGAGTTGACGTTGATATTTCTAGGTCCCAATTGAAGAGCCAAATTTTTACCTAAGTGAGAAACACCTGCCTTTGAGGCTAAATATCCGTAAGTTCCAATAGGCTCAGCTACTACAATGGATGCGACTGAAGACATAATCAAGATTCTGGAAGGGTCTTCTGGGGTTCCTGCTGCTTCAAGTAAAGGAGTAAACAATTGAATAGTGTGGTAAACTGCAACTACATTCAAGTCTAGCACCTTCTTGACTGCTGAAACCGGATGCTGCTCCAAAGGTGCACCCCATGAAGCACCAGCATTAGCTATGAGTATATCCAACTTAGTAATGTGTTTCGATGTCTCTTCGAAAAACTTTTTAGCTTGCTCTTCATCCGCAATATCTGCTGCAATGGCTATAATTTTGGGTGATTTGCCATTTTCTTTTGAAATCTTTTCAAGATATTTCTTAGCTTCCTCGCAAGCGTTCTTCTTTCTTGAGGTAATCACCACCGTGGATGCACCATTAAGAGCTAAAGCTTCGGCACAGTAAAGCCCTAAACCTCTAGTTCCCCCCGTAATTACCGCGGTCTTTCCTTGCACATTAAAATCAACCATCTCGACAAATACTCTCAAAAAATGTATAGTTATATTTTAATATTCACGGTCCTTCTCATGCATTTTATACTTCGCATCCCCACAAAATTCGGGTTTAACATTTTAGAACCGAGCTACATTAAAAGGTGGCATGAGAAATCGTCCTCTTTTGTTTATTCGTAATATTTATGTTACGTTACGGTGCTTATCACAAAATTTTAGGATAAGCTGCAACCCTAGAACTTTAGGATTTGCCATTTTAAAAATTAAAGAGCCATCATCAGTACCAATCTTGCTGATATCTTTTCCGAGAATAACTTGTACGAGTCTATTACTTCCATGTATGAAATCGCTTATGGACCATACTTCTATGTTCTCTTCACACACCAAAAATAAAAAGTTATTTTGAAACGTCACGGATTTTGCTCTAAAATCGAATCGAAGCATGGACTTTCTAGAAACCTTTCCGTATTTATTGATAAAAACGGCACAATCGTTATAGACTAACAAGAATTCGGTATTATTATTCAATTTAAACATTCCCATTGCCTTTATGCCTGTAGAACTGATGTGCTTTTTTATTATATCATAATTGTTCACCCCGTTATGGCTAATTTTTCTATTGTAACTGTCGACTTTCCTATCTGCAGAGGAGATGTCAGGAATTGGTCGAGGGAGTAGCTTGTCAAGCTCTAAAATCTCAAATCCTTTGTTAGTATGAAGTGCTAAGGTGGAATTAAATAAAGATATTCCAAAACAATCTGCTTGTATTGAAAAGGTCTTTACTGTTCGAAATGCATTGAATACCCCATCGTTATCGGTCTCTGGGATGTATACTCTAAAATTTGTGACACTGGATGCATTTCCCTTCTTCCTCGCACAAAAAAGCATGTTAATTCCTTTATGAGGACCAAATTCAAAAAATGATACCGTCTCACTAGAGATTGAAATGCAAGTAACCGTTTCAGTTTTTTCGTAATATACACTGATAGCCAGATCCAATGAGCAATAGCGCAAGTGCTTATTTCCCAAAACAAGTAGTAAATTGATACTCGTATCGACGTAAATTTTGCTTATATCTGTACCGTTTATAATCTTTTTCCAACTTTTTCTCAGGTCCGTACAATAAACTCCAGATGTTAAACCAACCATATAGAAATCGCTCCCTCTAAAGTTGAAAACTGTAGCACATTGAACCTTACTAAATACAAGGTGACTCTTTGCGTTTGGGAAATTATACAAGTCTTTAACATATCCGAACTGCTTTAATTTACCAACTGCATCTGAAGAGAACTTCTCGATAGGATCATAGGGAGCGCATACTTGTAACTTAGTGACCCGATTTGCAAATTCATATGCAAAACAAGTATTATCTAAAGCTTGTATGTCAAATAATTCGGACCGTTGAAGTCTTCGGCATAAACTCGTTCTGGCAGCAGATAGATGATTAATCCATGCTTTTCTTTCTTTTTCAGATTTAGTTGAAAAGGTAAAAGTGCAGTGCTTTCCTCTGCCAGCATACCTCAATTTAAAGGGGAAGGATGATGGTTCAGTTTCTCCATCATCATTCATTTGATTGCCTTGGTTATTCAGCGAAGCAAGCGACTTTGAAATCGGATTTAAGTCTGATACAGCATCCTTCTCTTCAATTAACAAAAACTCTATAGGTATCGGCTTATCGATCACTCTATAACTATGCAATCCTAGTTTTTGGCTTTTTACCTTTTCAGTAATGAATAGATAATTATCAATTAATATCAAATGGTTGGTATATAAGTTGATTCTTAATTCTGACTTTCTCATCAAGTTTCCTCTGAAAATGAATCTTCTATTTTCAGAATTCAAATTGATGTTTGGAGCAGGAATATCTTTCTTCCAAATCAATTGCTTCTCAATTTCCTTTAAAGCATGAGAATTATCGGCTCGTACCTTCATGTCGTTAGCTCTAAATCCGAGCTTCTTGATTTCCTCGAGCGCCTTAGTCAATTCAACATATTCAGAGTCTTCTGAGTCATACATATTCCTAATATCAGATAACTGTAATGGCAATGATTGGTACCTGGAATTGAATGTACTCAAAAAAAGTAAATTTCCATTAACTTTTAATTCCTTAACTTTGTTCATATTACGAACGTTTAAGTCAACCCAACGTTTCATGGAATCATTTTTTAGAAGACTCTCAATGGTTGGAACTATACTGATGTATTTTAACAACGACGAATTGACAGCCCTTGACCATTCAAAATAAATTTCTGATATGCCCACTACGCCTTTTATAAATTTACCATCAGAAACTAGGATTTTAAGCAAGGGCTCGAAGAGATATTCTTTATGTATCTTTAGCAAGCTTATTGTAGATTGTAAAAGATCGTCTTCAAATTTCTCTACTGAGATAGCCTCTTTGGATACTAAATGCTTGGCTGCTCTTGCAAATTCAGGACCCACAACATCCACAAAGCATTGAGCCCTAGAAATGAAGGTCTGTTCGTGTCGCAATAAGTCGAATATTAATGATTGCTTTTTGGAAGTGGCTTTGTCGATTTTCCTCAAATCAGTAGCTGTTAACTTCCAATGTGAAGCCCAATCCTCACCAAGTATGATTTCGTGAATATTTGTAGACTTGACTTGAATTTCGTGATCTATCATTTGATTTAAGTAACATTGAGAAGAATAGCATCTTATGTTCACTTCATTCGCAGGAACCATATGATCGTGATCCCTGCAGTAGCAGTCCGTAAGCTCTACTAAAACCCCAGAGACATATGAGCAGCTATCAAATATCACTTTGCTATCTTGTTGTTTTATTTTGACGATGTCAGATGCTTTGTTTTTGGTTTCAGCACTGGAAACCCTCTCTTCAAATTTGAAGGCACCTGCTAGGGTGAGAGAGTGAATGATTTGATCTACACTCAGCCCTATCAACCCAAGAGTCATGTTTGGCTTATGAAAGACTATTAATTTAATAAGAGCTTTCTTTAACTCTCTTTTAGTAATATACAGCTCGTTCAACCAGGTCTTCAACATTAAACACCATCTAAAAATATGGCCTAACGACCAGACCTTCTCACAAGCAGTAAAATGCTGAGTTGTTAATGATGCAGAAGAAAATGGTAACAGTGGGAGATCTAGTGGTACAGGTGGAAGATCGTGATCTCTTCTGTTCCTTGAAACGCTGGCCAACAGCTTGTCAAATATATCAGATTTGAAATCTGTATATAGTGGCTGTTGAATTGTTGGCTCGTCACTAGCAGACGGTAATTCAGGTAGGATAGAATAATCAAAGTAAGTGGTAATAGGTGTATCTTCATAGTCATCCTCATATGTATGTATTTCACTTTTCTCAGAATCGCTAGACTCAACTAGTGTCCATCTATTTGGGCTCTCAGATAACCTTGATTCGCCTGTGTAGTTATTTCGATTGTCCTGAAGAAATTCACCATCATCTTCAGCTTGGACGTTCTCTTCAAAATAGTCAGTATTATACATCAAGGATGGCGATCTCTTGTACATTTTCTTTGGTGAAGGGGATCTGCTTCCACGCTCACTTATGGTATTTCTGTATGTCAATGTAGGGCTCACGTCTAGATCGGTGGGCTGAGACCGAAAACCACGATGATCTAATCTATAATTTGACTTCTCCAGCAGTCTTGTTAAAGTTTCAGGACGAATAAGTTCTTCTGGAGTCGCCAAAACTGGCATCAGCTTCCTTTGCCTTATAGGTATCTGCCCAAGATATGAAAATTTGTTCTTGGTCGGTGTATTGAGTTGACTGCTTCTTCTATTAAATAAAGGCAGATTTGAACCATAGGTAGAACCTTTGTTTATGTCTGATGAAATCGTAAAGTCTTCCTCATCACTAAATTCCATATCCATGACTTCAAATTCATCCACAGGATAAGGTGGACTTCGTTCTATGTAACTAATTTCTGGGTCTATTGGATATGGTAATTCCTTCTGTGGTGTGTTTGCCGTCTTGGATGCAACATTAGAAAATGAAACGAACGGTGAGTTATAATCAGGAAGTTCTTTAGGTCCCATAGGCTTCGGGCTTTCGAAATATATTAAGGGATCATCTGCGCTTGTGTTAGCATAGCTGTAATCCCAGTCCTCATTTTGAACTATATTAGTATGCACTGATAAACCTTGATTTTGAAACTTTCCTTTATTTGGACGCGGAGGAATTGATGGTGATGAGTTTAATCGTGGCAGTGAATCATCAACAATCGTGGAGTTTAAGGTACCAGCACTTGGAGGAGGCTTTCTCCTTAATGTTTTCTTCGTTGGTGTTATAACCGTTTGATAATGTTGATCCTTAGACATTTGAAATACTTTTCAATTCATTGAAAGTAAGTGATAGTTTTTAACGAATAATAGAGTCGCTATGGTATGTCCCCAAAGCAAATAAGTCCTTCACTTTCTCCTGCTAGTCTTTTACTTGTTGAAAGAAAGCAAATTGACAGTTCTATTGTTTGTATAGAAGTAAATAGTCATGTGATGTATATGTCACTAAGCTTATTGACAATCAACGCGTCAAAGCCTCTTCTAATGGCACACCGACTTATTGTGAAATTGACCTTCTCAGAGCCAAGGTGAATATGTCTTATTCAAAAGCTATAAATAAAGCACTCAGTGACGGTGCTAGGCTATATTCATCGAAAGAGTATGAACTAGCATCTGAAAAATATGCTGAGGCTTGTGAGAAGTATCAAGAAGAGAACGGGAAAGATGACGCTGATTTGCTATTGTTGTATGGCAAATCACTTTTCCAAAGTGCTGTGTCAAATTCTGAAGTCTTTGGTCAAGCCAGTGGAAATCAAAATCAAGAGAAAGAAACTGTGGAAGATAAGGAGATCGATAACGACGATGGGAATTTTCAATTTCATGAAGATGGACCATTGGCTGAAGCTGAAGATGACTTACCTGAAATAGGTGTGAAAGAAGATGACTCGAGGATGGATGATGAAAGAGTCGTTTTAGGTGGTGATCATGATGATGAAAACGATGAGGGAGATCATGAAGAACAGAGTGACTTTGAAGTAGCATGGGAAATCCTAGATTTAGCTAGATCGTTATTTGAGAAACAACTAAAGGAAATTCTGCATGATTCAGAAAGTCTTGCAGTCCCTTACTTAACAAGCGACAGAGAAGATACGAATAATGACTTTATAAAATTGACTAAAAAACTCTCAGAGACTTACGACATATTAGGAGAAGTGTCTTTGGAGGCAGAAAACTTTCCACAATCGGCTATAGACTTAGAAAATTCTCTCAATTTGAGATTGAAGCTATATGACCCTAAATGGTCAGCTTTAATTTCAGAATCTCACTACAAGCTCTCGTTAGCATTGGAGTTTTGTGTTGAAGATAGTAAACTGAGACAGAAGGCAGCAGATCATATGAAGCTTGCGATCGATTCTGTCAAGGAAAGAAATAAAGATGAAAAAGATGAACTGAAGAGGAAAGAAAATGAAGAATTACTTCAAGATTTAGAGATTAGGTATTTGGAATTAAAAAAAGATCCTACCGAAGAGTTCAAAGAGGAGCAGCTCGACATAATCAAAGGTATCCTAGGTGAGGCAACTTCTGAGTCTTCCAGTGGAGACGGTAAACCAGCTCGTAATGTGGTAAACGATTTAAGTAGTGTTGTTAAGAAAAAATCTTCAGGACCCGTGACAAACTTGACATCATTGACCAGGAAAAGGAAAAATGCTGGAAAAGGAGACTCTACTGATTCTGGCTCGAAGAAATCAAAAAGCTGATTAATCTCGCCTTTCTCTTGAGTTTTATTATATGGTTCCTATAATTAATATATTATGTACAGTACGTAGATGACAGTAAATATTTTCAAAGGTCTTATTTTTCAAGTAAATGAAAGAAAGATAAAAAAAACTAGGAGCTACCAGCAGGTAAAATGGACAATTCGCCACAGAGAAAGGATAAATCGGACCGCTCTCGAAATAATCGGCGGAGAAGAAAGAGAAGAAGAACAGAAGATTTCTCGTCAGATTCAGATTCTTCGTCGCAGTCTTCCTCGTCAGAGAGTGACTCACATAATGAATCACATAACGAAACACATCAGCAAGTAGAAATTAGTAAAGACGACATACAAGACATAGATTTAGACGCAAAACCTGAAAATAAATCATTGGTTCCAGAGCCTTTGAGTGAAGACACTTTAGCCATGGTCTCTAGCATTAAATTTACAAACACAGCATTATCTAACAGAAGATCTATAAAAGAAGCAATAGACGAGAATACTGTTAGTGATGGTATAAACAACGATAGAGAGGAATTAAATAACCAGTATTTGAAATTAATGGCCTCAAGCTTCGAAAATGACTTAGACGAACTAAGAAAGAGACCAGATTTTACTGATAAATCTTTAATATTATTAGCAAAAGCATTACAATCCGGTGGTAATATGTTTGATCCGACAACATTGGATTCCATAATCAATAAATGAGGTTTTAAGAATTAACCCTTGAAAGTAGTGCTGTGCATCGATAGAGGCTTTCCCTACTGTAGTCATAATGTGAAAATACAAACAAGACTTAAATTTATGGCAAGCTAAAATGCTTGTATGCATCATACCTCTGTTGATATATTTTATATCTTAATGATGCATATCAGAGTGAAAAGATTTCAAATCAGATCACATAGCAGCTGAAAGGGGTTCTAGTTTTATATCTGTTCTACTGCAAGAAGGCAAAGCATGAGAAAAAGTGAGCGCCAGTCAGTGAGCCAATAATTGTGCCAAATGTTAATTGCAAAACAATTAGTCATCTAGAAAGAGATTCAGCTCATTTTGAGCTTTGGAATGATCGCTTGTAGGATGGTGTCAGCTTAGAATAGATAGTATTGATAGACCCGTATAACTTTCTACAAAATTTGGCGAGAGGTGAGGTTCTAGGAAGTCTTAATAGTCGTTTAAAGGTATTACTATCGTACTTGAGTGAGATTGATTAACTATCCTAAAGCTTATGTATAGCTTTCAACTGTCTAGATTTCCTAATACAATAAATTAGTTTACCTTGAGCGAGCCTCTCCTTCTACATATGGCTTTTCAAAACTGTAAGTAGTGCTCTTGTGTGTATACCTATGAGACAGATAATTATGAAAACAGATGAGCAGCCTGGCTAGCTCAATCGGTAGAGCGTTTGACTCTTAAAAGAGAAGCGATCAAAAGGTTGCGGGTTCGACCCCCGCGTCGGGCTACTTTTTTTTTTTATAAAAATTGCTAGTTTCTAGGGCAGCTTATTGCCCATCGCAGATAACATTAAGCTACATTTCTTGTCGCTACATGTGAGATCTTATAAATATTGGAAAACTTTTATTACTTTTGAACAATTCGTAAACCAATCATCCAAATATGAAGATGCAGAGAATTATTATTAAGTAGAAGGAAAAACATATCTCAATGTTTTCCACCGGTCCTTTCTTTCCTTAATTCATTTTCTTGTCTCTCCACCTCAGCATCATAGACGATAAATTCATCTAAACCACATCCTGCCGGCACCATGGGCAAAACGGGAACTTTCTTTTCAACGATAACTTCTAATAAAACAGGTCCGGAATAATCCAAAAACTCCTTCACTTTTGGAACTAATTCCTCTTGAGTAGATATCTTAATTCCCTTAACACCCATCGCATCAGCAAGTTTCATAAAGTTAGGATTGGATTGATGGGTATGAGCGTACCTATGTTCGTAAAACAATGATTGCCATTGTGTCACCATCCCTTGCTCTTCATTATTCAAGACGCAAACCTTAATGGGAGCATTAGCTTGAACCGCAGACGATAACTCTGTTAACGTCATGTTAAAGGATGCATCGCCATCAATGTCAATAACAATAGCATCTGGTTTACCGATTTGTGCACCAATAGCAGCAGGTAATCCGAAACCCATTGTACCCAAACCCCCTGAAGTAATCATGGTTCTGGGTTGAGTCCAGGTAAAGTGTTGGGCAGCCCACATTTGATGTTGTCCAACACCAGTGGTAACAATGACATCTTTGTTATAGGTAGCTGATTGTTTTGCTATTTCTTTGATTAATGTTTGAGGCTTTACTAAAGAGCCCGGGGTCTCCAACAGATAGTTGTAAGGATACTTTTCTTTCCATTCTTGAACTTGATTCATCCAGTTTGGTCTACTTTCAACTTTTTCAACTAACGGGATGAATTTACTCAAGTTAGTGGCCACGTCACCTTCGATGGCCTCTGTTGCTTCGACAACCTTGTTGATATTCTTAGGAGATATTTCAAAGTGAATAATACCCCCCTTGCCTTCTAAAGCTGCTTGTTTCGCCTTCGGTGCAAATTTCCTGACATTTAATGTGACTCTATCATCAAATCTTGCTCCAAGAGCAATGATCAAGTCAGCGTGCTGCATAGCAGTATTAGCGGCGGCATTTCCGTGCATACCTAACATGTCCAATGACTTCGGGTCTCTTTGATCGAATCCACCCAAACCCTGGATGGTGGTGGTAACAGGTATCTGTGCTTTATCTGCTAATTCTTTTAATAAAGCAGGTCCCTCCTCATTATTCAAGATACCTGCACCAGCATAGATGATCGGACGCTTTGCCTGATTTAAAAGGGCAGCCGATCTCTTAATAGCCTCTAATGTAAACTCTGTTGCTGCTCTTCTAGTAATAATGCTCAAAGCGTTTGATGGTAGGGTAGTATTAATTGGAATAGATTCTCTCAAAATTGCTGCAGTGACATCTTTTGGCAAATCAACTAAAACAGGACCCGGCCTACCAGTAGTAGCGATTTCAAAAGCTTCATTTATGCGTTTAGGAAGCTCTGCAACGTTTTTTACCATAACGTTCCACTTAGTACACGATCTTGAAATACCTATGACATCAGCCTCTTGGAAGGCATCTGTTCCAATAGCAGTCGTAGGCACCTGTCCAGTGAATACAATGATAGGAACACCGTCCATAAGCGCATCTGCCAATGGAGTTATTACATTAGTAGCACCAGGACCAGAAGTTACCAAAACAATACCAGGCTTCCCAGTTGCCTTAGCGTATCCTTCAGCCATATGACCAGCACCCTGTTCGTGTCTCGGTAAGACGAATTTGAATTTTTCAGAATTGTAGATAGCATCAAACACAGGTAAGATTGCACCACCTGCGTACCCAAACACTGTGTCAACCTTATGTCTCAACATCATCTCGTGAAATATTTCTCCTCCTGTTAACCCTATGAAAGAGTCGTCCATCGTAATATCATTCTGGCGCTCTTCTTTAGCTATAGGTCCTTCCAGCCTATTGAAAGAGGGCGCTGGCGTTGGCCTAGCATCAGCTATCATGGTAGCTCTTTGCAGAGTAGACTTCGCTATTGATCTAGTATGACTCTTCGCAAAGATGGCCACGGACCTTCTTAAGGTCCTTATCCTTACACTGCGAGAAATCATCCTTGAAGCTATTTAATATAAGAATATTTATTGGTGTAATAACTTCTTCTTTATATATTTCGTGGAGTAAAAGCTAAGTACAAAATTTTTCAGTGAGTCAAACAGATGATTGAAGAGGTCATACCGCTCGAACGGAGGAAAAAAAATTGCTGAAAAAGAAAAGATTTCATGCAGTACCATGGTTGCGTATAGTATCGTTTTATCATCACATGTAGTCTATACCAGAGATACTTCAAAGATTGTAATGACTAAATACAACAAGTAAAAGGCACTATGTCCAGAAGAGTACTTGCTACAAATTTCGTACTTAAAAATTTTAGTTTCGTGAAAAATGCTGCTATAATCGAAAGTCTTTCAATTGACTTTCTTTTCGTGTGATTGATCAGAACCCTTTTCAGCTGTGTGGGTAGATGCATTTGTAGATGAATTTGAACTTTCTGGTTCCTGATGTGGCTCCTCCGCCTCTGTGACTGATTCTGGTGTATCTATATTCTCGTAATGAGTCTGTGGGGAGGCTGGGTTACCCCAGTCTAAGAAATCTCTTCTCACCTCGACATAGTCATACGCAAATTCACCAATTTGATCTTCATCTATTCCCATTTCCTCTGCATTATAATCAACTCTCAACTGTAGCCCTGGAATGAAGTTAATCACAAGGCATAATAATGCAGTAACGCCACCAGAATATGCTGCTGTAGCGAGGATGTAGACGATCTGAATATACAACTGTTTGTAATTGTGGTCAAGCCAGCCGCCTTGGTGGTCTGTGACGCCATCATAACCTATAACAGTCTTGCTTCCAAATAATGCATTGAAAATCAAACCAACTATACCAGCGATGCCGTGCTCTGCTAAGATATCCAAAGAATCGTCAACTCTGCATAGGTATTTGATTTTAGTGGAAAAATTACAGACCACACCAGCAGTGATTCCAAGTATAATTGAAGCCCATAAAGGAATTACTCCAGATGATGGTGTTGCAGCAACGAGTCCAGATATACATCCGGAACAAACAGCTACCATTGACCACTTCTTCTCGAGCCTAAAATCGAGAAGACACCAAGTAGCAGCTCCAAATGCACCACAAAGATGAGTGTTCATCATGGAATAAGCAACTTTCATAGAGGGATTCGCACAAGAGAACCCATTAAAGAATAGCCAACCACAATATAAGAGAGCAGTACCTAGAAATATGGTCGAAATATTATGTGGTCTATAATTAATCATAAGGGTCTCGTTCCTTCTTCCTAAGAAAGCGCTGTATACGAATGCTGACACTCCGGACAAAATCTCCACTGGACCACCTCCAGCATAATCTAATGCTCCTCCTCTCCATGTAGAGGCCCAACCACCACCCCAAATCCAATACACAACTGGGCAGTATACAATTGTTGACCAACAGAATAATAGTATAGAAGCTGGTAGGAACCTCCCTCTTTCTCCAATACAGCCACCTGCGAAAATGGCCAAAGTTACTAGCATGAATTGCATCTGGAAAAGAGCAAATGCTATTTGAGGGTACTCTGTATCTGAATCTAAACTTCCTAATAAATTTTGAAATCCAAAATTATGTAAATCTCCAATAAAGTTGTTCCCGGATTTATCAGAAAATGCCAAAGAATATCCCCAAAAATACCACTGAAACGTGCCCACAAATGAAGCCATTATAACGATCCATATCATAGACAACGCACTTTTTCTTCTTGATAAACCTGAGTATAAAAATGCCAAACCCGGTACCATAATCCATATTATTGAGGAAGCCACTGTAAACATAAGCACATGGCTTTCATCATACTTCTCATTTTGTGTGAATAGTTTTCTCCTGCTTATTATACCATTCACTGAAGTGTCCACTGACCCCATAATTTCATTCCCCATATCTGGGTAAGTAGTCTAAACTGAAGCCAAAAAAAAAAAAAAGAACTGCTGTGAAAACTGAAGAATTTCAAAAAAAAAATTTTCTGTAGAAATATGCTCTATCTTATCTGACAAAATTTTTCAGATAGTCTGTTCAACAGGTCAATGGCCTGCTATATAATAATACCCTAAACGATTAAACTCTTAGGCAATGATTGCGGAAATTTCTTATGTGAATTTGAATATATATAAACACTACCTCATCTATATCCGGTCTTAATTTTTTGCAGTGACTAACCGAATTATAAGGGATGCTAACGCCTGACACTGGCTGGCGATATAACTAAGAAAAAGCACTCTGGCAGTTGACCTGCATGAACATCAAGGTCCCTGATGCGCTTCCGGGATTTTGATACCTCATTTATGATCCTAGGGTCTCATCTTGCTTGCTATAATTATTCGAGCTATTAGAGTCTACGTTTAGGCTTGTGGTCGTATGAGTTCGATCGCTACAGAGATACTATTAATCGGTAGACGCTACTATTTCTTGGTAGGTGCAGATCATTGGGGAGCATTGTTACTTGGCCATCACAAATCAATTGGTGTAAAATTCAGAAATTCTTGGGCCATAAATTGTGTCTATATACAGCCCTTTTAAGATTAAACTGTTCTGGCCAATAGCTCAAGAGGATGACTTGATAAAGATTAGTGCGATGATTGGCTCCAAACTAAAACTAAGTATGTGCAGTATGTGAAAATTTGCAACTTTTTCCGAATTTGGCCGTGACGGCCGGTGACGGCCGGTGTTTACCGTTTACGGCGACGGCGTTTCATATAATAAAGTTTATTGTGAGAGCATTATTTGCTGAAGTTATATATGAAAGAGAAGAGAAGTTACTAATAGAAGAGAAGAGACAAAGCTAGAGGATACTCGAGCGGCATTTCCTTGGTAAGATACGAGACCCGATGGGAGAGATGGCGCAGAACTGGTGTCAAAGTAGGACAGAGTAGCTGCAAAATCAGATGAATGCGACGACGGATTGATCAGCTCGCTGTTGAAGTAGACTGTAGAAGTTGTTGTGACGTTCACATATCCGGTGGTGCCTACCAAGGGTTCGCTTGGAGAAATAATAGTATTGCAGCTCAAACAAGCAGACGTCGTAATGGAGATAGTTGGGTTTTCGCTTGTTTCTGCTAGAGACGAAGATGGAGAAGCGATCGAGAAAGTTTCTGTACCGGATTCTGATATATCAGTACTCAATTGTTCTGTGTAATGAGTTTCCAGTGAACTCTCTGGTTGTCTGTCGCTAGAAATATTTGAAAGTTCCGTAACCAGACTCAGCACTTCTGGTAGTATCACTGAAGACGGCATACTTGATGTTCCCATAAGTGAGGATGAAATCTTTGTAGTTGTTTCTGTAGGTAATGGTGTTGACTGCGAAATACTAAAGTCATTCGCAGTACTACTACAAGAAATTGTTGTTAAAGACGTTTGCGTTTGAGTTTCGTGCACCACTGAGGTAGACTCTGTAGACGGTGTTAGCGAGGTACTTGTTGTTTCTTCTTTTTCAGTACTAGCTGTTGAAGATGTTGATTCAACCGAAGATACTGTGCTGCTTTCAATCGAGGATGATTTCAGGGATGTGTTGACCTCACTGTAGCTACTAGCAAATGAAGATGAATCCTGAGTTGCGCTCTCTGTCACAGAAGTGCTTAATAAGGTGGATGATTTCTCGATGGAAGTTGCTGATGACTCTCTGGAGGTCTTCGCCTTTTCCGTAGATTCAGTGAAAGTGGAGGGAACTTCATAAGGTTCTGAAGAGTAAGTGGTAGCAAGCGAGGATTCGGCTGCTGTCGAAGAAATAATTGCGGCAGAAGATGTTATAATCGTTATGGTCGATGATGATTCCAGACATTGAGGACAAGGTACTGTGACCACTGTAGTTCCTGGTACTGTAACAGTTGACATATCTGTGTTCTTGGAAGAACCGCCTGATACAGATGTTTCAAGTAAAGACAGAGACAGTGGTTGAATAACAGAAGAACTCATCGCTTTCTCTGTTACACTTCCTGAAGAAGAGTATGTCCCATCGACTAGTTTAATCACCCTTCCAATAGCATCGGTGATTTCAGAGCCGTCTGCACAATTAATTGAGTAATAGTATTCATGCTTTACACTGTATGTCGACTTTTCATATTCCTGAAACCCCTCCACAAAAACCCTTTCGCCTTCTTCGATATCCTTGAACTTGGCTATAAGCTTGGTGTTATCACTAGAGCAAGAAATTACAGCAGATGATACTTCTTCGTCAGATTTGGGCAAATAAAAATCATTCAAACTATTAGTAGACATCACTTTAAATTTTGAACAGTCGAAAGTATCATTCGTAGAGATTCCAATTGTTCCTGAGCTAATACCACTACGACAAGTACCCGATAATGCGTATATCTGCTCAAAGTTTTGTGGAGTTGATCTAGAATAAAAAACCAATTTATTGTTGTCATTATCGTTCGGTTTGAAAAAAGGCCCGCCATCAAAACTGACCGTAGTTGATAAGTTTCCCCATTCAACATTATTGGTTCCAGAGTGCCAATGTTTTGCTGACTCTAAATCAGAGCTAGAAGATGACCCCCCTGCATTAAAAACGAAATCAAAAGATAGTTTACCACTTGCAATTATATTCTCATAATTATTAATTACTGATCCAACAGTACAGTTCAAAAAGGTTGTTGTATCCATGTAGGATCCATCTTTTGCTGTACAAGTTGCGAAAGTTTTCCCGTTTGCCACTAATGGTAAATCACCACCACCATATTTCGTCCTGAAAACATACGGCAAACTGAAAGAAAACACATCATTTGGAAAAGCATAACCTGTCTCTAACTTCCATGATAATGTAGCCGTTCTAATATCTTGTGGTCTATTTAGGGTCGACGGGTTAGAAATACTCAATGATTGAAACACATTATGAATATTTGCAGCCAAAGTCGCCGAAATATAGATAAAATTAAGCAAGTATGCTTTTAAAGCCATCTTATTTTAAATTATTAAAACTGAAGGAAAGCGAAAGTTGAGGATTTATTTCAAAAGAGTGACTGTCTTGTAATAGGACAGTTTACAAAGAATAAGCAGATGGCCCTCGATATAAATAATGCCTGTGACATGAATGTCGAGAATGTTTCATTCTGACTGCGAAAGAATAAGATATCCCATACATATTAAAATTATTACCATTTTGAGCTATTATAAGTTCCTTTTCAAAGTTTCAAACAGACTTCAAAACAAGCTTTTAAGGAAGGATTCCAATAATCTTAATTTAAAAAAATATAATTTTTTCGAGTTTATACCTTTTGCGTCTCAATGGGGTAACTTTTTACTTTTTTTTTTTTCATTCATGAATTAGCTATTTCGCAATCGCATCATAATGACAATTTTGATACACATTACATTTCTATTCTCGCCGTCGGCCCTCGTGTGCTTAATACTGCAACTATTTACAAAAATATACATTACTCGTTAATATGTCTAATTTCTCTAGTCTATATCATCATTATTTTTGCCTCCATAACGCTCGTAGAAATGAAAAGATTCAAAGCCTACTTCAACCATAATCAAAATTATGATAATCCACTCAAGTCTAGCTCCTTTCTTTTCACTTAAAACACCAAGAAGAGCTCTTTGTTCTTCAGTAGCATAATCAAGTTTCCTGTTTAAAATGCTGATTCGGGGATTTATGTCAAGGACTCTTGAAACTGACTCGTAAATCCTTTCCAAGGTAGGCTCAGTCCAGTAGACGTCTGGAGTTTCAATCAATTCACTGTACAAATTTAATTTACCTCTTAATAGGAATAACCGACCAGTAAGTCTTAAAAATGTAGACTCCGAGCCAGAAATCTTGACGCCTTTTGATAAATTCTCAGAGTTTTTTCTTGTAAGAAGTAAATGATGCTCCAAAGCATCCTCAAGTACAGATAACCTCGTAGACCTAGACAATCCGATAGCAAACGCCGTTTTATCTAGTAGGCGCTTGCTCTTATCAGACCCTTGTATGACAATGATTTCACCCAGTAGATAAGAGTTACCATTGTTCAAGGGGTTGCTCGGCAAGTCTTTTAATTCTACCCAGTCCATCTCCTCTGTCTCAATTTTATACATTTCCACTAAAGAGTTTTTTATAAGAGACAAAAAGCTCTCAATAGCTTCTTCTGTAAACCCCCAGCCCACTAAGGTTCCGTTTGATAAAATCATTAGATCCTTTCCATCCACTTTAACATTGACAACTTCATCTGGAATTATTTCAGAAAATTTGTAGATACTAGGTATAGTTCTTATGAGCTTCTCGAAGTTGATAGATTCGGCCACTGTCATCGAAATAACTGGGCTAAGATGTTTCTCTAGTTCTTCAAGGTTTTTAGGTTCATTGTTTTTGTTCAAGAGGCCCAAGATATAGCTAGTTGATTCATTTTGAAAGCTGTTTTCTGAGTTGGAAATCTTTTGAATAGCTTGGATCTTCTTCTGCAGCTTTGATTTCTTTGTCTTTGGAGACTGTACGTTAGCGTAACTTCTTGTCCGCTGGTAAGTTGAAGTCACTAATCTCAAATCCGATCGTAACAACAGTATATTTGCTCGGCGCAAGGAAGCTACTTGAGGGATTATTTTGCATTCCACTGCTCTTACACCTCTAGATATCATCACCTTTTTCCCAATGATTCCAGTTGACCTGAGCTCCAATCTCAATCAACTTTTTGTTTTTGCGAAGTTGGGCTATATGAAGGAACATCTATCGCTTGCCAACCGTGTGCCTACCGGATAGATGAGCTCTACCAACACCGCCGAAATGCGCAAGGTTTCGCGTCCGACAGAAAATTTGAGCCTACGCACCTCGAAAGCTCTTTTAGCGAGAATGCAGCATATGTAAAATCGACCCAGGAAGGAAAAATTCCAGAATTAGACTGTCCTAGAACTGATCATGGGAAGCTTATGAATAGGGGATACACGGTACTCAATAACAGTAAACCAAGGTGTGGGGGTCTTAAAAAGTTTCTAGTACTTTGAAGCTTGCTTCATAGCTACCTGCGCCGCTATAAAAAAGACCGAGAAAAATTTTTGAAAGAAGAAATGACACCACGAAGCAGTGAGAAATCCTTGAGACCATGCGCCACACTCGCTAGCACTCCACTTAAATCTCTTGGGTCTATTATTAGCCTCTGGTGACATTTTAGATTTCTAGCTGGACTTTCGTCCCACGCCAGTCTCGCCAGGAGTCAGTATCTCTATTTACATTTTCACTGAATGGGGAAACGTAATAGCATATTGTCCTGATTTCGAAGGTTATCGGTCTAGTCCAAACAGATAACACCTTCAATATCCGGTTTAAGAGCGCGCCTCATAATTAGGTAAATTAATTGCATAGTACTGCTACGACAGCTTTTAGGCGAGAATGTAGATAGATAGAAATACCTAGAAGCGAGTCCGATAGTAGTTTAGTAATTAATGGAATGGGCCAACACCAATGTTATATACTTTGCTTAATTATCTCTAATATATTCGTTCCAGTAAAAAAACGTTTATAGAAAGTTATAGAAGACATATCCGTAATCCGGATGACACAGGTGCGGATTTGTTTACATCATCAAAAAAAGTGATTTTAATAGAACATCCAGCTGGCAAAAACGTAGAAGAATCACAAAACGCCCAACTTTTTCCTATTTAAATTTGAAGGAATAGCCTTTTTTCGAATAAGAGGCGATAAGCTGAGTATAAAAGCCACTGGATTGCAAAACTCTGCAGACAAGGTTATAATAAGGCTTAGAAGTAACACGACCAAGCTAAGCGCTAGATACTTATAATAGATTTAAGCGCTGAGTGATTATGTGGTAAGTATCAGAAATATAAATAATGCAAAATATACATTGAGAGGTAAATTACTAACTTTGCAGTGGAATATTTGGATACGTAAATTTTCTAGTTGATAGAACTAGGGGAGAGATTATCGATAATCTTATTGAAGGTCTTCTGAGATTGGAATATAGAGGTTATGATTCCAGCGGAATAGCTATCGATGGAGACAAAAAGGGCGAAACAGTAATCATAAAGAGTACAGGAAAGGTTAAAGTTTTGAAAGAGGAAATTGAAAGGCAAAAAGTCGAAAGATCGACTGTTTTTGATAATCATGTAGGAATCGCTCATACCAGATGGGCTACCCATGGTCAACCTCGGTATGAGAATTGCCATCCTCATAGATCAGACCCTTCAGGAGAATTTGTAATTGTCCACAATGGTATTATTACGAACTATAGGGCTTTAAGAATTTTGTTATTGTCAAAAGGCTTTGAATTTGAATCTGAAACGGATTCAGAATGTATTGCTAAATTGTTCAAGCACATTTATGATACCAGTTTGAGAGCTGGAATCTCCTTGGATTTCAATGAGTTGACCAAACAGGTGCTATATGAATTGGAAGGCTCTTATGGATTATTGGTAAGATCTACACATTATCCAGGTGAGGTATGTGGAACTCGTAAAGGTTCGCCTTTGTTGGTCGGTGTTAGAACTGAAAAGAAACTTAAGGTTGATTTTGTTGATGTTGAGTTTCCGGAGAACAACTCTGAGCCAATTTCTTACTTGAATCCGGCAAGTGACACTGGATTACTTGCTGTCGCTGCAGGTGAGGCAAGTTTGAGAACCTCTCAATCTAGAGCCTTTCTTTCAGAGGATGGTATTCCTATGCCAGTAGAATTCTTTTTGTCTTCGGATCCTGCTTCTGTCATTCAACATACTAAGAAGGTTTTATTTTTAGAAGACGATGATATCGCTCATATCTATGATGGTGAATTACATATTCACAGAGCTAAAAAACAAGCTGGCGAATCTACTACTAGACAAATTCAGACCTTGGAGATGGAATTAAATGAAATTATGAAAGGTCCATATAGTCATTTTATGCAGAAGGAAATCTTTGAACAGCCGGACTCTACCTTCAATACTATGAGAGGAAGAATTGATTTTGAGACATCAAAGGTGACATTGGGTGGGCTTCAGTCGTGGTTAACAACAATCAGAAGATGTCGAAGAATCATTATGATTGCTTGCGGTACTTCTTATCATTCTTGTTTGGCAACTAGGTCAATCTTTGAAGAATTGACTGAAATCCCAGTCGCCGTTGAGTTGGCTTCGGATTTCTTAGATAGAAGATCACCTGTTTTCAGAGACGATACTTGCATTTTTGTTTCTCAGTCGGGGGAGACTGCAGATTCAATATTGGCTTTGCAATATTGCTTAGAAAGAGGAGCTTTAACTATTGGTATTGTGAATTCTGTTGGCTCTTCAATGTCAAGACAAACTCATTGCGGTGTTCACATTAATGCAGGTCCTGAGATTGGAGTCGCCTCTACGAAGGCTTATACCTCTCAGTATATAGCATTAGTCATGGTTGCATTATCTCTTTCAAATGATTCAATTGCAAGGATTGAACGTCATAGAGAAATTATCAAAGGGTTGCAGAAAATTCCCGAGCAGATTAAGACTGTTTTGAAATTGGAAGAACAAATCAAAAAATTATGTGACAGTACATTGAATGATCAAAAGTCTTTACTTTTACTAGGTAGAGGGTATCAACATGCCAGCGCTTTAGAGGGAGCCTTAAAGATAAAAGAAATTTCTTATATGCATTCCGAAGGTGTTTTGGCAGGTGAATTAAAACATGGTGTCTTGGCTCTTGTTGATGCTAAGTTGCCAATTATTGCATTTGCAACCAGAGATTCCTTGTTCCCTAAGGTCATGTCTGCAATTGAGCAAGTTATAGCCAGGGAAGGTAGACCAATCATTATCTGTAATGAGGGAGATGATAGAGTTGCAGCCACTAAAGCTTTCTGTACCTTACAAGTTCCAGAGACTGTGGACTGTCTACAAGGTCTTTTGAACATTATCCCCTTACAATTGATGAGTTATTGGTTAGCCGTTAACAGAGGTATTGATGTTGATTTTCCACGTAACTTGGCCAAGTCGGTTACGGTCGAGTAAGGATATTTCAAAACGCCAATTTGGAATACAATGGTAACTGAAATACCAATGAGTGAGGATATGCAATCGATACCAGATATGAATGATTATCGAGCTCTGCGTATTTATGTAATTACAGGGGATCCAATTCTTTCTTTAAATAATCTATTTAGTATATTAATTTAGCCACCTTTCAATATCACGAGTGGCAAAGCGTAGAATATTTGCTAGATGTCTAGGAGAATTCTACTAGCTACAATCTTCGCGTGTCATCAAATAAAATTTATGTATTAGCACAAAACACTATAAACCGATTCCCTCGTAGATTAAAACTACTTGATAAGTATAAAAGAAAGCAAACATAAGATCAACATCCTCCAGAGAGGCAATAAAAGATATGACTTCTATTTGCGCTTAAAATATTCGGAAGAACCGAGATATGCTGCAGAATAGTCAAATATCCTTTCACCTAGATCTAAGTATTTAGATGCATAATACTTCACATTGTCATTTTCTACCTTTTCAAAGTTTGGGCTGAGATGTTAATATATACTTTCAATCCTCATTTTCAATAATGGTAGCACGACCATAACAACAAATACTTACGCTAATCCTGTGTTTCTTTTAACCCCAGCCAAAAACGCTGAAACCAAAACTAGGTCGAAGCCTATGTGAGCAGCCTTGCCAATCTAAGGTTGTTAGTATACCATCAGATCGTAGACCTTATTTCTTCACTTACCATTTAATCTCAATTGTGATAAATGTTTCTAACAATCATTTAGTGTGTGGTGATATGAAGAAGGCAAATCTTAAAAGAATCATAATGTTACCCGGAAACTATCTCAATAATCATTGACCCTTGAAGCTTTAAAAATAAGCGTTGGCAATACTATTAAGCAAACAAGAAATAAGTAAAGCTTGATATAATGAGGTTGAAGAAGTCATAGAAACTCAAACAAACTGGATAAATAAAGTGGATAAGTTGCTTTACAGGGAAATATCCTAGATGTTTCCTATATAACTATATATATGTCAAAAGTTATAGAGAAGATCGGATACGGATTTGAAAGGTAAATTCAACATAAAGAAATTTGAGACTATGCAGCGTGGCGATATCTTAAACATACTAATAACTTGATTCAAATTAAGGGGTAAGTCCCGCATACTTGGTGTGACTCTCGTAACTTATTTCACTAGATTGCGTATGTCCGCTGCGTCCGTCTGATTGTGCAAACTTGAACAAAGAATAAGCAATATTTCAGAAGGTGTCCTTTCTTTAATATGCCAGTTGTTTCCACTGTTACTTGGAGCCAGACATTAGTGGCGCTGCGCTGAGCTACACTAAAGGGTGATATTCGCTCCTCTTGTAAACTTTCTCTACAACATGTGAATCTTTTTTTTATTGTTTTCTGATTCATTACAACCTTCTATTCCATCGTCATAGTGTTGAGCGTTTCATAATACCGTTATCAAGTTTGGAAGGCTATATTTGGTTATTTCATGGCGTCTTTTTAGTTGGTAACTCTTTGACAGAGTTCCGGGTAAATTATGATGAAAAGAAGACTTACTTTTCGCCTTTACATTATGAAGTGCTCTTCTTATTGAGTATAAGTATTGGACGCTGAAGGCCTTTCTAACTGATTTAATCTGTCGCATCAAACCAGCTAGTAAATGTCGGATCGTTATAGGCCCCCTACAGGCCCAAGGAACAGTTCTAAAAAATATGACGATCGAAAGAATGGCTCGAAGCCTAGTTATAAATCGTCATATTCAATGAGGGACTCTTCTTCGCGTGACAGATATCCTCCAACTGGGCCGAAGCGATATACGGAAAGAGATACGTATCGCTCTGGATCTTCACAAAATGATGCATATCAATCGGGAGCAAGAAACAGACCATCAGGTCCTTCAGGATATAGACCATCAAATAGTGAAGGGAGAAATTACACTAACACGAATAATGTTTCTAGAGATCATAATGGAAAATCAATAGGTCAAGGAGGAACAAAAAGACTGTTCCCCTCAGAACCCAAGGGATTTGCAAATGATAAAAAAAGGAGAGATTTAGGAGGTCCTTCTTCTGTCCCAACAACGGCTCCTTCCACAGGTTATAAAGATAATGGAGGTGGGTACAGAAATGCAAGGTATGACAGCAAACAGAAAGTTAATTTTAATAAGTTCCCAAAGGGTCCTAAGTCTTTGGGGGGGCCCGTTGATAAAAATCGCTTCTCGGGAGGTGACTTCAAAAGACAGGTTACTCCATCTGCAATACAGTTGAAAAAATCACAGATTTATTCTGTTAAAGTAAGCAAGCCTTTTGAGATATATGAAAGAGTACAACAGGTGGGCGAAGGAACTTATGGTAAGGTTTATAAAGCTAAAAATTGCATAACCGAAGAATTTGTTGCCCTCAAAAAATTGCGATTAGAGAGCGAACGTGAGGGGTTTCCAATAACTGCAATGAGAGAAATCAAGTTACTTCAGTCTTTTGATCACGAAAATGTTGTTGGCTTACTAGAAATGATGATTGAACACAATCAGATATATATGGTTCTTGATTACATGGATCACGATTTAACTGGTTTACTTACTCATCCCGATTTAAAGCTTGAAGAAAGTCACAAAAAGTTTATATTCAAACAATTAATGGAGGGTCTTAACTATTTGCATAAGAGAAGAGTTATTCATAGAGATATCAAGGGCTCCAATATACTTTTGGACAATATGGGGAGGGTCAAGATTGCTGACTTTGGATTAGCCAGAACTATGAAGATAGTGAATGATCATATAAGTCCTGATTACACCAATAGAGTTATTACCATATGGTACAGACCTCCTGAATTATTATTGGGTTCCACTAATTACGGAAGAGAAGTTGATATATGGGGTGTTGGGTGTCTTTTAATAGAGCTATATTCTAAAGTAGCAGCATTCCAAGGATTTGAAGAGGTTGGCCAACTACATAAAATATTCAATATAATGGGTACTCCTACCGTTGAAAGCTGGCCGGAAATTGAAGACTTACCATGGATTGAAATGTTGAAACCCAAAATTAATAAGGCTAGCAATTTTAGAAATCAATATGCGTCAATCATGTCGGAGCAAAGTTTTGACCTTGCAGAAAAATTGTTGCAGTTGAATCCTGCAAAAAGATTGACGGCAGAGGAGGCATTGCAACATGCTTATTTTACTGACCAACCGGCACCAGAGCCACTTCTTTTTCTTAAGGACATCAAAGGTGAATGGCATGAGTTTGAAACGAAAAAGAGAAGAAGAAAAGAGAGAAAAAGATTACAAGAAGAAAAAACAAACCAGCAGTCTCTCGCACAGCTGGTTCCTCAAACTCAGCCCAGTGCTCCTCCTTCACAACAAATGATAACACCGTCTCAAACATTAGCATCCCCATCTCAGGCGGTCAACGGTATTTCAGATACGCCGTTAGGTGTACCTGAATAATGTATGTATTTCATTGAACTTCCTCTCTTATAGTTGTTAATGCTGTGAATATATAAGACTAAATTTAGAGCTTTCTTTTAGTTCTGTGGTAGTTTTCCTACTCGAGTGGTACGGGCCGCGGATAATCATGATCTTCTACATGTGCGTCTACGAGATCCTATGACCAAATGTCCTGGACATTTCGTTTTTGCAGTTGCAACTTATATAAGATGACGCTTTCAAATCAAGGTGTTGCAAGATAATTTATATCTCCGTTGCGGGTTATCTCCCAAAGGAGTGAGTCGTAAACCCAGCTTCTACAAAATCAAATCAAGCTAAGTGACTTGCCCTTATTGGATGCAGAACTATAAATTTGTAGAAACTCTTGCATTGCCAGAGCAAACTTCGTCACCTTAGCCGTATGTTGAGTCAATGAAAAGTGGCGACCGCATATCGTACGATACATAAAAGCAGGGGTAATTCTGAAATGGTAAAACCATGAACTCAATTGATATCTTTTGCTGATCTAGCAGTGTCAACTTTTCTCTTCTTTGAATTAGCTTGAATACATAAGAGTATGCTGATTTCTGAATATAGACATGGGGCTCTCTCTGGGTCTCAATTGTCCGCATACCAAACTTCTATTATAAAAGCAATCCTTATAATAGGATACAATGTTTCTATGCAGTCGCTTTAATCTTACTCAAAAAAGTTGCTAGACTTTTTAAATGAGTAAAGTTTAGTGGCTAATTCTAATATCCAATAATCCAACTGTGATAGATTCTCGTTCTATTAACACTTCACTTCTTCAGAAGTAAGGCTCATCTTAATTAGAAAGTTTTGAGAAAGAAATACATAATACGATTCAAGTCAGCGAAGCGGTAGTAGCGGTCCATCCATATATCATAAGAGCAGATTCACATCTTGAAATTTCAACATGGGCCTGTGTCTTTCGAAGCAGTCATCAGAGCTGAATGAAGCTCCTAAAAGTGGCAAGGAGTCCACGAGTGGCGAGACAACGACCCAAACTAAACGACAAAACCAAAAGCATGCACTAACATCATCTAATAACAATTCCTTGGCCTCCAACAACCTGAAACAGAATACTCTGGAAAGCACTGCAAGTACGAACCAAGACAATGTGGTACCGAATGGATCTGCATCAAACACAGATAAGGAAGTAAAAGTGCTACTTCTAGGATCCGGAGAAAGTGGAAAATCGACTATTGTCAAACAAATGAAGATTTTACATCAGAATGGCTATACTAAGGAAGAGCGATATGAATACAAGCCTTTTGTATACAAAAACATTTTAACCTGTATCAAAAATATTATAAATGCAATAACTGATTTGGAACCCGATTTAATTCACGATTCACATTCCCGCAAGGAAAACTCAATCAAAGATGAAGAAGATAGTCTCGAAGATTTTAAGGGAGAGAAACCAAACGAAAAGCATGTTTTGAACTACGAAGATATGAATGAGGTTTTAGACTACGATATATCTATCGACTCCGAAGAGCAATTTAGTCCAAAAATTGCTGGTATAATTGATCATATTTACAAGGTTCAGGAAGTGCAAAATTTCATTAAATATCAACAGGGGAATTTTTATTTTGTTGATTCTTCTGACTACTTCTTATCTGATGTGAAAAGATTTGCACAGCCAGATTATATACCAACAGTCAATGATATTTTAAGGACTCGTAAAAAGACGTCTGGTATATTTGATTTTAGGTTCCAAATGAGTGGTCTTAATATTCATATGTATGATGTTGGGGGACAAAGATCAGAGCGTAGGAAATGGATTCATTGCTTTGATAATGTGACATTAATTATATTTTGCGTTGCCTTATCTGAGTATGATCAAGTTTTACTAGAGGAAAATAATCAGAATAGATTAGAAGAATCGTTAGCGTTGTTTGATTCAGTCGTGAATTCCAGGTGGTTTTCAAGGACTTCAATTGTATTGTTCTTGAACAAAATTGATGTTTTTTCAAAGAAGTTGCCATATTCTCCTTTGGAAAATCATTTCCCTGACTATACAGGCGGTGACAATATCAATAAAGCTGCGAAATACATTCTATGGAGATTCACTCAACTTAACAGGTCAGGTTTGTCAATCTACCCTCATGTTACGCAAGCCACTGATACCTCAAACATCCAATTAGTTTTTGCAGCAGTCCGAGAGTCTATTTTAGAAAATGCCTTAAAAAATACGGGTATTTTATAAGGCGAATGCTCTCAGCTATGAAATACTGATAAGGAGATACTCTATGAAGTATAGTAAATTCAAAGAACTTTTTTGAACATCCGTTGATACCTACTGTAGGCACATTTGGAATATACTGAATTAAGTATATTTTTGAGATTTATAAGAACACTTTTATCTACATAAATCTTATTTCTGGGTAGTTTATATTTATATTTTACAATTGGGCCATGCGATTATAAAGGCTATTTACATACCCTTAGCACCATAACTTAATTAACATGAAATACATCTCGCTTACGTTTCGTCTGAAGTGTTATAGGCGAGTCCTAAAGATTTTAAGTAGTTTTCGAAACGGGCTCGACAGAATCACGTTTATTGTGACCATTATTTGATTTTTCTTCACCTCGGTGCAAATCTATTTTTCCATCGTCAGTTTTATTACGAACATAATGAAGGTTGAAATTAGATCCTCTTCTACCATTTCCTCGATAGTTACCTCTTGAGCCTCTGAGTGAAGATCGAGTAGGGCCCTTGTTTGAACCCCTTGATCTCGTTGCTCCTCTTCCACGACTCGGGGATGTGTTACTATGTTCAGTCCCCGTAGGTGAAAAAGAAATATCACGATCAATTCTAGCATATGGTAGTTTCGTGTCTTTCTCGAAACCGTCGGCGCTTTCCTTAGATTCTTTTGATGAGCCCCGCTCCGCAGGAGTATCTTCATTATTAACCTCAGCAGTGCCTTTCGATTTCTTAGTCTCATTCTTAACCTGACTTTCTCTCGAAGCACTTTTAAGAGTTGACTTGTCTTGCTCGTGCTTGACTTTTTGAGCACGAGCGATCTCACTCTTCTTGCTTTTGAGTTCATTATGGGAACCATTCCGCTTTTTTGTATCAGTCCTGTTGTTTCGAGATAGATGATTTTGACTTTTTCTTTCTTGATCGATGGGCCCCTCCAGCTTATACTTCTTCGGAATTGGCGTTCTATTAACTAAAGATGCTGAGCGAGACTCTGGACTCAATGAAGAGTCGGAGAGCTGACTTGAGCGACTCTGATTGGTTTCTTTCGCACCATCTGTTGATGAATTTGATTTTTCGATCCTCGACGTAGCAAGTTTCGACGATTTCTTAAATTCCATATCCCTTGAGGCGCCTCTATTTCTCCTCTCAGATTCCTGTGGCCTCCGATTGCTGAGATGGTCACTCCTCGATGACGCTTGAGATGAATTGTTGGAGTTGTTGCGTTTCATTTTTGCAGCATTTGACCTTTTAACTATTTCATTTAAATGCTTTCTGAAGTCTGGTCTCTCTTCAGTGGGATGCAGTGATGAACGACGAACATTTCTGTTTTCATTAGACGGGTTTGATGACGCTTTTTCGTCATTATTGGATGAAGATGCAGGAGCAGACTTAGCGATATTCTGTTTCTCTTCCAAAGTTGCGCCATTTTCATTAACAAGTGCTTCTTCTTTACTTGCTTCATTCCCTTCTTTCGGTTCCTCCTTGCTATCAGCAGTCTCATCACCAACGGCTGGCTGCACTGTTACTTTCTTTTTTAAAATAACAGGTTTAGCAGCACTTTTCTTAGGTGCTGAAGATTTCGATTTTATTGGAGTTTTCCGCCCACCAGGCGATGTTGCGACATGACCTTCCTGGTCGGAACTTAAAAGCTGAGCGAGACTCAAACCATTACTTCTTGATGAATAATTCGACGCCGGTATAGGGGCAGGAGAAAACTTTTTCATAGTTTCTCGTGTTTCATTAGCTTCTTTTAAATCTTTGCCAGAATTTCCTGAGACATGTGATTTCTCGAGTGGTACTTCAGGCGATTTTCCATCAATTTCTTTTGGAATTTTATCAGAATGCTGTTCCTTTTTTGAATGCTCTTTGAACTCGCTGACGTCCATTTTCTGTGCTTTGTCCGTAGATCTTTTCAAAATATTCATCGGTTGACGTTTGTTCTCACTGTCGTGCTTTACATGCCCATTTTTTTCAACGTTTGCAGCATCTTTTTTAGGAGATTTGATTGTCATTTTACGCTTCTCAGGGTGACTTGTTTCATCCTTCTCTTCAGAACCGATTGTTTTTATTGTGGTATGGTTAACAGTTATTAATTTTTTGTCAATCTCATGCAGCTTTGCAAGTACATCAACAGGCTTTGCTGATCCGAAGGGATTGAATTTTGGCTTGCTCGGTTGGATTTTTAGTGGAGGTAGATCATCAGATTTTTGAGCTCCTATGTTATTGATATTCTTGTGGGTATCTGACATCTTATATTGAGAGTGACGAGGTGTTTTGCCAGAAAGAAATTCATCCTCTATACCTTCTAGTTCCTTCTCGTGTTCTTTATTGAAAGTTATGCAATATTGGAAGTCACTGAAGTCTGCCGGTTCCACATTGACTCTTCTGCCAGCTTTGTAATATAGATCCTGCCATTTCAAAGCCTTGGAAAAGTCCTGGAAAGAATGTAGTTCGACAAACGCAATTTTCTTAACTATGTGAGTTTCCAATACATTTGAAGAAGGATCAATCACTATCTTGAATTTAACAAATGGGGTATATCTACTCTTGAATAAGTCTTCAATAAAAGCGTCATTACAAGTTATCGGCAAGCTAGATAACTTGACAATGTAGGGAGGGCCAAAATCTTGTTGTATTGACTGACCATATGAATGTGGCCTCCCCATAATTCCTCCAGCTCTAGGTTTTCCAAATATGTCATCGGAATACGATGAATAATGTTTGTGTTTTTCTATAGGGACCGAAATAGACGCTATATCAATGTCATCATCTGCCCACGATCCGCCATATGCTATATTATATTAGTATCCAAATTTTGTTTCTCAAAATTCATCAGTACTTACATTCATCATTGAAGAACTCTTGTAGTGTCATCTTTTTTGGTGGTGCTTGATTGTGTTAGTATATTCAAATTTCTGCTCTATCACTTTATTTAGGCATCCATCTTTCTTCTTTATAAACTTACCCATATTGAATCAATAAGGTTTTATCTACCTAGCACTTTCTACTAATACAATCAATTGATTGAGTCCAATGTTTGAAGATGTAAACGTTCTCCTTACGACTAGTCATCGATAACGCTGACAAAAAATCACTTGTTTAAGAAGTCACGAGCAGCTCACCTAACGCGTTAACCAAATTCATACCCACAATTACTACAAATAGTAAAGAAATGAGGAAGAAAATAAAGAGGCATATAATTGTCTAAACTACTCTGTAAGGCCTAAAGATCCTTGTAATTATCATAAGTCTTCCTCCAATTTGCAAAGAAGCCTTTAAAGAATTTAATACCTAATCCTACATCTTTAGCACCAACAGTTGCCCTAATTGAATGCATACTTAACTGTGGAATTCCTAAGTCAATGGTTCTGGCTCCTGTTTGTAATGAAATAAAAGGTCCTATTGTACCACCAGACCTTGAATCATTACGAATTTGAAAATATTGAAGCTTATCATCATTTATGGACGCAAGTTGTTCTAATAGGGCTAGACCAGTAGAATCAGTTGCCATATGCCCATTAGGATCCAAAGCTATGGTTATTCCTTTATTGGGGATTGGTTTATGGTGCTCCAAGTATACTTCCTGGAAGTTTGGATTAAGCAAATGATTTACATCTGCAGACAAAATTATTGTGTTGGCATAGGCCAACGAAAGCAGTTCTTGACTGGCAGCGGCATATTCTTTAAATGATTCTGACAATAATACTCTTGATACGACCAGTTCAATCAATCCACCTTTTATACCTTGTCTCGTAGCTGAGCCGATTTCCTCATTGTCAAATAAACCGACAATCGAGAAGGAATCAGACGCAAGTAGATCATCTTGTGCCGCCTGAATTAGAGAAAAGATGGCTGCAAAGGAACAGACCCTATCGTCGACTCTAGGTGCAAAGATGAATTCCTTATTTAAGCCGCCTCTGGTTCCCTTTTGAACATCATATAATTGTAAGTCCCATTGAATAATATCGGAAACTTTGACGTTGGCGAGCTTTGCAATATATCTCAATAACTTCAATGAATGCTTTCCATAAAGTGGAGAGCTCTTTTCTTCGTCGGTAGCTGGAGACTCTTCTGCTGTCGAAAAACCTACAACAGGTACTGCCTGTGTTTCTTGGTTAAAAGGGCCGAGAGACGGAGCTCCAAAGTGGGGCGCCAAAGTAGGAACATGAGCAATTGGATGAGGTGTCAGATCTACCAATTGTTGCTTAATAGCATTCTCAGCATCTTTGACCAATAACCTTCCTCCGATACCTAAATCCCTATCCCACCATAAGTTGGAAAGACCGCCAGCATATGGAGCCACACCCAATAGATCGTAACCGTCAACTTTTTGCTTCGTAGAATTCGGTTTCAATGTGACAGTAAGGGAATCCACGTGTGATCCTATGATTCCAATTCCTTTTTCAGGGGTCCAATCTTTACCAACAACGAAAGCAGCCAATGCTGAACCATTTCTGTAAGTAAAATACTTACCTGGTTTCAATGTACTCCAACTTTCTTTCTCGGAAACGTAACTGAACCCAGCATCCTCCAACTTTGTTGCGAAATATTGTACAACGTGATAAATAGTTGGGTTCTTATATGTGAATTCGACATATTCGTCAGCAAACTCTTCAAAGAATTTCTCGTCATAGATGCCTGTGCCTGATGTTTCTACTATTGTCTTTGCCGGTGCTCCTTTCTCCTTTGCTAAATTCAACGCTTGGTCAAGAAGAGCCACAATCAGTGCATCTGTTACGCTCATCTCTATCACAAGTATTTATGTATTGAAACAGAGTATAGCAACTGGCTAGGATATTAAATATTTTAAATATGAGAGGCAAAGGCTTCCATTCCAAGCTCGATAACCAATTCGGTAACAATATTCCTAATCGCGAATGGTGAGAGCATAATCTATCTAAAAGGGTAAGAACTAGTTTTGTGGCCTTTTTGCCGCAAAAGTGGCAGCCACGATCAATGGGAACACAATGCTTGCATCAGCGTAGACTTTCGCTATCCTTGCATCAGCTTTGATCTTCCCCCAACTAATGGCTTCGTCAGGTCTTGCACCCGCGTCAGAACCATCGAATTCTTGACCAGTGTTGATGTAGACCGCAAAATCAGAGCCGTTTCTCATTAAGCATGCATTACAAATATGGTGCTTAACCAAACCACCACCTAAGATGATCATTCCCGCGTGGGAGGCTTCCATTGACATCGAGTTAATTTTTCTTATGTCTTCAACTATATCTAACCTTAACTGCAATGGCGAAGCCTTATAGGTGTGAAAAAATAACATATCCCCTATTGAGCCATCCGTCAAAGATGGGCAGAATATAGGTATTTTATTTTTATGGGCCCAGTATAAAACAGAACTTTCATCATTGATTTCTTTACCCAAGCGATCAATTAATTTAGAAGGAGTCCACACAGCGGCCGAGCCAGCATTTAATCCTTCGGGTCCAAGATCCTTCATAGCATTCTCCTGTTCTTCTAAACATTTGTCTAATATTGGCACTATCCATTCTTCAAATTTGCAGTAATTATCGTTGGGAACTAATAAATTACCAATTCTATTCATACCTTGATCTCTTAAAGGCTTACCTGGTAAGCTAAATTCACCAAGATACGTCGGAGCAAGACATTTGATTAAATCCTCTTCGACACCACCAGCACTAGATACAATGGCACTGACCATTTTGTGTTGCACCAAAAATCTTAATGTCTCTCTGAGGCCAGATGAAATTAAATTTGAAGTATAACCCAAAAAAATTGTTGATTTTTGATATCCTTCGTTATCAAATTCTCCTTTCCTCTCGTGTTCTCCTAGACTATCGATATGTTTCCCTCTCCAATTCCTCATCTTATTAATAACGTCACAAGACTCTCCTACAGAAGTTGCTTGAAATCCCATAGTCTTCATTGAATCAATGAGATCCGCTGCGTTCATATTGTAAGCATTTTCTTTAGAATAATCAATGCCTTTGACTTTTATGAAGTTATCGGGTACTGAAACAGACTGTTTCAAGACAGCATCTGATGCAAGTGGTGGTAACTTTGAACTGTCAGACATTTTATAAGCTATCTAGTATTAGAACGATATTTACTTCTTAGTTTTTCTAAATTTTTTTTATTTTTTTTTTTTTTTCCCAATCCAGTATCTTGATCCACCCTATTTGATAGCGCTTATAACTTACGTTTAGAATTTTGAATCTATTAAAATTTCTCATCCCAGAGTACATCAACTTTACTATTCAAGTATTCTTATGTATGTAATTTATAGTAAAAAGATATGCTACAGACAGCAAGAGAAAATATTTCATTAAAGCCCTCCTTAGGAAATCCAAAAATATAGTCAAAGAAGAAGCTCATGCGTTAAGTAAAATTGGCTTAAATTCTCTCCAAAATTTTAAAGTGTTCTCTCTTTTAAACTTCAATTCTTTCTTTGACCTTTGGAGCCCAGGCTTCAAATTTAGGCTTCGAAGTATTATACGTTACGAAGGCCCCAGGTGTACCAGTCATGTTCATGTCATGTTTCTTAACGGGATAACTCCTAACAGCCTTTAGATCCCCTTTCAATTTGTTTGGGGGAGTGTTGATACCATAACCCAACCAATAATGCCATCCTGGTTCAACCTTCGATATATCAATACCCCAATCTGCATATTCCACCCATCTGGTTCTCAAGTGAATCTCTTCTGGAACATTGGTTTCGTAATATTTGTTACCATAATCATCTTCACCCACAAACCAGCCTCTTTTGGTATCATTGTGATTTTGGATTTGCCATGCAGCCCTTCTCAAGCCTGACAGATAAATATTCTTGATAGTACGAATAAGAGACGTAGACATTTGTTAAAAGTAAAGAAGAATGAAGTTTGAATTTCTATTAGAAACTATTACGTGATTCGATTAATATCGACCCAGCTGATTGGTGAACATCCAACAATTTATATCACGTGACATTATAATTCTTCGATGTTATGAACAGGATCGCTAATAACGTTCAAAGCTACAATCAGAAATTGTCGTAATTTTTTTTTTTATTTCATATGGCTTTTTTTAACTATCATCTTGCATCATACACACGAACTCATATCCAAAACATAAGGAAAGAAATATAAATAGTTGAAATAAGATCTAACGGAACAGAATTAATTCTCTAAAGTTTGCTATCTGTGCTCTCCCTTTCAGATCTCATCAGTATAGTTTAATTTGGCTCCTCATAATGATCCTCTAAATAATATTGTGCTAAGGCTTTGCGGATCTTTCTAAAAGCTCATTAACATCAGTTGAACTGAGAACAACACCTTTTTCGGAGCATTTGGCTTTGGTTCTTAATTCACTACACAAGCAATCGATATCAATTTCAGTATACTTGGGGTGCGAAGTTAGCCTATCCCATATCTCAGAGCATCGTATTGTTTCTTCAGGAGCTGGAACAACAATATTATCATCTTCTTCTTCATCATCTTCGTTGTCATCTTCCTCACCCTTACCATATTTGTTGTCTTGTTTGGCAATGCCACCTACACTTCTTTTACGTGAAGATACATCGGTTGCTCTATCCGATGGTAAGCTACTCTTCACAAAATCATTGAAGTTGAAGTCAAGATTAACAGAATCTCGCAAAGGATCGTAAACTGATTCCTCGGTCACCAAAGAATCTATATGAGAATCTTTCGGAGGACTTTTATTATCACCAAATGCTAAAGATACATCAAAATTATTATCGTTTAAGAATGACAAAGGATCGTCTCCTTGTTGTAACTGAAAATCAAAACTATCACCACCAGTACCACTGAAGAAAGGATCACTAGTCTTGTTGGTCGACCTTACGCTACCCGGAGTTATAATGTTAGAGAACGGTGAGACATCAAAACCGTTGTCATCTCTCTTCGCTTTCGGTATTGGATATTGTTTCGTTCCGCATGCTTCATTAAGCTTCATACAAAAGGGATCTATCTGTTCCTCAAAATTGCTCCTAAATTCCAAATTGTCATATTGGTTTGACTTGACCGTATTAGGATTTGAACCGCCGCTCTCTGTATTGTTGGAAGAAGAATTAGGTGAAATCAATATATTTTCATTTAAAGGTGATGTAGAGGAAGATGATCCACTCACCAAATCCAGTGTTTGACTATTGCTCTTAGTATTTCGCAACCTCTTCAAATTATCTCGAGACCATGGAAACTCCGCTGAAAAGTTTGAATCACTTCTATGCTGTTCAGAGCTTAAAGATGGAACGTAGTTCCCATCAATTTGCTCTATTACTTTACTTGTTTCCGGAGCAGGCACCGAATTAAGAATATCCAGTGTAGAATTGTATTTGGAAAGCTCCTTTTTTAACATACTGACCTGGGCTCTCAAGAAATCGGTCTCAGTCACTGCCTTTATTCGCTCGTCTTCTAAGAGTTGTACTTTGTCCTCCAAATCTTTCATCTTTCTTTCCTTACGCTCTCGGTAAGCCCGTTGAGCTGCTCTGTTCTGAGCAGTTCTCTTGGATTTTGGTTCCGTGTCTAACGGCTTACGACCAGGTTTTGTATGAATTCTCTTGTCATTGTGATCGTCAGATAACGGGTCAACCTCTGATATATTTCTCTTTATTTCCGTCATTTTGAACCCTACTCGCTACTCTGTACTTGTCTAAATTCCTGCTGAATCTTCTTTATAGTCGTTTTAACTTTAAATTACTAATCGATGGATTTGTGCAGTTTTGTGTAACTACTGTCCCCAACTACTGTATCTTTCTTTTTTAAAATAAATTCAACCACAGTATAAAACCTTCTAGTTTACTATCTGGTTTATCTGTTGGATGAATGATATAACAATCTCTTGAATAAGTCTTAAAATTGGTCTTAATTCTTCTTATGTCAGTTATTCTTCTAAATCCAATTCCTCGACTGAGTCTAAATTGTTTAAAACGTCCCTTAGTATTTCAGAACTAACTCAATAACAAAAGAGCTGAGTTAGTCGCTCTATCTTTCTGCCCGTGCTGAATACCTCTTGAAGTCTTAAGGGTACTCTAACAAATCTTCAATGCAAAATTTTAAAACTTTGATATTTGCCACCATATGGCGTCTTACATCGTTATATAGTGCGAAGTTATCTCCGTAGTGTTTCTCCGTAAATGATAGAAGGTACATTATCACTAGGCAAATTCCAGCTTCTCCTCGTGTTGCACTGGTCCAGGACACGTACGGCTAGCTGGAAATATTATAACAACGTATCATGTTGCGTCGTTCTAGTCGTATTCCGCAGCGGATCCGCTTGGAGAATTGTGTTGCTTTCGGAGGTTTCCTAATAGAGATTTTGGCCTGGGGACCTATTCTAAGATTTTCTCCGCGACTGCATGTTGTATGCCAAAGGGCTGAGCGCACGGCGTGGTTCTCCTATCGGTCGTAAGAACTAGGAGGGTCCAGATGGTTGTTGTGGTTCGATTTACGTACAATGCCAACTTTGAAAACTTAATTGGGCATTTTCTTGCGACTTTCTGCGCGTGTTTCTATCTATGTTGCTATGATTGTCCTAATTTTCCGAGTCATAGTTCATATGCTTCGCGCAGTCAGCAATCTTTGACAGCGTCCTCGTAATTCCTAGGGATCAAGAGCCCGTTGACCGCCGTTCTCTGGGCTGGAGAAATAAAAGAGATGAGTCAGAGTTGGTCCCTAATGTCTACAAACCCTATCTAACACGCGTTGCAAAGCAGAAAAAACTGTCAATAGAAAGCAATCACAATGCCAGAGACTGAGTCAAGAAGTATGGAACAAGACTATGTAAGTTCATAATTGAGAAGGGGTTTGTTTTGATAATAACGAGGTTTCTTTTTGGGAAGAGTGAATTACTAACAACGATATAGGAAGCACAAATCGATCGTTTGCGGAAGACTAGGTCCATGTTGGAATCTGTGCGGCAAAGTACAAAGAAAATCAATCAAGATCTTTTAACAATAAGAGAGAATAACGTGAGGGTATTTGAGAATGCCGTATGTATCAAGAAATTGGTTGATGATTTGTGAAGATCTTTGCATTTACAGGTCTATGTACAAGAATGCAGGGCAATTATAGAAAGTTTGGGGAAATCAACATGATAGCCCTTATCAATCTCAATTTTAAAATTTTCAACTTCAATATTGTCCCCTTCCAAAATTTTTATTAATGAAGTGGCTTCAAGTGAATACATTACACAGGTCTTCGAGAGATTACTGTACCATTCAACAATAGCAGCACCCATGAACTGGTCGTCGTTTTCATTAATGAATTGTAATATATTAGCGTATGTCAGCTTACTTTGATTGAATTTCCCAATCGCAACGTGCAAGAGCTTTCGAAGCCCAATGCGTTTTTCCTGTTCATCTAACAACCCAAGACTGACAGATTGCTTATATTGGGCGAAGTTAGGTAACACGGGAACACCAATACTTGACCAAGGTTTCATTCTTAATTCGAATAGAAGTTCTGGGCTAGTAATGGATTTTTTGGGGGCGAAAAGACCGATGATGTTTAAAGAAGAGAGGACAATAATGAACATTTTCAACCCCTCAGATAGACTCTGTAATGCAATGTATTGCTTGACGAGATATCCTTTATTGTAGTTCAAAGTCTTTTGCAAACTTGGAAGAACCTGCTCAGAGAGATTTTTATTTGTCTCTTTAAGACTGTTTTTTTTGGGTCCCGCTTTCAATTTTTTAATTCTTTTTGGTACTGTTATTTCAATAAAATTAATTTTCTGTTCTAATATTCCATTAATTCTCATTGTCAAGTGCTCTATCATTATCTGTGACAAGTATGACACATACCAAAAGATTAAACAGAATTCAAACTCCTTGTATAATTCTAACTCGAACCCTAATAACGCTGTCTCTATCATGGCATCGAGTTTCATATAATAAATAAAAGAACTGAGACTCAATGCAGCATCCTCGTTGACGAGGATATCTCCTATTTTAAATCTTTCCCATAGTTCTATTTCGAAAGATTCAAAGTTTACTTGAAGAGTATCCCATATTAGTAAACTTTTAGACATCAATTGCCTTTGACGGCATCTGTTATTACCCACGACATTTAAGTAGTGATATATTCCACTTTCCAAATCACCGAATATGAGATTCAATTTGTTAAAAATTTCGTTCTTGGTAGTCAGGGCGAATTGAGCAGTTCCTTGAATATTCCATTGATGGTGATTGAAAATGGAGGAATTTTTTCCAACAAGGTTTTCAATTGACTTCAAGGTAAGACTTCCAATGTTGTCGTGAGATCCTACTATTGACTTATCGTCTCTTATTAGAAAAAGCTGAAAAATTCCACGAGATATGACGTTGTAATTTGAATGGATTTTATAACCAACTTCGAACCTTAAAAACGACGCCAACTGAACCATATTTTCGATTTTTGCAAATTTTTGAATGAAATCATATATTGATGTGAACATGCAAGTCAAGTTGGTGAAAGTTTCAGCTTGTGATACTTCATATAAATCAGTTGGAATATTCTTATTGCTCATATCCATTTGAACAAACTGAGAAAATGAACCATCGGGAACAGGATATTCTTCGACTTTTTTAACTTCCTCGATGTAGCCTACAGCTCTTGTCAAAAACTCTGTTTGATTATCTATCAGCGAATTAACACCAAATAACAGAACAGATATATTCAAGACCGATTCTATTTTAGCCATACTTTCGGCCAACTCGAGGTATCCAAGAAAAATAGGCTGATACTTCATGTCGATGGAATCCTTTATCCATGAGATAGTTTCATTAATATCATTGAGTAGAACATTCAATGGAACTTCTGATAAAAAATTCAACTCCATGGCCCTAGTCGTTAAATCTTCTTCTTCGTAAAGAACATTGTAGGCCATATTTAAACAAAATCCAATGAACTTACTCAATCCGAGAACAAATGACCGTAGGAACGTATTAATCAATTTGTATTCCAAAGATCCTTCATCGTACTCTCGCGCTTTTAGCCGTTTGAGTTCAAAAGTACAAGCCTTTAGTGTCCCTAGAGAACCAGGTGAGCTTCGATAGTTGTCTAGAATTGTTTGAACATATCTACAGCTTAAAACTGTCACTGGCAATGAACTGCTATTTAACCAGCTGATGAGCAGCTTAAGTAGTTTATTGCATATACCTATTATTTCCTCGATAGACTGGGGTTCTCTGGGATCGAAGTTGATTTCTGCTTCGTTAAGAGATATTAAGCCCGTGTCCAACTTCGGGTTACTAATTTCAACAGCTCTTGTCCCTTCTAAAAGATTGAAAAGCTTTGATTGGACTACCTTCCCGCTTTTTACCTTCTTCAAAGAGTCAATGAACTCTTCCGTAACATCGACATATTCATCTGGATCTACGATATAATTGTTAATTCAAGCTCTTTTTGAAACATAAAGAGGATATTAAAAGCGACTTAGGACTTACCTGAATCTAGGGTCAGCATTTTGAGTGTATGCGATTATATATGTCCGAAGAATGAAAGGTTTAAAATCTAACGAACATATTGCACTAGACTGTATATTGTAAGATAACATTTAGTGCAGAAACGAAGATACTAGATGATATGCTATCTAATTAGAGTAAAATCACTTCGGTGAAAGATTTAAGACTAAAATACTGAACCAATCACATCTTAACAATTTGACATCCAAAGTTAATGACCAATGTTAGTAGCGTACTTCAGTAGAAGAAAATTTGTATTTTTGAGAATGGTGAGCCAACTTGGAAAGAAATTTTAATTCTAAAAAAAAAAAAGAAAAAGAAATGGCGAATTTTCTATTCAAAGTGAAGGTTTGAGGCTTGAATAAGTGTTTTAGTATTCTTAATATTAGTATGAAGATATGCTCAAGAAGTTCTGACTATGTCCTTCCATTTATACATTTGCGGCAAGTCATTCCTTGAAACATTTAAAGATCCTGAAATCTTAGATTATCTGTGAGG